ATATATAATATAATAATTCCTCCATGAAATGGGCCTGATGTTATAATGTCATTAATAATCATTGGTAATTGTATAGTGTGCTTCAGATGGCAAGAGAAAGATCTGTGCTGTGTGTACCAAGCGTCCTCATCAAAACAAGCCCTACGCAGGCACAAGAAGCCGCTATTGGTGCCCTGACTGCAGAGTTGGACTTTGCATTACTCCATGCTTCAGGCGCTTTCACACATTGGTGAATTACACCCCAGCAATGCCAGCTCCAAGGGAGGAAGAATGAGTGCCATATATGCACTGTTTAAATTATGAACTTTCAATGTAGTACCATATTGTGCATGTAGCTAGTGACAAGTAATACCGTGCTACATGTATGTTATCTCCCCGAATCAGCCACCTGGTGGCGAAACTGGTAACTACCTACTCACATGACCTACTCACATGTGAGTAATAGTCTAAATGCGAGTAGAAATAATCTTGATTTACATCATTAAAAATTCACAATGCAGTCAAACTTATATCATATTTGGAATCTACATGTAAAATCAAACCTAGAAATGTGGTTTTGAAAAGAGTTTATCAACTTTGAACATTTAATTTTCTTTGAAAATGTGACTTCTTGGTCGGGGAGATTCCCCATAGACCCCATGTTGTAAAACCACAAAAAGTGAAATATCTTTTCTTGTGTTGGGCAGATAATATTTTCTTTCACTGTACATGTTTTAATTTGTATAACTATCACATACATAAGGGTAATGTGAAAAGTGAACCACTAAAACTGATAAATATTCAAGTTTAAGCGAATTTATATTGGTATACAATTTTGCCAATTGACTTCAAGAGCGGTATTTTCAAGGTCTCTATTTTTATATAAATATACTATACGTTATGTTCCTATTTATTAAAAAATATAGAATATTTATTAATATTATCTATCACGTTGTTCAATATCTAAAAGTATACAAAAAGTTAAAACAGTACAGCAGTACCTTTGTTAGTATAGTATTGAGAAAAATTGTCAAAAAATGTTTTATTCAAGATTTTTCAGAAATGCTATTATGATGTCACTGTCATTTATTTATATGATAATTTTGAAGCCTTATGCTATTAAATAAGTAAAACCTCTGAGGTATGGCTTTTTAATCTCTAGATAGCGCCAAGAGGGAAACTTTATTTATTGGCATTAGCTAAAGATATAAGAAATACTTCAAATGTTTACTTTGAGAAAGATACTACAAATAGTGTAAAAATCAGTATTTTTAAATGTATTTAATTAGCCCCGTTACCATGGAAACCGCGAAACGTTATTGTACAAATGTACCTCATTTCAGTCTGCATGCGTAGCCATGCCACTTTTTCACATAATTGTGCAATTTAAAGTCATAACTATCATGAATAAGAGAGTTAAAAGAAATCTAATAATTTAGGTATATTTTGATCATTTTCACTAAAATAAGTCGGCACTGGCAAAAGGCACTTTTTAATTAAGTTGGCACCTAAGAGGTTAAAGACTGAAGTATGCTTTTGAGTATTCACATATACAGTGCGTATCAAAAAAAGCAACAGATTGTTATCTCGCAAAAGCACAAAACCAGTAATAACAGCATTAATTTCATTCAATGCACCATAAAGCCATGTGTCTCCTCTTTACAATGATATATCATTCATTGATATTTGGTCATGGTTGGGTGAGTAATCATTCCGTTTGCAAAGTGGGCCAAAATTAGTTTGGGGCCAAGTTATTAACATCGCAAAAGTCAGTGTACGGAGCCCGATGCAATATTGGAAGAAAACATAAAACCAATGCTGACTGCATCCCTTTCATTCAATGTACCAAAAAGCCAAATTACTCCTCATTGTCATTAAAAGTAAAATATTCTGATTATTCACATAATAATTCCAACAAAATCACTCCCTTTATTTTTAAGTTTTTATCGTACCTAATAAAGGTACAATATTGTCATCAGCTTGACGAAGTTCTGGAGCAGAATAACTTTTTAGCGGCCATCTTTTGATTTCAGGAAAACTACTTGACGGATTTCCTTCAAATTTTCACACATTATACGCCGTATGTCATGGCTAAAACACCGTATGCTTACATGGTGGGATAACACTTTTTATTCCATAGTTAGCCTGATATTCATAAGATAACATGAAAAAATAAAAACGGTATTTTTGTAATCAGTAGTAAAATATGATATTTTTGGCAAATTTTCACTTAACCATAGCATACGGTTTATGCGATGGTTTATGGATTTTTGCTACTTCAGACTCAAAACGAGGCTAAGTGTCAAGATCGCCGGATCGTTTGGAAAATTCGAATTAAATTAAATTAAATCACTAAAATTTCCGACGATTCTGATGATGACTTTAATTATGGAATAAAAAGAACATCCTATGATTTACTCGTGATATGATTTTAATCCACTCATGGATATTGATATCTGCACTCTCTCGCTACGCTCGCTTGTGCAGATATCATATCCATTCGTGGATAAAAATCATATCACTCATAAATCATAGGATATCCTCTATTTATCCCACCATGTAAGCAATTAGGATAATCTCGGATTTAATTAAATATAAAATGTTACTCAATCATGTAAACAAAAGGATAATCTGGGATTAGATATAAAATGTTACCCCACTATGAAAATAATTAGGATAATCAGTGATTAAATTGAATGTACAATGTATTTTTTTATTTATTTGCCAAGACTTTTATAACATTGGAGAGGACCCGGTTTTTACTTTAGTGACCCAAACAATGAAAATGAGGGGTCACTTGGACGCAGTGCAGGTCATATAAAAAAAATCAATTCTGGATGAATGTATTGATAAAGATCTTACCTTCAGTCTTTTATTTGGTCAAAATCTGCTAAATAAACGAAGGATATTATATTTCTAAAACACTGGTGGACCACTCGATTACGCTGGTTACCGAAACGGTTCGTTTTGGTAACAAAATGTTGGAAAATCGAAGGTACGATTTTTCTTTTTTCCTTATTTCACACGTTGTAGGCAGAATTCCCACGACATTTTTAACACAAACATGTATCAGTATCATATGTTTAAGAAAATGTACATATTTGCGAACAAATAGTTCAGGAGACAACAGAATCGTCGATTTAATTTCTCACTTAAGTTACATAAACGGTTTTCCAAAACCAGTTAAGATCTGCACTTTTAATCCAAACCGTTTATGTAACTTAAATGAGGAATTAAATCGACGATTCTGTTGTCTTCTGAGCTATTTTTCCGCAAACATGTACATTTTCTAAAACATATGATGCTGATACACGTTTGTGAGAAATAACGTCGTTCGGATTCTGCCTACAACGCGTGAAATAAGGAAAACAGAAAAATCGTACCTTCGACGTTCCGACATTTTGTTACCAAAACGAACCGTTTCGGTAACCAGCGTAATCGAGCGGATCACCAGTGTAAAAGAAATAAAATTTTCTTTCGGAGTTTCTTTCCCGGAAGTTGATTTCCGATCAAAATAGTATGAGGTATGTGATAGGAGAATCACTAGTAGTTGATTTCCGAGCGGTAATCGGTACGAGTCCTATGATTGGCCATGATTATTAATCGCGCATGCGTCGTAATAAGTTTAACTAATCAAATTACCGGATTTGTTGCGCATGCGCAAAAAACTGAACCAAAAAATGGAACCTCACGGAGATTGCTCTTAATGAAACTTTCTGAGCAAATTGCTTCGAAATAAGAAAAATGGTATTTAATGGTTGAAAATTAGTTATCTCTTTCAAATGAAGGTATCTGCATCATCTAATGACCTACTAGACGTGTGTAGAACACTGATGTGGGCCAAAAAATGACAAAGCTGATGCAAAGTTTTCATCAATTTTTTTTCGTTCAGTGCAAAAATGTGACTTTGAATTACCGGGAACCTTTTTCATGGGGACGCATTTTTTTGAGGGGGGGGGACGCAATTTTGGAAAATCAATCGATATAAAACTGTAGGACCAAGATACTCAGAAATATAGTACGGTCATCATCATTGGGAGTTATATAGGTAGGAATGATTGTTTTATTTTATGCTTACTTATCTTATTTAAAGATACAAAGGCAACATTTAAGATTTTGAAGGATTCAGACGTAATCAGTTTTAACACAAATGTGCGATTCAAGTAACCCAGGGTCTACGCCAAGAATATATATCAGATGTCCAAGAAAAAGGAAACAATTTTTTATGAGTATTTCTCAACAAAAGATAAGCTGAATTTATTGAATCTTTACTTGCGTAACAATAGTTTAAAAATATATGATCAGTTGCAAATCATGCAAGAATTGTCAAATTCGAAACAGTATGTCGAAGCATCCAAATAGCAATGTTTACCCTATCCTTCCTTCAAAGCTGATTTTAAAAGCTAATGTGTATTTTTTCCAATCGCATTGCCTTCTATTACAAAACTATGTTGTCCTTTCACACGTATTTATTTTTCGTATGTTTCTGCCTCAAATGCGCTGTTTATTGTGTATCTTATTAGAAAAATACTGTGCTTTCATGCTTACTCAAATGTAATTATTGGCTTATAGGCTATTGGGTCGATTGTTATGGGGTTTGTATTGTCTTAAGCGTCACCAGGTAAAGATGGCACCCGTTCTCTCTTAGTTACTCAAATGTAAGTATTGGCTTATCGGTTATGGGGCCAATTGCTATGGGGTTTGTATTGCCTTAAGCGTCATCAGGTAAAGATGGCACCCATTCTCTCTTGGTTACTTAAATGTTACTATTGGCTAATCGGCTATGGAGTCAATTGTTATTATGGGGTGTATTGCAATCGTGTTTCTCAAAACTTGAAGATTAGCTTCTGTCATTTATGTTTCCGATCGTATAGCATTATAGTTAATGCCATTTACTTAGAACAGGAGTGATAAATTACTTTATAGGCTGAAAGTAATATAATATGATATGCTCTTTAACAGTATATAAAACTTTGATAATTGTAATTTCCCATTTCTTCTTATCTATTTAGTCTTAATTTTATGGTTCTTATGAATATAATGATTTCTATTTATATTTATTTCAAGAGTTGTTATTAGAGGATCTTTGTATGTTTTACGATATCAGTAGACGTCTTCAGTTACGGAGCACGTGACATTAAACGCGTACGATAATAATACTTCGATATAAAACTGTAGGACCAAGATACTCAGAAATACAGTACGGTCATCGTCATTGGGAGTTATATAGGTAGGAATGATTGTTTTATTTTATGCTTACTTATCTTATTTAAAGATACAAAGGCAACATTTAAGATTTTGAAGGATTCAGTCGTAATCAGTTTTAACACAAATGTGCGATTCAAGTAACCCAGGGTCTACGCCAAGAATATATATCAGATGTCCAAGAAAAAGAAAACAACTTTTTTATGAGTATTTCTTAACAAAAGATAGGCTGAATTTATTGAATCTTTACTGAGTAACAATAGTTTAAAAATATATGATCAGTTGCAAATCATGCAAGAATTGTCAAATTCGAAACAGTATGTCGAAGCATCCAAATAGCAATGTTTACCCTATCCCAAACCCACCGTAAAAAACTGGTGTATCTCATACTTGAGTGGGTTTGGGGTAGATTTAACCTTTAACACCTTTTTCAAATGACAAGATAGACCTATACTGTAAAAGCACAATTTATACTTAACATTTTCATAATATTCCTTCAGTTCAATACAATAGAATTGTAACATTTAAACTTTTTGAAAATTTTAAACTTCTGAAATTTAAATTTTTAAAATTTTAAAACTTTTTTTAAACTTTTGAAAAAATTCCCGGGAGCGGGATGGATATATTATATCTGCCCGCATTTGGCCTAGAGCGGGACATATACAATATATCCTGCCCGCTTCTCAGATATGATATATATTCCCGGGTGATATCTACCCCAAACCCACTCAAGTATGAAATACATTCTATCATGCTGCAAATCATCACTGATGTACAACTTTGTTAACAAACATATCGTCGCATAGGTATATGATAACATAATGATCTAAATGTAATGGTATTAACAATTATCTTTTGTTTACTTCTAGATCCATGGACAACATTCTATGAAATATGAAGTTTATTAATGTGTTGTTGAGTTATATCACAATCAAAGTCTGTGCTGCTGGCAAATTAGAGGGAGATATCCTTGACACATTGAGGAATGCGAAAGCGAATATTGACAAAGGAAACGTAAAGTCGGTGAACGTGCAAGGCGATGGAGCGCTTGCAGGAGGTGAGTAAAGTATATAGTATATTTCTTCTGTTCAATTATTTTACAACAATATGTTATCAAAATTCTGAATTGAAATTTCGTATCTCCCACGTCATTAGATACGAAATGCCATACTCTGTGTGAATACTTGTATCTACAACTGTTTTTGATGTTATGAGTATTAGATACAAAATGTCATATCATATATGATTACTTGTACCTAGAACTGTTTTTGATGTTATGACTATTAGATACGGAATGTCATGTCCTGTATGAATACTTGTATCTACAACTGTTTTTGATGTTATGAGTATTAGATACAAAATGTCATATCCTATATGAATACTTGTACCTAGAACTGTTTTTGATGTTATGACTATTAGATACGGAATGTCATGTCCTGTATGAATACTTGTATCTACAACTGTTTTTGATGTTATGACTATTAGATACGGAATGTCATGTCCTGTATGAATACTTGTATCTACAACTGTTTTTGATGTTATGACTATTAGATACAAAATGTCATATCCTATATGAATACTTGTACCTAGAACTGTTTTTGATGTTATGACTATTAGATACGGAATGTCATGTCCTGTATGAATACTTGTATCTACAACTGTTTTTGATGTTATGAGTATTAGATACAAAATGTCATATCCTATATGAATACTTGTACCTAGAACTGTTTTTGATGTTATGACTATTAGATACGGAATGTCATGTCCTGTATGAATACTTGTATCTACAACTGTTTTTGATGTTATGACTATTAGATACGGAATGTCATGTCCTGTATGAATACTTGTATCTACAACTGTTTTTGATGTTATGACTATTAGATACAAAATGTCATATCCTATATGAATACTTGTACCTAGAACTGTTTTTGATGTTATGACTATTAGATACGGAATGTCATGTCCTGTATGAATACTTGTATCTACAACTGTTTTTGATGTTATGACTATTAGATACGGAATGTCATGTCCTGTATGAATACTTGTATCTACAACTGTTTTTGATGTTATGACTATTAGATACAAAATGTCATATCCTATATGAATACTTGTATCTTCAACTGTTTTTAATGTTATGAGTATATGATACCTAATGTCATATCCTATATGAATACTTGTATCTACAACTGTTTTTGATGTTATGACTATTAGATACAAAATGTCATATCCTATATGAATACTTGTACCTAGAACTGTTTTTGATGTTATGACTATTAGATACGGAATGTCATGTCCTGTATGAATACTTGTATCTACAACTGTTTTTGATGTTATGAGTATTAGATACAAAATGTCATATCCTATATGAATACTTGTACCTAGAACTGTTTTTGATGTTATGACTATTAGATACGGAATGTCATGTCCTGTATGAATACTTGTATCTACAACTGTTTTTGATGTTATGACTATTAGATACGGAATGTCATGTCCTGTATGAATACTTGTATCTACAACTGTTTTTGATGTTATGACTATTAGATACAAAATGTCATATCCTATATGAATACTTGTACCTAGAACTGTTTTTGATGTTATGACTATTAGATACGGAATGTCATGTCCTGTATGAATACTTGTATCTACAACTGTTTTTGATGTTATGACTATTAGATACGGAATGTCATGTCCTGTATGAATACTTGTATCTACCACTGTTTTTGATGTTATGACTATTAGATACAAAATGTCATATCCTGTATGAATACTTGTATCTAGATATCTAAGCACATGTGCCAAAGGGAATGGACCAAAAGTTGTGATGGAACTTAGCAAGAAAAAAACTGTAAGTGCATACCAGTTAAGAAAAACAAACCCCATATGTCCCAAAACCATGATCTAACGTGAAAAGTAACAATGTCTATTACCCCCTTTCCCCCCACCATTTAAGAGCCGATATCACAATCCAAGACCAGAACACCAAGGGAATTTTCATTTATACTGAAGTCATTACAATACATGTTGAAGAAAAAAATTGAGAGCCAATACTCATAACATTTAAAATATTTGCAGATACAAGTACTCATACAAGATAAAGCATTCAGTCTTAAATGATGTGGGATGGATAAAATCCAATCTTCAAGTTCATAGGCGTTTCAAAGGGTCAACTTCCTTTTACAAAAGCAGTCGCCATAATCCATAAAACACAATAATTTACAATGGTCATCAGGAGAAAACTATGGCTGGTTTCGATCCCTATTTCTCAACCATTAATGCCATAGCCGGGATCCACCTCAAAGGTGCCAAGTGAAAATATTGTGAGTTCAGCGCCAATGTCTTAAACAATTCCTACATCCTTCAGCATCTCCAATGGGTAAACTTGAAACTTCGAAATCAATGATTTGTATTTTTCAGCAAAGCCCAGAAAGTATTTCTTAAGCTTTATACAAGTATAACCTTGACCTAACAATTTGATGACTAAAGTCATCAAAATCTAAATATTTAGAGCATACCCTGCCATATCTAATAAGCTGGGATACATAGACCCCATATGCTGTGTAATGGAATATTACTGTCTAAATGGGGAAAATTCACAATATCAAAGTTGAAATCATCTCGTTTATCATACAACTTACAATATATACTGTTGTCTTGTTCAATGTTAATGAGAATGTCAAGATAAGGCGCATTCTTTTTTAATTCTAACTCGGAATGGTATATCTCACTTGTATATCGCAAACTCTTCTAATCCAGGGTTGTGCAACCTCAACAGGTCATCTTTATACATATCTGTTTGATTAAAAAGTTTTGCTATGTGGAATTTTGTCTTATCTTTTATCATCTTTTGCAACAACTTAAATTCAGACGAGAATAGAAAAAAGGTCTGCCAAAAGAGGAGTGTCCCCATTGGTTTTCCTATATTTTGACGTAAAGCAGTATTTCCAAACTTTACATAAATGTTATCTATCAGAAAGCCTAAAGCCTCAACAACAACAAGGTTTAAACATGCTCCAAATGAGATAAATCACCCGATATAAATTCCTAAACTTTTATCCTTTACTATTTCAAAGATATTGTCCAAATTTACAACGTTTAAATCATACGGGGGGGGGATTTCATTGAGCTCGTACGAAGCCCCCGATTTGCCTTGAACAACCCCAATCGTTATACAACGAATCCCTGGCTGGGAACAAGCCCCTGCTCTGAAATATCAGCAAACCACAGGGCGGAAAGGTGACTATTTTTGCTCGAACAATCACACGTTTAAGCCAGCTATTTGATGGTGCGCGTACTAAACTCTCTTATTAAACTGACTTTTCATTTCGGTAGCACGAACCCCCCATCCCCTCCGTTTCGCCCTGACCCCCCTTCATTATAAAACGGACCCCCAGGCAAGTGGGAAACATTTTAACCCCCGTGGAATATCCTGGCTAAGTCCCTGTAGAAGCACCAGAGAGATGAAATAAGAGACACGAAGGATGAGCCATTGTCGTTATTTCATCATTATAATTATCTTTGAGCATGTAGTCAGAATAACTTCACCCGCGACTATCAGAATAACAGATTTCTAGTAAATTGAGCAAATGACAACACAAAGCATAAGAAACATAAAGCATGAGGTTATTAATTAACGATGCACTTTAAATACCATAAACAGTAGATTTTTATCATATTAATAAATATCGAAAGATACCAATAAATATCAAGCAAAATGTCGCAGTTAATAAAGTGAATAAATAAACCCATGAAAGATGTAATAATCTTGTTATTTATAGGTCTGTATGGAATATCGCTGACAACAACAAAACCACCGACAACATCAATGCAATCCGATCTCCCTTTTCTCCCAGGAGGCAGACGAGATGACCAACCTTCTCCAGGTAAATGCAATGCACAATAACTATAATACCAGGTTCCAAATACAATCCAATCACCTTATTCTAGTCATTATTGTTGCAAGCAACACCAAGTACACGAATGACAGGCACTTCATACCCATATACCAGGAAAGTAGTTCGTGTGTTTATGTGGTATAATAGTATTTTTCTTGGGTCTAATTAGGTTTAAATGTACTGCCATTCGAACATTTTACTCGTGTGGTTTTATGTTTGATTATAAAACTTGAAGTGTTTTACAAATGATTGACATCAGATAACGATTCCATTTAAATTTCATTTAATCAACAACATTACGGGTAAATTACAATAAGCAAAGAATCCGTCCAACTATTTCCAGCTTGCTTGGATTTGATGATCGTGATAGACGTGTCGTGTTCTATTAAAGAAGAAGATAGGATTAAAGCCCGCGACTTTGCGGCTGATGTTGTGAAAGGAATACTTACAACGGCGACTGTGGATACAAGGGTAGGTCTGGTGCGATATAGCCAGACGATCGAGTTAGTTTTTAGGCTTGGTAAGTTAATAAAAGATTCATATTCTCATTTTATATTCTAGATGAGTAGACATCAAATATCATAGATAAATAACTATTATATTTAGTTTGAAATAAATGAAGTTTATTTCAATGAAGCTATAATGATGATTCGAACATGATTGTATTCACGCCTTCTATAAACTGTGAACAAAGTCAATGCTTTAGCTGGGTTATATTCGAGATCAATGCCCCAGCTCTAGCTGTACTAGTATTTCGTTCAGTGCACTCAATGGTCATTTCAGGCTGTTCCGTTATTTTCGCAAAATTTAATTTTTATATGGATATCCGCTGTGATGCTTTTGTTTCTGGGCAATATAGTTGGTTCCTAACTTAACATGGAACAATAAATCAACTTATTAATATTAATATTGTACATGATCTTCATCAACATATTTATAACAAAGAGTATATACACTCGGTATTTATGCATTCTGATACTCATCACATCTTTCTGTCTTCAACCAGAAATATGTACTAATGTGAAGCTGATAGAAGGCCGTGATTTCTCGTGATTGTATTTTGGACCTCAGTTCAGCTTTTGATGTCGTCCTTTATAACGTATTGCTAACTAAATAAAAAGGCTATGGTCGCAACAGGGATTTTATCAATCTCATACCTGCGTACATACTCATTCATTCATTTTGAATGTAATGCTAATTTTGACACCATACATACAATGGCGCATCAGATACAGAATTGCAATCTCTTGAACGTCTACACGAAAGAGCTCATATCCAGTCACTCGTTACACTAACACTGTTACAATTCCTTAATCACAGACACTATAAGATTCCTCCTCAAGGAGAGCTATGGGTGATAAATCAACAGTTTTCAAAGAAATGGCTCTTTGGAAAACCTTTTACCAGATCTCAGAGTTTGTCAATCGATTTCAAGTTTCAAAAGAATAGAAGGAAATAATGGAAGCCCTGCCTCTATCTAATTAACTTCAAAACTAAAAACGCCTTGCCTTGATCCTTAGAAATTCCATTTGACCAACGGTCTGGACTTCTTTGGCAAGCTCATATTTATCATCAAATGTTTGAACTAGTAGCCGATCCAAAATGTAATTGTGATAATTCAAACCTTCAATGATGAGAGAAAACATGCTGGGAACTGCGCAATTATTTAGTTGTGTGCATTTGTACTGGAATAGATATTCAATGATGATAGAAAATATGCTGGGAACTGCACAATTATTTATAAAAAACATGTTTGTTTTACCGAAGATGACCACGGCGAGACGGATGTGATTGACAACGCGATTCGTACAATGAATACAAGTGACCTAGGCTGTAAGACAAATACCCATTTAGTCCTTAAAGAACTCTATAGCAAATACTTCACAGACAAGTTTGGCGACAGGTAAAATAGTGAATGTACCATACAAAGATTACTTTCCTATTTTCTATATTATTTTCACAGAACAATATCACATTACTTACGTAGCACGTCATTTTTTGTATATAATATACAGTGGCGTATTTTGTGAGTGTACGCCTCGAGTGAGCGAAGCGAACGAGATTTGAGCAGATTTGAGGATTTCTTTGAGGATGAGATTGCATTTGGAGCGTTTCTGGAATCGTTTTGAAGCGTTTATTAATTTTAGCGGTCATATATACTCCAATATAGACTAGTAAATCAATCGTTCTAGGTATAGTGACGTCATGTATCGTTTTAGAATCATAAATATATAAAGGCATACCTTAGTAATATTGATACTGGTAGTCTTCAATGAAATCAGTTGTAAGACAAAGATGAGAGAATAGTGAAAAGTCGACGATAGTCTAATATAGTTTTTCATTTTATATTCTAACTGGTTGCAATGTATTCCTCAGGTCCAACGAAGCATACCCAAACGCGGCCATATTGTTTACAGACGGTCGTACAATTTCGCAGAGGTTTGCTCCTGAAACAAAGAGACAGGCCAAGAATGCTGAAGTGTCTGACATAGAGATACATGTAGTGGATGTGCCTCATCGGTAAGTAACAATATGCAAAATACACGAATTGATATAGCAGATGATATACATGTATGTATGACAGGCGAGGAATGCTGAAGTGTCTGACATAGAGATATATGTAGTGGATGTGCCTCATCGGTTAGTAACACAATGCAAAATACACGAATTGATATAGCAGATGATATACATGTATGTATGACAGGCGAGGAATGCTGAAGTGTCTGACATAGAGATATATGTAGTGGATGTGCCTCATCGGTTAGTAACACAATGCAAAATACACGAATTGATATAGCAGATGATATACACACAGTTCTTAACATTATTCTCTTTGCATATGACTGTAAAAATGTATTTACCAATTGCCAACCAATTAACCAACACATGATCATTCCAATGTTCCATATTCCTTCAAGTTCTCAAAATTGATTGTGAATAGAAAATCATACTCGATCAAACATCAATGCTGAATCTTCACATATTTAAAAGGACAGTGGTTACAATCATGCCAAAAATGTATTTTGACTTGGGCAAATTACATTCAGATTGTTTGTAATATACAAAACTATCAATACGAAATGGCAGAATTATTAAATGGCTCATTGTTTAGGCCATCAGACATATTATCACCATATGGATCAATTTATATCTCACCAATCCATCAACATCAAGATGATGACTAATGGAATAATTTTAGTATATGACAATCAAAATATAGATTCGACTATAATCGCGTTCCTCTTTTTCGTATTCGTATTGTAATTACTTCCCATGATAACATTATTGAATGAATAAAAAATGGTTGGTCAATGAATTTACTGTATCCACAAACATTTTACAGAATTCTTGCGTTGATTAAGTTCCATTATTAAGTAGATCATTCATCACATGATGACGTAGGTTAATCTTCTTTGTGCGATTAGCAACCATTTTTTTCAATTCCATTGGAAATTAGTTATTGAACAAGCCAAAATATTAAAAAGCTGATGAGTTGGGATGATTTGCTTCAGACAAGGTTTGGGAGATTTGGCTGATGAGTTTGACGAATTGCCTACGAGGCCAGAACTTTTGTATGATGTCAAAAAACAAGAAGACATTGATAACATTGTTGATGACCTTACCAGCAGATACAATTGTGGTGATCCTGATTTCGGTGGTGGAGGGGATGACCCCTCGTCAGGTAAATGTTCATTGTGATCGATGAAGACTTTGAAGAATGTGCATGTGTGAAAATGGTTCAATGGACTATCAATTGCCTCTGATTAGTCTAAAATGAATCTGGGTTACTGTCTCATTAGTGTATTCGGGCTAGTTTGATTCAATCAAAGGCTGCAATTTCATAAATAAATGTTTGAGATTTGATATTCATTTTTCAGGATGTGCAAATGTGATATTCGCAATTGATGTTAGTTGCTCGATTGATCGTAGTAATGTGACAGAGGCTATTAGTATAGCAAAAGATATCATAGACACTTCAAAGGTTGGTCATCAATTTGGAGCATTTACATACGATAACAACACTGTAGGTTCTGTCCCATACTTCACCGATACAAGTGCCCAATTAAACAACCTCGATCCTGCATCAAGAGCTTGCAAGACAAGAACAAACCGAGCAATCACCTATGCCGGAAAGAATTACTTCAATAATAATTCTTCTTCAAACGTGCTTATTATTTTCGGCGATGGCAATGAGTCCCCATGGCGAGAAAATAAGCTTGCGATAGAAAAGGCCAATGCATTCACCAGAAATAACAAGGGGACGCTTATCTGGGTCATTCTCACGAGCAATCGAGATGAGGCGACTAGGACACGTGGTATAGAAGAGCAGATCAAAGTAACAGCTTCTGTAAATAGATTAGGAACGAGATTAGTCTTTGAGTACAACGATGCTGATGTTATCACTGTTATCGTGAACTATTTGGACACACATTTTCCCAGATGCGTTGGGACTGTGGCATAATAAATAGTTTTAATAATCGTCAGTCGTTATGGTGCTGATTTGATATCGAGGAGCCCTCAATAAATAATTTGTCTTCAAATAAGCATGCATTGAAAAAAATAAACAAGGTATACCAAATTGAATCGTTTTTTAAAATAATTATTAACTTCATATATGGATGAAGAGAGCCTAATTCTGAAAAAATGTTAACGATATTCGAAGGAAAAAGGATGGGAGAACAGGACCATTCCGAACATGCCACGATTATTTAATATTTCTGTAAACTCCTGTTTTATTCAATGTTTTGCCGCTATCTATAGAACAATAATTTAGGCTTGATTTAATTTAATCAGCCGGCTATACCTTTATATAGATTCCGATCCACATATTGAAACTATTGGAATTGATAAGTGTTGTTTGATTAAGTATAAGTAATTGATAAGTATATTTTGTTGAAATATTGTAAAGGATAAGTGTGTTTGTTAAAGTATTGTAATTGCTTATCTTGTTTGTTAAAGTATTGTTATTGCTAATCTTGTTTGTTAATGTATTGTTATTGCTAATCTTGTTTTTTTAGTATTGTAATTGCTAATACTTTTCTGTTTAAGTATTGCTAATCCTGTTTGTTAAAATATTGTTATTGTTAATCTTGTTTGTTTAAGTATTGTTATTGCTAATCTTGTTTGTTAAAGTATTGTAATTGCTAATCTTGTTTGTTCAAGTATTGTAATTGCTAATTGTTTTTGTTAAAGTATTGCAATTGCTAATCTTGATTCTTTAAGTATTGTAATTGATAATCTTGATTCTTTAAGTATTGTAATTGATAATCTTGCATTTGATGTCTTGTTTTTTAAAGTATTGTGTTTGAAAAGTGTAGTCTGTTAAAGTTTTCAATTTGATAAGTCTTATTTGCTCGATTTTTCTCGGGTTGCCATTTGTATTTACTAATCATAAAGTGTGAAATGTTGAATTATTATTTTTTCTACTTATCGTGTACCGTGTTAACTAATCATGATTTCTCTGCACATTTCTATCTATCTGTTTGCGCCCATGTTTCATCTCTCGTAAACAAAAAACATTCGGATTAAAATTAGTGTGGGATTAAATCAAATCATTTTATTGTGTTTTAAGGTTTAAATATTTTAGTAAATGTATTTATCCATTGAATTTGAAGTATTATTTTAAGCGTTTCACTGTAAGGAATAAAGAAACGACGCCAGAATAGGTAGAAAGAGGACACAAAAGGTAGGCTGAATATTAACAATTAATAATTAATATGTAATATTAATTTGATTCATTTTTACTTTGCTTAATATAGTCCAACTGCAATAAATAATCGTGTGCGAATGGTTCAAAACGTTTTCATCGATGTAAATACAATATAGTTATTTATAAATATATGGTTAAATGGTATACTGAATGCAGTATAAGTCTTCTTTTTGAGTATACTTATATTTTGATAGAATTGAATATTTTATGTATCGAAAGAAGAAGAGAATACCTCGATCCCATACTTGACTGTATTTACATGGCGTATTTATCACTGACAATTAGACAGGCTATTCTAAATACATCCATTTCAATATCTACTTTGCTTGAAGTACAAAACATAAAATTGAAAATAAATAAATATGCAGGCTATATATCAAATCAAATCGAGTGATGGTCATGACCCTTTAGCTTTCACAGTTAATAAACATATAATGCAAAACAGTACATTATATATGATGAATCATCAAGAATGATCTTCGTTTTCTTCCCAGATCAGTGGAGTAGCATTTCAGCTATAGTCAGCATGGCTCTCGTTAAACTTGCCTGGGCTTATGTCATTATCAAGGTGTGTACTGCTACAGAAGATAATATTATTGATGCCCTAAGGACTGCAAAAAATGTATCCATCGACTCGGGAAATGTTGATTCCGTAGGAATAAGTGGAGGAAGTGGAACACTCGGAGGAAGTTAGTAGATTCTAATATATAAGGGGGGGTGTGCCTCATGAGTAATGAAGATGTAGTAATGATTTAGTACTAATAATACATTATTATTATTATCCACGCTTTCTATAATTTTTACCCATTTATAAGTAACAGTGACTGTGTAAAAGTAAAAACGTGTCTGTTTCTTTTGATCATCCCTCGTATATTTATTGAACTTAGGTTTTCAGTCAAAGATGTGTAAAGTCCACGGCATGACAATGGCTTCTTTTGAGGTTTTTCTCTTTAAAAAAACATGGGCTGAGAAGATGGGACAAAGTTATTTGGAATATCAAGTTAATTCATGATAACTTGCAGCGTACAGTGACAAAATATACCCACGGTGTCCAACCCAAACCCTTACATGCACGACGGAGCGTTTCATTACTGAAACTAAAGAATTCGAAAGAAACTCTCCGGACTAGGAAAACTGGCGGGCGGGAATGATGAGCCGTCTGACGATTTCCCCAATAATGGGAATAAGAGGCATGAGTTATTTATTTCGAGTATACCATTCGATGGGTGTGATATTCATTTGACGTTTGAAGCAATTAGGAAGAGCTGTACGAAGCAGAATAGATTTATAAACGTATTTGTCATTCTACTGGTCAAAACCCCTTTTGTCGAGACATGTGATTAGTTGAGCCAAGATTAGAGCACCGACATATATTTTGAACAAATTGCAATGCTTCAACACACCACACATTATCGTAATTGTGATTTGATGACCGAAATCCAGTCTTGAAAATGATGACATTCTCATATGAAAGAAATGCTGCAACCTGGTAAACAAAGTGAACTGGAAACGCTGCGGTAGTCTAGATCTGTTTAGGAAATAAATAGCTTGACTTTCCTTTTCAGGAAGAGAACGAAAAGATCTATTATACCCATTGGCATCAAAAGAATTAAGATTAATTCAGAAATAAACTTTTTGTTTTTGTCAATAGTTTTATGTTTTAGCACACATGTAGGCATGATATCATCTAATAGCTAGTTGCACGTTTAACACCATCAGGTTGGGACGTTTCAATTTCCCTAACAAGTACAACACGTGCTTGAGAGATAGATTCGATTCCGAACTCTTCTCTAATAACCTGAAAATAATATCAAAACAAAATGGTAAGAGCGTTTCTAAAATTGTGTCCTAAATCGACAGAGCGTTTCGAGGATAAAAAGCGATTTCTCGAAAACAAGTCGTGGATTTGGACTGGGATGTTAGAAAATGGGAATGTACAAGTTTGTGATCTACAACTTTGACAGGAAGATTGACGTTTTAATATAAATACTAGTTTAATTCGTAATTTGTGGTCAATTCGTCAACTTCAGATTCGTTCGATCTACACTACGAAGCTTTGATCAAGCAAATAACAGTTTACCACTAGAAGTTGAATAAATAAGATCTTTGCTCAGGGTATTGTTCATCGAATGGTACATAATATGTCACCACAACGTATGATATGTTAGAAAAACCAGTGAATCAATACGTATGGTCATCGTGGGATCTTCATTAGCCACCATTTCATTTCGCTCCGCAGCGTTTCTGCGTGAATGATACGCCTAGTCATGCATGTAAGAAAGCGTTTGGGTTGGACACCGTGATTACGGATATATGTGGGTATATGTAAATATTATAAAATTATAAGATGTCATTGACGTTCACGCATTTACTACATGCTATCTTTAAATAATACGACATTGCTAATCTTAAAAAAAAACATTACTGATTACCGACATAGTTTTCTATTTTTTCTAAAAAACAGCAACATAACATATTAAGTAATTCATAAATGTTGCTCTACAAACATAATAAATAGTAAGATTTAATCAAGTTAATAAATACAGAACAATATGAATGTCGTAAATTACTGCAATGATGAAGTGAATATATAGACCTTAGTAAAATGAAATAATATTTTGATTTGTAGCTCTAAAGGGTACATCGAGAATAACTACTAGTCCCAAACCCGAAGATAAACCTATAGATCCTAAGATGTTTGATCCTTCTGTAGGTAAATACAAGGGTAACAACAGTAACAAAGAACAACTTATTAATCTGTAGACTATTTTCGTATTCAAGGTACCACATATTGTATTTACATTATTGTATCAATATCACCTTTCAAACAGTAAACACATGATTGCTCTGTCCTCGCCTAGTTACGCTTAGTTATATAATAGTTAGTCTTTTGCAAGAAAGAGATTTAGTGATTATTTAGAAAACCGTCAGAAATAAGTGGAACCTAGAATATGAAAAAATCTCGTAACCTCTCAATTGGAATAGCTCACAGGTCATAGCCTCGTTCTAATTATTAGTCACATGACCTTTGACTAGGTAATCCCCAAAAATGTGCAAATGTGAGTAAATTTATTTCTGTTGATAACGCTCAATTGTGACGTCAAAACACAACTAATGTCAGTAAAACGATGTTTATATGTACCAGTGTGCTTTGGGATTTAGTATTTCTTACTCATATATAGGTTGAACTATCATTTCATCGGTTCTCAATTACTTTAAAATTAAAAATATTATCCACCTCTTGTATTATATTCCTAAAATAAGTCAAGGGTAGGATGACTATTTTAATTGCTAAACGCGCATGACGAAAACAAACATTTACATTACAAGTGTACGGGTTAGTACATTGATTTACACAAGTAAGTAACCGAACTATAATGTAGATGTCATACTAGTATGGACTATGGAATCATTACAATCGTCGATCAAAAATTACTTCAATTTACAAATACGCAGTCCTTTATATACACAGGCAGTTTTCCCGATTAACTTTATTTTCAGCTTGTTTGGATTTGATGATTGTAATAGATGTTTCGTGCTCAATTAAGCAAGAAGACAGAAATAACGCCACTGAATTTGCTGCTAGAGTAGTTAGTGGGCTATTTAAACCTCTGAATGATACAGAGAATATAAGAGTGGGTCTAGTGCGTTACAGTCAGACACTCGAGCAAGTATTTAGACTAGGTAAATTAAAAAAATCCAATCAGATTCTATATACTATATTTTATATTTTCCTTTTGTCTTAACCATACGCTTATTTTACTTTATTAGTGAATGACAGGATTCAGTTGTAAATGTGAGGATATGGTTCGTGTATTCCTTATTTATTAGATAGAAAATGACCTCTGCTAATATGTTTCGTGTATTCTGTCATCATTGAATACCAAGCGATTTTGATTGTGAATGTGAGGTCATATTTCGTGTCACCGTCATCACTTAACAGAAAGTGAACGCTGTAGTGATTGTAATGACATGTTTCTTGCATTCTATCATCATTGAATAGAAAATAAACTCTGTAGAGAATATGAATACAGGTTTCTTGTATTCTGTCATTATTGGATAGCAAGTGAACTCTGGAATGAATGTGAGGACAGGTTTCGTGTATTCTGGCATTATTGAATATCAAGTGAACTCTGGAGTGAATGTAAGGATAGGTTTCGTGTATTCTGTCATTATTGAATAGCAAGTGAACTCTGGAGTGAATGTGAGGACAGGTTTCGTGTATTCTGTCATTATTGAATATCAAGTGAACTCTGGAGTGAATGTGAGGACAGGTTTCGTGTATTCTGGCATTATTGAATATCATGTGAACTCTGGAGTGAATGTAAGGATAGGTTTCGTGTATTCTGTCATTATTGAATAGCAAGTGAACTCTGGAGTGAATGTGAGGACAGGTTTCGTGTATTCTGTCATTATTGAATAGCAAGTGAACTCTGGAGTGAATGTGAGGACAGGTTTCTTCTATTCTGTCATTATTGAATAGCAAGTGAACTCTTGAGTGAATGTGAGGAAAGGTTTCGTGTATTCTGTCATTATTGAATAGCAAGTGAACTCTGGAGTGAACGTGAGGACAGGTTTCGTGTATTCTGTCATTATTGAATAGCAAGTGAACTCTGGAGTGAATGTAAGGATAGGTTTCGTGTATTCTGTCATTATTGAATATCAAGTGAACTCTGGAGTGAATGTGAGGACAGCTTTCGTATATTCTGGCATTATTGAATAGCAAGTGAACTCTGGAGTGAATGTGAGGATAGGTTTCGTGTATTCTGTCATTATTGAATAGCAAGTGAACTCTGGAGTGAATGTAAGGATAGGTTTCGTGTATTCTGTCATTATTGAATAGCAAGTGAACTCTTGAGTGAATGTGAGGAAAGGTTTCGTGTATTCTGTCATTATTGAATATCAAGTGAACTCTGGAGTGAATGTAAGGATAGGTTTCGTGTATTCTGTAATTATTGAATAGCAAGTGAACTCTGGAGTGAATGTGAGGATAGGTTTCGTGTATTCTGTCATTATTGAATATCAAATGGACTCTAGAGTGAATGTGAGGACAGGTTTCGTGTATTCTGGCATTATTGAACATCAAGTGAACTCTGGAGTGAATGTGAGGACAGGTTTCGTGTATTCTGGCATTATTGAATAGCAAGTGAACTCTGGAGTGAATGTGAAGACAGCTTTCGTATATTCTGGCATTATTGAATAGCAAGTGCACTCTGGAGTGAATGTGAGGCCAGGTTTCGTGTATTCTGTCATTATTGAATAGCAAGTGAACTCTGGAGTGAACGTGAGGACAGGTTTCGTGTATTCTGTCATTATTGAATAGCAAGTGAACTCTGGAGTGAATGTAAGGACAGGTTTCGTGTATTCTGTCATTATTGAATATCAAGTGAACTCTGGAGTGAATGTGAGCACAGGTTTCTTGTATTCTGTCATTATGGAATAGCAAGTGAACTCTGGAGTGAATGTGAGGACAGGTTTCGTGCATTCTGGCATTATTGAATAGCAAGTGAACTCTGGAGTGAATGTGAGGCCAGGTTTCGTGTATTCTGTCATTATTGAATATCAAATGGACTCTAGAGTGAATGTGAGGACAGGTTTCGTGTATTCTGGCATTATTGAACATCAAGTGAACTCTGGAGTGAACGTGAGGACAGGTTTCTTGTATCCTGTCATTATTGAATATCAAATGGACTCTAGAGTGAATGTGAGGACAGGTTTCGTATATTCTGGCATTATAGAATATCAAGTGAACTCTGGAGTGAACGTGAGGACAGGTTTCGTGTATTCTGTCATTATTGAATAGCAAGTGAACTCTGGAGTGAATGTGAGGACAGGTTTCTTCTATTCTGTCATTATTGAATAGCAAGTGAACTCTTGAGTGAATGTGAGGAAAGGTTTCGTGTATTCTGTCATTATTGAATAGCAAGTGAACTCTGGAGTGAACGTGAGGACAGGTTTCGTGTATTCTGTCATTATTGAATAGCAAGTGAACTCTGGAGTGAATGTAAGGATAGGTTTCGTGTATTCTGTCATTATTGAATATCAAGTGAACTCTGGAGTGAATGTGAGGACAGCTTTCGTATATTCTGGCATTATTGAATAGCAAGTGAACTCTGGAGTGAATGTGAGGATAGGTTTCGTGTATTCTGTCATTATTGAATAGCAAGTGAACTCTGGAGTGAATGTAAGGATAGGTTTCGTGTATTCTGTCATTATTGAATAGCAAGTGAACTCTTGAGTGAATGTGAGGAAAGGTTTCGTGTATTCTGTCATTATTGAATATCAAGTGAACTCTGGAGTGAATGTAAGGATAGGTTTCGTGTATTCTGTCATTATTGAATAGCAAGTGAACTCTGGAGTGAATGTGAGGATGGGTTTCGTGTATTCTGTCATTATTGAATATCAAATGGACTCTAGAGTGAATGTGAGGACAGGTTTCGTGTATTCTGGCATTATTGAACATCAAGTGAACTCTGGAGTGAATGTGAGGACAGGTTTCGTGTATTCTGGCATTATTGAATAGCAAGTGAACTCTGGAGTGAATGTGAAGACAGCTTTCGTATATTCTGGCATTATTGAATAGCAAGTGCACTCTGGAGTGAATGTGAGGCCAGGTTTCGTGTATTCTGTCATTATTGAATAGCAAGTGAACTCTGGAGTGAACGTGAGGACAGGTTTCGTGTATTCTGTCATTATTGAATAGCAAGTGAACTCTGGAGTGAATGTAAGGACAGGTTTAGTGTATTCTGTCATTATTGAATATCAAGTGAACTCTGGAGTGAATGTGAGGACAGGTTTCTTGTATTCTGTCATTATGGAATAGCAAGTGAACTCTGGAGTGAATGTGAGGACAGGTTTCGTGCATTCTGGCATTATTGAATAGCAAGTGAACTCTGGAGTGAATGTGAGGCCAGGTTTCGTGTATTCTGTCATTATTGAATATCAAATGGACTCTAGAGTGAATGTGAGGACAGGTTTCGTGTATTCTGGCATTATTGAACATCAAGTGAACTCTGGAGTGAACGTGAGGACAGGTTTCTTGTATCCTGTCATTATTGAATATCAAATGGACTCTAGAGTGAATGTGAGGACAGGTTTCGTATATTCTGGCATTATAGAATATCAAGTGAACTCTGGAGTGAACGTGAGGACAGGTTTCTTGTATTCTGTCATTATTGAATATCAAGTGAACTCTGGAGTGAACGTGAGGACAGGTTTCGTGTATTCTGGCATTATTGAATAGCAAGTGAACTCTGGAGTGAATGTGAGGACAGATTTCGTGTATTCTGTCATTATTGGATAGCAATTGAACTCCGGAATGAATGTGAGGAAAGGTTTCTTGTATTCTGTCATTATTGAATATCAAGTGAACTCTGGAGTGAACCTGAGGACAGGTTTCTTGTATTCTGTCATTATTGAATAGGAAGTGAACTCTGGAGTGAATGTGAGGACAGGTTTCGTGTATTCTGTCATTATTGAATAGCAAGTGGACTCTGGAGTGAATGTGAGGACAGGTTTCGTGTATTCTGTCATTATTGAATAGCAAGTGAACTCTGGAGTGAATGTGAAGACAGGTTTCTTGTATTCTGTCATTACTGAATAGCAAGTGGACTCTGGAGTGAATGTGAGGACAGGTTTCGTGGATTCTGTCATTATTGAATAGCAAGTGAACTCCGGAATGAATGTGAGGACAGGTTTCTTGTATTCTGTCATTATTGAATAGGAAGTGAACTCTTGAGTGAATGTGAGGACAGGTTTCGTGTATTCTGTCATTATTGAATAGCAAGTGAACTCCGGAATGAATGTGAGGACAGGTTTCTTGTATTCTGTCATTATTGAATAGCAATTGGACTCTGGAGTGAATGTGAGGACAGGTTTCGTGTATTCTGTCATTATTGAATAGGAAGTGAACTCTAGAGTGAACATGAGGACAGGTTTCGTATATTCTGGCATTTAGATAGCAAGTGAACTCCGGACAACATACCACCTAGACAACTCATCCCCAAGACAACTCATCCCCTAGATATGTCATCTCATAGTAGACAACTCATCCCCTGGATAATTCATCCCATAGACAACTTATCCCCTGGACAAATGATCCCCTAGACAATATATCTCCAGGACAACTCATCCCTGGACAACTCATCCCCAAGACAACCCATTCCCTGGACACATCATCCCCTAGACAACTCATCCCCTGAACAATTCATCCTTTATCACACAAAGCCAAATTGTAAAGTGTTTTTTGAAATGAAATATTAAATACACCTTGGATCATTCTAAATATTATTGTTTACTGTATTGACACAAATTAAACCGTCAAACAGTCGTACGGTACCATTAAAACTTTAATCTCTTGCCCTTATATAACATGACTTAATTTTTCATGACAAAAAATAAAGTTTTCTCTCTGCATAATTTTGAAACATGAACTTCAGTAACTTCAGCTGTGAATACTGTGAAATCTTGACATCAAAAGAGCTTCTTCAATCAATGTTTATATAATATTGAAATTGTATATTAAAAGTAAAATAAAGGTTAATATTACATATTAATTGGTCAATTATTTCCTTGCCAATATCATAGTTTTTAAACAATTTTCCAGATCTCCCCTCTAGAAAGTCTTTGTTCACTTGTACTCCACTCGATTATGCTTTTACCAGACCAGATGGCTTCGGTAACGAAATGTACTTGAAGGTAGCATTTTTCTCTTTTCCTTATTTCACACGTTATAGGCAGAATTGCTACTACATTTTCTCACAAACATTTGTCAGCATCACATGTTTAAGAAAATAAACATGTTTGCTAACAAATAGTACAGAAGACAACAGAATCATCGCTTAAATAACTCACTATTGTAATGTAAATGGAGAGTTAGAGGTGCAGATCTTAACCGTTTTTGAAGTTCCATTTACGTAACAAAAGTGAGGTGTTAAATCAATGGTCGTGTTGTCCTCTGTTTGCAAACATATACATATGTTTAGACATATGATTGTGACACATGTTTGTGATAAAGAATGCTGTTTGAATTCTGCCTACAACTGGTGAAATAATCGCACCTTCGAGGCTTTGACATTTTGTTACTGAAACGATCCATTTACAAAGTAATTGAGTGGAGTACCAGTGTTCATATGTTTTTGAAACTTAAACTAATCATGATGACCAAAACATTTATATATCATTTGAATAATATATGAATTGGTAATATAACATTAAATTACTCAATTATGCCAAAGGATAGGTCGTTCAGGGGATGAGTTGTCTAGGGGATAAGTTGTCTAGGTGATGAGTTGTCCATGGGATGAGTTGTCTTGGAGATGAGTTGTGCAGGGGATAAGACACAGGGGATAAGTTGTCCAGGGATGAGTCGTCTAGGGGATGAGTTTCAAGTTTAGGCAAAAAATGTCTTAACTTGTTCAAACCATTCATTGAAGATGATCATGGCGAATCTGACGTTATCGAACATGCAGTTCGTACAATGAATACAAGTGATCTTGGCTGTAAAACACACACACATACGGTCCTCAAAGAACTCTACACGACATACTTCACAAAGAATCTAGGTGACAGGTAAAATAAAAAAGCTTATACAATGAGTTTTAAGAGGTGCAAGGTACAAGATATTTGGGGAACGGCGTATCCTATCGTTCACGGAGCTTTTATTTAAACTCCGTTCACGAGTATACTTGTTTTTGGGCTATTATCCCAAAGATTAATGATTATATAAGGTTGCATAATCATGATTTTGCGCTGTCATTTCGTAACATTATCTCATGATTACGTAATCGTTTCTTTGGTATACAATTACGCAGCTCTGATCGATAGATAGCCGTCTCCCCATGCCAAAAGGTTAAATTGTAATATGTTATATTTTATGTAATAAAATCTATAAAAACGTAGACATGTTCTTTGGATATAAATTGTGATTTAACAAGTAATTTGTTAAATCTGGTTTATATCACAGAGAACGGTGTCTGTCCTACCAGCCCAATTAAACGTCTATTGACAGATCCAATTAGGCCGAGACAATAACTTATCTTAATGCTATACCACCTGTCCTGTAGTAGTTTGGTTTACACAGTTTCAGCTTCGCATCTTGAGGAAGTCGGACGCTTACCCGCCATGCTAGGCTTAAACAATAATCGATGAACCAAAAATTCTTCTGTAGCGGTTTTAAATTGAATATACTGTTACTTTAAAGTTAGTTGCAAGTGAAGATTTATCTAAGACACAATAACAGATTGAAATATCAAAAATCTCTACCGAAATTAATGCCGCCACAAATATGAGAAAATATTGAAAAATTCATGTCCATGACATACTTATAATGAACATTACTCATTGAGCCTTCCTATATTTATTGCTAGGTCCAACGAAGCATACCCAAACGCGGCCATATTGTTTACAGACGGTCGTACAATTTCGCAGAGGTTTGCTCCTGAAACAAAGAGACAGGCAAGGAATGCTGAAGTGTCTGACATAGAGATACATGTAGTGGATGTGCCTCATCGGTAAGTATCACTATGCAAAATACACGAATTGATATAGCAGATGATATACATGTATGTATGACAGGAAAACAATGCTGACATGTCTGACATAGAGATACATGTAGTGGATGTGCCTCATCGGTGAGTATCATCCTTTGAAAAATGACTAAATACAATGCAGGAAAATAAACACTGCATACTCGCTTACTATTATAGTCTAGTGCTTTCTTCCGAAAGACGAAAAACGATCCTGAAAATTGAACATTTAAAGATCTGATAGAGACCTTGACAATCAAAGATGCAACAATACATGGGGTATCCCTTTAAATAAAACTTATAATTTGTAATGATAATGATATTATTTTTGTGGATTTTGGGTGTTAGCTTGTCTTCGCAGAAGCAAAAACGCTGAACAGCAGGAAGATGAAGTCCTGTAATGTATTGTGACACGAATCAGTATTTTTGTCTTCAGGCAAGGTTTGGGTGATTTGGCTGATGAGTTCGACGAGTTGCCAACAAGACCACAACTTTTGTATAATCTCACAGAACCTGAACACATCGATAGCATTGTACAGGACATAAAGAGGAGATACAATTGTGACAGACCAGACTTTGGCTCGCAAAGAGATGAACAGTCGTCAGGTAGATTTCTCGTTATGTCTTTTTTGTTGAGGTTAATGCACCAGCTTTATTATGTTCTCTTTCTAATAAGAACTTATTTAGATAGGTTAATACCATAGACATGTTACGATAGAAGCAATGTTTATACCCATTCCAATCTTCTGTATCTTTTTCAGTACCAGGTGAATATGAATCGAAATAAAAGCTCTTGATTTTGTTGTCTTGTATTTGAAACAGGTTGTGCAAACGTTGTCTTTTGTATTGATATAAGCTGCTCTATTGATCGTACAAACGTAACCAGGGCTATCAAAATAGCAAAGGATATCATAGACGCATCAGAATTTCGTCACAATTATGGAGCATTTACATATGATAACAACACCGTGGGCTCTGTACCATATTTCACTGATACGAGTGCAGAATTGAACAACCTTAATTCCGAAACGAAAGCTTGCAAGACAAGAACAAACCGAGCAATAACCTATGCCAGGAAGAATTTCTTCAATAATAATTCTTCTTCAAACGTGCTTATTATATTCGGCGATGGCAATGAATCCCCTTGGCGTGAAAACAAGTTTGCGATAGAAAACGCCAAAGACTTTACCAGTAATAACAAAGGGACGCTTATATGGGTCATTCTCACTAGCAACCGAGATAATACAACTAGAATACGTGGAATAGAGGAGCAGATTAAAGTTGTAGCTTCAGTAAATAATATAGGAACGAAATTAATCCTTGAACATAACGATCCGGATGTTGCAACAGTAATCGCTGATTATTTGGACAGACATTTTCCAAGATGCTCGGAGTCATCTGAATAAACAATTTCCGGTAGATCACAGTTGGACACGTCAATTGTAATTATACTGTACACATAAACTTTAGAATGAACTTACGTAAAAAAAACTATCTATACATGCTTTGCTTTTTTGTTTGTTTTAGTGAAACTACATGTAAAGCCTCAGATACGGCGACCGTACGGTCTATCATTTCTGCGGTCAGTAACAGTTCTACCGTCACCGTATAATTTCTGCGGACAGATTATTTAGCATTCACATTTGCTCCGGCAGGCGTATAGCGTATTTTGATTTTGAGGAGACATAAAAAGTCCAGTTGCCGTACGGCACCCGGGTGTAATTTTCTTGACAAAACCCAATGTAGACGCACGGCCGCTGCAATGAGGACTTACGGCTAACCCATGGTACAAATAGATCGATTGCAACCCATAAAATCCAAGAGCAGTCGCAAGTCGACCGTACGCCCGATACGCGGCCATCGTGCAACCGTTCTGCGGTCTTGCCACGGCCAATTACGATGTTCGCAGAAATGAAAATAGTTACAGCTCCAAGTTATAATTTTTACGGCGAGCCTACGGCCTGTTTGAAAACTGAATAGCTCATACGGAGACTGCAAAGAGACTACCGTTTTCTTGAGCTCGGCATAGTTTATTGATTAATTGATGTACAGTCGTAGAAAAAATATTACTGGGCTTTTACTAATAGCTTCATGTACTTTTGTTATGTTAGTGCTTTATCTTTGGATGTCCAATGGGATTGGTGGCTCAAATTATGTGATTGGTGAAATGATATGATTAATAGATTTGCTAGATTGTAAGAATCGCCCATTTAAACTCTTAAAGATTATATCAAGCAGTGATTATATTATGCATTACAAGGAGAACTGTGACGCTGCAGTCAGTCACGCACCCACGCTCGATTATGCAATGCGTCTTATCGTATCGTTTAATGACATATTATTAGTAAGAAGGATGTTTGTGTCGATGAGTAATTGATCTTGGGAATCAAGATAATGTGAACCACCACTGTTATAAAGCATGTTTTCCTTTTTGAACTAGAACATCTTAGCTCTCCATGATAAACTCTCATAACGTTACCGCATCAGCCTGATCAAGTTCAAATATCAAAGCATTGTGTCAAATAAAAAGTGCTTTAATTCGATGAAAACTCAAAATTCGAAATCAACAATTTCGTCCGCCATCTTGAATGCGAAGGTGACGGTAGTTACATACGCTTGATATCCACCAGTGATCCTAAGGATCGCCCATTTATCAAGCAGTGTACATGCATTATATTATTTATTGGAAGAGATTGTGACGTTGCAGTCAGTCACGCACGCTCATTATGTATCGCGTCTTATCCTATCGTTTAATGACATATTATTAGTAACAAGGATGTTTGTATTTCAGATACATTCGAATTCCAAAAATAAATGAAAGAGAATTGTAATATTGTACTCAGTCACGCAACCTCATTATACACTGCCTCGCCTTATTATATCTGATGACATATTTATAGAAACAAGGATGTTTGTATTACAGATAGGATCCGTTACCTAATGTACCTGAAGGTGCCCCCAAAGGTTTCATTGAAAATAATATGAAAATAGTAACTTTTATCAATTATGAACACATCAAAAATGAAATAAGGTCATTTGGATTAAAAGTAAGGTCATTCAGTGCATTTAATTTTGACTATGCAAATCATTCTAAATATCATTTTAGGGGTACGTAGTCTTCAGTCATGATAATTTTAAGCATGTTGACCATTCCTCAATAAATATATCAAAACATCGTTAAGGTAGAACACAAAGGGCAACATATTGAAAACACATATCATAAAAAAACTTAAAATATATTGTGAAAAAATGAACCTTAATACATATGTTGTCTACAATAGTACCATGATCACCTCAGTTGTTATATAGAAGGCATTTAACCTAGAGGGTATATTAAAATATAATTCAGGTGGGACATGAAGGGCAACATACTGAAAACACAAATCATAAATAACCCCTAAAAATAATATATCATATGATAAAATGTACCTTGTTAAATGTGTTCTGAACAATAGTACCCTGATCACCCTTGTTGTTTACTGTAGCTTTAACCTAGGTATTCAACCTAGATATTATGTCAAAACATCATTGAAGATAGAGTAGAACACAAAGAGCAACAGTTGAAAATAGTTGCGACTTTTCATTGCATCATATTTTTATTTGGCATCGCCAAAGAAATTAAAACAATGATAGATGACATAATGGTCTTAGTTTATTTCATATGAACACTTAAGTAGCAATTCAAACAAATGAGTAGCCGAAACATATCTTTTCGATTATCAGGCTCATTGCTTACATATCACATTTCTAAAAGTATACCCCATGAAGAAATTTTTGAAAAACATATTTTAAGTTACCTGTGATTTAATTTCTTTATGCAAATGACACGTGTTTTCTTTGATCTTGTTATCATTGAAAATTGAATACACTGTTTAGAGGTTTGAACATGGTGCTCAGAATTATATATGGGAACCCGGGTTGGATGGTTCTGTGGTGTGAAACGTTGATACAATCGCCATTGTAAATGACAGAGTTTGTTGGAAGGTTCAGTCCAGAATGTCTTTCCAAACAAGATTTTATATTTTCTATGTTGCACCTACCTTTAAGCAATTCATTCTTGACTATAACATTATTTCTTTTCACGTTAGATCATTGTTTTGGGATATATTGGGTTTGTTTTTTGACTGGTATGCACTTAGAGTTTGCTTTTTCTTGCTAAGTTTCATTATAACTTTTGGTCCTTTCCATTTGGCACTTGTGCTTAGATATTCATGTTTGAATTATAAAATAGTGTCAATACTAAACAATGAAGGTAAAATCAGAGGGGGTCTTGTTTGTGGAAGTACCTCAATCTGTGAATGAATGGAGAAGGGCATTCACTGTTTTCAACAAAAACACAACAGGGTATCTTTCAAAACAATAGGATTACTAACTATTTATGCATGAATGGCACATGATGAATGAAGCTAAGTAGATAAGGACACATTGTAGTTCTTATATTGACAAGTAAAAATTAAGTCTATCTACAGAACTCAAGATTTTAATCAAGGTTCTGTGAAAATATGTCAACATTTCTCATTTTAAGAGTCAACATGACACGGGTTAAGAATCACTGTTAAAAACACCTTTTACCATATTTTCCACACTATTTTTGTGATTTTTTGAAATATACTTGATAAAGATTCAAATTGCATAAAAATAATTCTGGAATTTTATTTTAACCCTTTCAGTATTTTTGTAAGTTCTTATAGGTTCACTAATAGGTACGGATCCTTTAAATTTTATAACTAAAACAAAGTGAATTGTGAAGTTGTAGTCAATCGCGTATATTAATTATACATTGACTCATTTTCTATCGAAAATTCCCGACTTCTCCCGAAGAAACAAAATATCCAGATTCTTATTTTTCTCGACAGGCATGGGTTCCTGCGTAACGCCCTTTTTCATTAAGTAAAGGTAAGGTACTTGTTCTAAATTTTGCAATTCACATACGTTGATGCCTTGGTAAGGCCAACTACCCCTCTTTGCAAACACCATATTTGTATTATCTATAGATTAATTACTTTTAGTCTCGTTATCCAGATATTCTAAATAAAATCAGAATTTCTTGAAGTGAACTGTTTTAAAATATCCTTGATATGACCGTGACCTTGAGTACAATATACAAGAGGTAGAGGAGTGAATAAAACAATCAACTTGACAGTCAAGTAGAAATTATGAAATTGATGTATTCTAAAAATGACCTTTGGTATTTTAGAGTAATATATCGGGTGTCCCAAAAATGAGACACTTTTTGACAAGTATTTTCTCGGCAACAGATGAATTTTTTTTAGGAAAATTTGTATAAAGTAGTCGTAGAGTATCGTTAGCAAGGTACAGAAATATGAAAAAGATCAGATTAATGTTATGTGAGTACTAAGAAATTCAAGATAGCATGTCAAAATAACCCATATCGGAGCAATGCAATGAGAATTTCATCGCGTTTGTACCAAAAATGGGAAGCAATTTGACAAGTAATTTCTCAGAAATAGTTGAGCTTTAAATCATTTGAAAACTTTACTTGAGGCACGTTAGTGTATGTTCTGCTAGTGTTATGAATGTGTCATATATTGGCTTCATATTATGTGTGTATTGTTGAATTAAAGACAGTGTGTCAAAATAACCAATATTGAAGTAAGTCTCACTTATTAATTCTTTTTCAAGCAAAATACCTTCCGTATTTAATCTAACAATATCACCTCCAATGAATTTTGAGAATGAATGGATTTTGGATATTTGGGAAGAATGAAATGAATTAAGTAGACATGACACACAGAGAAGCTATTTTGACTTATTTACAAATGCTATACAAATGCTGGTACAAACACTATAGAGGTCTCATTGCAGAGCTCCGGTATTTTGACATGCTATTTTGAATTTCTTATTTATCGCAGAATATTTACTGAATCTTTTTTATGTTTCCACAACTTGTTCATGATATTCATAGGCTAATTTGTACAAATTCTTAGTGAATTTAGTCGATCAGTTGCCGAGAATTACTTGGCAAAAATGTCTCAATTTTGGGACACCCAATATTGCAATACATGTATATGAAATGGAGGGTTAGAATTAGCTATACGTTAATCAATGACCAAACAGTCTTACATGTGGCTCTTTGCATAGTGTTTATTACATTACTCGCATTTCTCTGTGTAGGATTAATAGTAGCACTAGCACATTTTTGTCGCCTACTTTGGTGTACCGAGAGAAACATCCAGTAAGAGTTTGTTCATGAAGCATTTTCATACTTTAACTTGAAACAATTTGTGACACTCAATTCTTTGAGAAGTCAAAGTAGGCGACAAAAATGTGTGTGGGGTACTATAGATATTATATTTATATATAATAAATCAGTAAAAATATAGCTGAAACAGTACTTGTCAGTGTTCCTTATGCATACAAGTAATGTTGAACAGTTTCTTGATTCCATACTCTGATAATTTACATTGATGACACGTTGACGCATTTTAAACTTCCGCTTTGTTATGTCTGATTAATTATGTCAATACTCTAAAGGAAATCATTTGTCTAGCAGTTAGTCCCAAGTATAGCTAAATAACTAATCTAAATCTTTTGAAATAATGTAGGTTGACGAAATCATCGAAACATTACCCTTTCCGTTATAATAATCTAAAGTCTAGTATTTTCCAAATGAACATAAATAGATAACCTTAATCAAATATTAATTCTTCATACAGATTTTTCAAAAATATTAGACCAAAATGATTTGTCATAACTTCATTCTCGGGAGTTATAGTGGAAAGCCCTGTATGCTAAAACTATTCCGAAGTAACCATGATTTGGACTACAGAAAATAATTAAAAGATATATGCTGTGGAAAATTATAGAAATGGGAAGTATTTATGCAAAAAATGAGATATCAGTGGAAGAATGAAGTTGTGAGATTTACCGTTTTAACCCCTGAGTTTAAGTTTTTCTGTAGATGCAAGGTCGCCACTTTGAGCATGTCATCAAACTGAAATGATTTCAAAAGTCTTTGTTTGATCAAACTGAAACTTTCGGACATTATCAGACAATGGATCAAGATCAAATGTGCCAAATATAATGTGAAGTTTTTGAAACCCTGTATTATTATTCATACGAATAACCTTAACACTAATGTCTGCCGGGAGGGTCCTTATGGGTTTTATCAGTATCTTTTTGTTTTGCAAATGCCTCCATCCCTAGTTTGAGCCACAGAGGGATGACGTAAAAATCAAGGTGATTTGGGTGGAGGGGCAAAATTATAATCGTCAGAAGTTGATGCTAAAAAATATTTTTATTGATTTTATTGATTTTTTCTAATACTGTAGAAGATACAAAGTGATTATTTTTGCTCATTTTAAAAGACCGTCATTCAGCATATTGAATTCCCTTTCTAATGTGCTTTCGAGCAACTATTGACTATTTAATGAATTCCAAACTTAAGGTAAAATTCATTAAGTTGGCAAGTATTTGCGAATTTCGTTTTCCTCAACAATTTGAATGTATAAGCACAAATGCAAAAGGGAAGGGTGACTAAAAACTTTAAAGAAACCCAACAAGGAAAGTAAACTGTAAGTGTAATCTGTCATGAGAAAAGTAGACCCTATATTTCCCCAAATTTCACAATCCAGGACCAGAACACCAAGGGACATTTCATTCATACTGAAGTCATTACAATACATGTTAAAGAAAAATTGAAAAAATTGATAGCCAATACTCATAACATCAGAAATAGTTGTAGATACTAGTACTCATAAAATATCTCAAAAAAGTCTCAAATGGTGTGGGAAAGATGACTATTTTCTTCAAAGAAATACTTTATGGATAAACATATGCTTTTTAAACGTTTGTAAATATATGTTTCCATGGTAAAAAGATTGTGATGATTATCTTATCTAATTTGTTTATCCTCCCTCCCACCCTCCCTCAATTATTCAATTTTACAAATTCATGGTTGTTATACAAAATCATGAATCGAAAATATTTTAATTCCACGAAATTAAGCATTTGTCAACAACCCAACTCAATCACTGAATACAGACCTGCCAACCTAAAATGAAAAAGTGCAACACTGTGTGCCAGTCGATTGTTATCTGGTTGTACCTGGTATACAGTTTTATGTAAATTCGACACAGGAATTAAACATACGTAAAATGTATATGAGGCGTCATACAACCGGTCATAACAAACAAAGACTGTATTTTATATGCCCGCAGCGCAAGTCAGTTGCGTAATAATTAATAATGTTTCACCCTACATGTAGGTATCACGAAAAAGAACAATAAGTCAAGCAATGCAAATTACATAGTCACACATTTCAACAAAAACAACTCGTCCAAGCGCACCTACACTCACATAATTCTTTAGAAGTAAGATGAAGCCATCGCTTCAATATATTTTTTTGCAATGACCAGTGACAAATACAATTGATCAGAATAATATTTACGCAGTGATTGCAAGGTCATTCTAATATAGAAAGTAACAGATACGTTAGATGTGATTGATGAATGGAAACACTTTTTAAGCCCCAATATTCAAACTGACTTTGTGTTAGTTATTTCTAGCCATTTAAGTATTCCCCTTTGGCCCCATCGCATACACACGGGTTATAAACTGCTAGATTTGAAAAATTGATAGCAAAAGATAAAATTTGATCAAGAATCAATTCTTAACAGGCTATCCGTATCCCAATTAATGTCGGTTAACTTTTCAAATCTCCCCCACAGCTGCTTGTTTATTGAAATTTTACGGTTGAAAATAAGCTTGATTAGTGATTATTTAGATTTAATTCAGCTTTTTGCCAACTACTGACAATGTTTTCTAGCCCCTAGATTCAAATACACATTAAGTAGTTGTAAAGGTGGTTTAAAATATTAACCCCAAATCTTTGGGGTAGCTATCCGGGGCACTTAATTTGAAGATGGTCACTCATATAATTTCCCAGAAATAATTGGACTTGGAGATATACATGTAGTTTCTGCTTATGGTAACTTCAGGAGATTGGTATGTTGTCATATACACAAAAACATGCGACCTCAGAAATGAGGAAGAATCCTTCGTGCACTTCTGAATATATCATCAAGTTAGCCTGTTTTCTTAAACCAATAAGTTTGCTTCTCATACGCCCTGATCTATGACTTGAATTACTCTCATGTCGAATAAAATGAAACAACGCAAACAAGATTTGTCAAATATATGGTATATGTTTGATCTGCGAATCTGAATGTTTGATAATGTGTAGGTTGTATAACATTTAGACCTTTGAATCAACATATATAAGTCCGTCAGCTTGAAGCATTTGTCTCATTGGACAAAACACACCTGCGCACGGAAAGGTAAGGATTTGAAAACATTTTTGATAAAAGAAAGTAAACGGAATTTTCTTACATGGCAAAACTTCTAATTACAGATTTTATTCCATGAAACATTGAAAAAATGAACACAATTAAATAGTTGGTATTTCTTTTTTAGACACATCGAGTATCGGATTTGAAACATGCGATTGTTACTTGCATTTTGTGCCATATTGGTAAAGCATACGAATGACTGTGGTGCATTTGACATACGAGCTCCTATCAACAAGGGAAACATAAATAAAGCTGGAATAAATCCGAAAAGCGGTTTATCAGGATGTACGTTTCATGAAATAAATACATAGCAAATATGTTCATGAACATATGTTCACCAGCATAAGCTATTGCAAATTAGTTTTTATCAAATCACCATTTATGAATCAGATTTCAATGTGCTGTATATTGATGTGTTTTTTCTTTATAACCCTACTATCACGCCGAACTAGTTCTCACTACGTTCTCAAAACGGGCTTCAACTGTGTACGAACGGACTGGACGTACCTAGGACCGTTTGGGGTCTATTTACAAACTTCATCGAACGTACTCGAACGAGTAAGTCGTACCTCAACCATACTAGGGACGTTTTTATAACGAGTTGAACTGTCTGGGGACGTATTAAAAATGAGGTAGATCTAATTGCAAACGGGTTTAAACTGATTAAGAACGTATCAAAGACTGCCAATGAACGAGTTAGTAAAAACATAGCTATTAAACTGGTTTAAAACTGTGTGCGAACGGAATGAACGTAGCTGCGACTTTAAGGTTTATCTGCGAACTTCATGAACGTTCTCAGACGGAACGATGATATTAGAATTTTGAATCGATGGCGATCTGTAATCAGATCGTGTGACAACGATATGACCTACTCGACCAGGAACGTTATTGCCGTACTTCAACCCTACTAGGGACGCGTTATACAACGTTGTGCAATCGGATATCAATAGTATAGGTTCCATATAGCTTTTGAAATCTCGCTAAATCTCGTTTTTCGTGAGATTTTAAGAGACTTGCATATTAGACCTCTAATGACTTACATTACCTTCTTTTAAATGGCATATTTGGATTCAGTGAAATGTTTTCTCCTTTAATAGCTTTGATTTATACACAGTTATGTAATTTGAATAATTTTCTATAACAATTTAAAAAACTTGGGCTAAATGTCCATAGATGCAATGCTAAAATTCTTCAAATCCGTGGATTATTTGTATGTCAATCAACATTTGCATGTTTAATCACATCATGTACATAAACAGGGTCATCATGTGGTATATCATTCAAGTTTTATACAGATTCAACAAACACACTTTGATAAATCATGAAATTAAGCCACTTTTCCAAGTTTTAGCATGTAAATGAATGGAGCTCTAGCCCAAGTTAAAAGCTGAATAAAAGATGGCAGCACGAGATTTCATTGATTTTCTGCTATTTAGAAACTATCCTATTGCAATACGTGTGCACACCGAGATGGTGCGATCGGAACGTATTGCGAATGAGATGGATGTATTGAAAACTGTTTATGAACGAAGTAGTTAATTATTTTAGAAATATTTCCCGACCACAGCCAGATTTAGCTCGTTTCACCACTTTTTCATAGGACTGGAAATAACGGTTGAGAACTAGTTTGGTGTTATAGGGGGTAAGGAATAATATCTGCTCAACGCGTCATTGCTTCTTTCCTAGAAATAGCGATAAAAATGTGAACATTTGGGTAAGAAAATGTATTCAATTTCCCTAAGTTCCCGTTATTCTATAGATGGGCAACATTGTATTTGCTCATTAGTCTTTGGTAAAGTGAATATTAGCGTTGATCATTTTTTATCCGTAAACGTTTAGACCCCCCCTTCCGCATTTTCTGACGCCCATTCGCTACCATGTTAAAAATCATCTTAAATTCGCAAAAAGTGTCAATTTCATTCTGTTTGACACCAAATTTTTTACCAAAGGAACTACAGTGATTTTCATCAAATGTATTTAAATAGTTGTTCAATATGGCTTTGATCCATGGTAAAACAGATGGCACTTTGCCTCATTTTTTCAGAGAAAATAATTGTTAAAGCATTGGTTTTTAGAATCTGCTTTATATAGTGATGCTAACCTGCGTTGGTTTTTAGCAAGATTTAGGCATTGATAAAATGAGATTTAGAGAACTTATGATCCTCACAATTCTAGATGCTTATATGATCGGCTATCATGTTCTTTAAGGTTTGGGGCCATACATGTTGTAATCATTAGAGTTATGGTTAACTAAAAATGATAAAAATCAATTCACGTGGGGCAATTTAAAATCTCTTCCATTTTAGGGGAGCATAAATCGATGATCCAGACATAAAGAACCTCAAATCTTTCTGGGGTGAGACTTCATGACCAAACATCTAGCACCTATACTTCTGGGGATTACAGTTCTCATACTAAAAATAATTCTAATGTATTAAAAATCTGTACAAAATGCCGATTGAGAATCCGTATACAATAAATCACATTTTAAACAATTATTTTTCTCAGTTTTTGTGTATAATAGAAAACAAATTTCTCTGCAATATAGGTGAATTTCATAAAACTGACTGAAGTGCCTCTGGGTGAACATTCCTCAAACTTAATGAAATTGACACTTTCTGCAACTTTCAGATGATTTTTAACATGGAAGTGAATGTGCGTCAGAAAATGCGCTAAGGGTTGGTCTAAACGTTGATGGATTGAGCTGATTTTTTTATAAGTTTAGGGCGTGTAAAAGTAGTTATTTCCTTTAAATACCTCCAAGATCTGAGAGAAAGTTGAAAAATAGTGCATATGTTTGCGGCATATTAACTAAGAAACACAACAATTCTCATATTTACAATAACTGAGTATTGTGAATTCACATTAGATGAATTCAAATAATTCTTCAAATATTTGGCCGTCTCTCACGCAATGGTATCATTTATGCACTCCACGTTCTCTTAGCCACGTGGTCTTAAAGTTCATTCATCAATTTGTTGTAAATTGAATGATTCAGCATCAATTTGATTCCACCTTTTCTGTTTCATTTGTGTTAAGATGCTGATGGTCTTGAGACTACTCTTCCTCCACTTCCCCCGGGATTTGCAGCTGACGACCCTTCAGCAAATTCAGGTATGGTATTTACATTAATTACAATTTGCGATTATACAGTGTTATACACTTTCCTCTATGACTGGAATATCGTTTTTATATGCGAAATGCTTGATACCATTGTTAATTAGCCTGTCTCAAACTGTTTAAAACTGCCAGCTAGGTTTAAAAGAAGCATATACACACTGCCCAAAAATAGGGTAGTGCCGAAACCCGTCCAAAATATGATTTTCAGATGATTTGTATCCCTTAAATAATAGTAAAATTAATGGTAGGATGTAACCATTTTGCTCAATAAACATATTTATTTTATATTCACATCATTGCTGGATATTGAATTTCTCATATTAATGACGTCTATTTTTGAAAAAGATGATATACACGATTTTGCTCTAAATATTTTTCCATATTTACAAAAATGACTGATAAAGGACAATGTACATTTTTTCTTTACAAAGGGTAAATAAAATCGCAGCTACCCATAAAGTCACATGACCATAAACTTATATATATCCCCATTTACTAAGAAAATATTAATGCTTATTCTCGCTGCAGTATAAGCTAATTGTACCAATTGTATGAAATGTCCAATTGCATCATTCCCTCTATCCCAACCGAAAATTGCTTTTATGATTAAAAAAAGATTACCAATAGTTTCAGTTAAAGACATCGAATCTCAATCCCATCTAAAAAATCCATGATTACCATTTAATCTAATACATTCTCGAGTATTGCTTGTTACAACTTACAGTAAAAGGGGGAGATGATTGTACAATGAATTGGGAGAGTTTTTCGAGCACTTCCTTTAAGTTTGTCATCCAAAAAACATCAATACACTTTAAAACATTTTATTGACAATAAGATTGCACCATATATTCCCAAAAATTATTTCTCATTTTCAAGGATTATCTATGGATTATCACCCAGGTATTTTCATTTTTCATACAGAGGACTGGGAATCATTGATCCTATTCGCTTTTGAATAATATAAATGCTGTTTTAAATAGGTTTCGTGAATGCCAATTATCTCTCAAATTGTGTAAATGGAACCAATTCCGCAATCCAAATAATTTTCTCTTTGAGGAATTTTCATAGAAATCAAATGGTACATTTCCAAGCAGAATTTTAGATAACAGGAAAGTAAAAAACATCTTTAATACTCACCTTATTGAGTTGACCTTATCCGCTGATTCATTTTACAAACAACTCCCCCTTCTTTCAGAAATATTTGACAAGCGTATAAGTAAACCTTTCCAATAAACCGGTCCCCTTTTGGGTAGATCAAATAATCTAGGTTATTAATAATAAAATTAAAGATAGCAATGATTGATAAAATGTCAGAAGTTTTGGCAATTAGCAATAGACTAATGACTATCGGGAATCGACATGACTGTCAAACTTGAACAGGTTTGTAAGATGCATGTCCCTCATTGCGTCTGGCCATACATGTATAAATGGATATACGTATAAAGTGATATATCAAAAACTATAAGTTATCCACATACATATGGTATCCATTGACGTACCGGCATATACGCAAAAAACGCCATGACGTAAAAATTTAGAGAAAAGTTGATTTTTTAAATTCAATTGCCCTACATTTTGAAAATGGATAAAAATGGCCAATATTTTACACGATACATGATTTTGTACATAACTTCTGTATCAAATGCTTATTCCAATTAAACCAATTCTCCTCTAATCTGCCTCATGCAGGATTTTATAATTCCGCTACTAACAGTTACCTGAAAGTACATTTCAATCCAAGCAGATACGATGAACTTATAATAATGTACAACCGTATGACTGTAGTTCATTTTACTTGGATAACATCAATTAACGTAAATCAACCTCGGTTTTCCTTATTGAGACATCGATCGCTTTTAGCCAGATCAGACTAATCTACTTGATTGTGCTCCATATATCACCTGATGCGTATACATTTATACAGTATGTAGATATGATTCCCTGAGCGCGTTTCAAAGATCTGTTCGGGTTTTGCAGCCATGTCTGGTCCCAAATCCCATTTCTTCCGTGAAACTACAAGAATGGCATTGTAACAAATGGAGGTTATGATTCCCTAGTCTGTATATTGATCTATTGTCCTAGTATTATATTTCATGAGGAACTTAATGATGTAAACAAGGATGTTGTACTACCTTTATTACTTGTATTGTTGTTGTAATTGGACATCATGAATTCCATTTGCAATAGCAATAGGGCATATTTCTTCTGCAATTACCATATGATGTCATTCATTTGCATTTTGCTTCAATCTATATAGAAATTATAATTTTTGCAAAGTGTAATAAATTAATGATAAAAATCTTAGTGACCACAATTGCATTCTTAAAAACTCTTAGGAATGCAATAAATGATATACCAAACGGGGTATAACATTGTAAAGGTAATCTTAACTAATGATGTACTGTGATGACCGTCCAATTTTACATTAGTTAGTTTAAATTTACTTTACCAAGGGCGGTAACACAAGTGTACTACTTACTCTCTTTGATCTTTATACCAAGTGTTATAGCATAATTCTACCATAATCTGTACCTTTAATTCATATTTTACATTTTCGTTCATTTGTTGTTGTTTTATTTGGGTCAAGGGTCAGTACGTCACTTCCGGTTCATTTTAACACAGTTTGTAAATACATCAAATTTAGGCACTTTATCGGCATCTTTGGCTTAATGGCCTTTAGCATTTAGTAGTGTATTTTGCTATAGTTTTACATGTTATGTCATGCTCATTTTGGCGTGACAGTGCTTACTTTTTACGTATTTTAACGGCCAAAGTTGGTGACCTTATTTGACCTCTGTTGACCAGCGTCACGTGGACAAAACTGACCAATCATAGCAAGGTTGATTTTTGCTGAGAATATTGTCAAGGAATTCAGATCTGCTATTCACTTTTACCAAGTTTTCGAAGTGAATTCATATTCTTATACATTTAATGGATAACTGGATTCAATTCTCAAGTGATACTGATACGTAGTTTGAATTCACGTGGTCGAGTTGAGCTGATTGAAGTCTACCTTTGGAATTTCTTACTCTGAGTTCATCAAGATCTATTTTGTTGCACAGAAAGACTACTTTAGTATTTATTAACTGCACCAACACATCTGGTTACCTCTCATATTGGCATTCATGCTTTGATGTTATAGATATTAGTTGACATAGTTCATTTGTATTTATTTGTATCATTACTGCTCATAAAGCAGACCTGCTATTCAAGCAGACCCAGTGAACTTGCAAAAGTGAACACTGGTATTTTTCTACCCGAAGTATTAACATTATCATATAACTGCTCATAAAGCAGACCTGCTACTCAAGCAGACCCAAGGTCTTTACAGTACAAAACGGGGTATGACATTGTAAAGGTAATCTTAACTAATGGTATACCAAACGGGAAATGACATTATAAAGGTAATCTTAACTAATGATGTACCAAACGGGGTATGACATTGTAAAGGTAATCTTAACTAATGATGTACCAAACAAGGTATGACATTGTAAAGGTAATCTTAACTAATGATGTACCAAACGGGGTATGACATTGTAAAGGTAATCTTAACAAATGATGTACCAAACAAGGTATGACATTGTAAAGGTAATCTTAACTAATGATATACCAAACGGGGTATGACATTGTAAAGGTAATCTTAACGAATGATGTTCCAAACAGGGTATGACATTGTAAAGGTAATCTTAACTAATGATGTACCAAACGGGGTATTACATTGTAAAGGTAATCTTAACTAATGATGTACCAAACGGGGTATGACATTGTAAAGGTAATCTTAACTAATGATATACCAAACGGGGTATGACATTGTAAAGGTAATCTTAACGAATGATGTACCAAACGGGGTATGACATTGTAAAGGTAATCTTAACTAATGATATAACAAACAGGGTTTGACATTGTAAAGGTAATCTTAACTAATGATGTACCAAACAAAGGTATGACATTGTAAAAGTAATCTAGAATAATGATGTACCAGACAGAAGTATGACATGTAAATGTAATCTAAATTAATGATGTACCAGACGGAGGTACGATATCGTAAAAGTAATCCAAACTTTATTTTTTCGTGTCTAACGAAATTAATGAATTGTATAAATGATAGTTGTATATATATTGTCTCACATTGTCTACACCGGCTGTGATTTCACAAGAATATAATTAATTTGTTTATTCGTATTTTTTGTAACATCAGTGAGACATAAATAATTTTTTAACTTAACTGATCTATTCACCTCTGGGTATTCTGAATATCAAACTGTATGAGCTTCTTTATCTCGTTATAATATATTGATAGTTAAATTGACAAATTACCTTGAGTAAAGTACAATCTGACATATTATTAAAAAAATACTCCTGACCATAAATTAGGAAGTAGAGATACAACTATTGCTTGACTATTCAATACATAGCACATCGGTATTGATTTTCTGTAATTTTGATAAATGTTTTAATAATATTTATAACATAGAGCTTAATGTTTGATTTAGTCAATTCTCAGAGAGGCATCTTTACATAGGTTTTAATTTCATCGTCTCTTGTCGACTCGCTTCTAGTTCCATTCATAATTTGTCTTTCTGGAATTATTCACAACAAGATAAATGTAAATAGCGTAAGTACGGAAGTGTATTAACATGTGCGTTGTATACTGATTTAATAAGTAATTTATTGTACTTACAATGATAAGAAATACAGTAGTTGGTCGATCGATGTCAATAAAAAAATTTAGTTATGTTTCCATTTCAGGATATTGAGGCAAGGGGCAATTTCCATCTGAAAGGAGTGGAATTATATTCAATCATAATGTTGTTCAAACCACATAATTCAGACATGACCAAATTGCTCTTATAAAACTTAAAAAAAAACATTACGCATATGTTGATCATTGTTTTATCTCCATAAATGTCACCCATCGGACAAATCTTAAATTTTGCAGCATGTGTCGATCTTATGTTAGTGTTTGACGTATCATGCTCGATAACAAATGATGATAAAGCGAACGCCAAACAATTTGCCTCAAAACTGTTAGAGAACCTTCTGGGTCTGGCGGATAATATCAACCTTGGAATAGTAACCTACAGCGAAAATAGAAACCTTGTTTCACCATTAGGTAAGCGTAATTCGTAACATACCCCTGATTTGTTAAGCGATCTAGGTGACATAACCCTTGCCCTGACATGTGTATCGATTTCCTTTCTAGGGATCTGAGGCCTATTTATGATATAATAAAAGGTCGTACTTTTATTCTTTCGAAAATTGGCTAACATTTTCAAAAGGGCACACTAATTCTTTATTTATTATTAAACCACTATCTTGAGTTGTACTGAAATATTGAACTTTTTTTCATCAGTTCCAAGCCTAGATATTTTTCCAAATACCTTGTTCTTAACTTTACCCTACTATCACACAATTTACCTAGTTCTCACTACGTTCTCGAAAACGGGCTTCAACTGTGTACGAACGGACTGGACGTACTTAGAACCGTTTGGGGTCTATTATACAAACTTCATCGAACGTACTTGAACGGGCAGGTCCTCTAGAACTTAGAACATGATCAAAATGCTCTCGTGGTCGTCACGCTCTACAATTAGAACGAGTGACAACGTACTAACGACGAGCTGGACGTACTACGGACGGTACCGTCGTACTTCAATCCTACTAGGTACGTTTTTACAACGAGTTGAACTGTCTGAGGACGAGGTAGAAGTAATTGCAAACGGGTTTAAACTGATTGAGAACGTATTAAAGACTGCTTATGAACCAGTATAGCTATCACACCAAGAACAAGTTACCACTGCATTCTTCAAAACTGGTTTTAAATTGTCTGCGAACGGAACGAACGTAGCTGCAACTTTCTAAAGACTTTTTACAAACTTTATGAATGTTCTCAGGCGGGAATGTGATTTTAGAATTTTGAAATGATTCAAAATTCGATGGCGACCATACCGTTCTGTTATCAGGTCATGATGACCTTCTAGACTAAGGGACGCGTTATACGACGTTGCACACCGACGTGGTGCGGCCTGAACGAACTGCGAACGAGATGGACGTATTGGAGACTGTTTATGAACGAAATAGCTAATTATTTTAGACATATTTCCCGACCACAGCCAGATTGAGCCCGTTTTACGGCGTTTTCGAGGACTGGTAAGAACGGGTAAGAACTAGTTTGGTGTGATAGGGGGTAACACTGCACCGTTGTTTGTTTGAGGTCAAACGTCATAGTGCATTATTTTGTAAAGGTTGTCGTTGCACTTAACCATACTATCACACAAAACTAGTTCTCACTACGTTCTCGTTAACGGGCTTAAAATGTGTACGAACGGATTGGACGAATTTAAAACCGTTAAGGGTCTATTAACATGAACGTATTTTAACGGGTAGGTTCTCAGGAACTTAGAGCATGCTAAAGATTTTCTGATGGTCGTCACGTCCTGCAATTAGAACGAGTGAAAGCGTGCTTAAGACGTACTACAAAAGGAACTGTCGTTCTTTAATCCTAGTAGGCATGTTTTAGAACGAGTTGAATTGTCTGAGGATGTATTGAAAACGAGGTAGAACTAATTGCAAACGGGTTTACTAAGGACGGATTAAAGACTGTTTATAAACAAGTTGGCTCAAATATAGAACCACACCAAACTAGTTGCCACTGTGTTTTTAAAAACGTTGTCGAACTCTTTTTAAAATGTGTGCGAACGGAATGAACGTAGCTGCGACTTTTTACGGTCTATTTACGACTTCAACGTGCTTACTTTTGATTTAATTTGATGGCGACCATACCATTCTGTAATTAGATCGTGTGACAACGTACTTCAAATGAGATGACCTTCTAGACTGGGAATGTAGTTGCCGTACTTCGACCCTACTAGCGATGCGTTAATGACGTTGTGCAATCGGATATTAATTGCAATACGTTTACATGCTTCGACCTGAAGGAACTGCGAATGAGATGGACGTATTGAAGAGTGTTTATGAATGAAGTAGCTGATGATTATTTCAGACATATTTCCCGACCAGTCACATTTAGCTCGTTTTACGACTTTTTTTTGTAGGACTGGAACGAACAGTTGAGAACAAGTTTGATTGGATAGGGGAGGGGGGAGGGTAAGATAATAAATGCAAAAATATAATTCGCCATTAGAATTCCCTGGTACTATATGTTTATATATAGCCTGGCACAGCTCACATCTTTGGACAGCTACATGTAATAGCTCTTGACCAAAAATGAGTATTATGTCTATAACCCCCTATCACACCAAGCTAGTTCTTACCCGTTCTTGCCAGTCCTACGAAAACGTCGTAAAACGGGCTCAATCTGGCTGTGGTCGGAAAATATGTCTGAAATAATTAGCTTCTTCGTCCTTAAACAGTCTTCAATACGTCCATCTCGTTCGCAGTTCGTTCAGGTCGCACCACGTCGGTGTACAACGTCGTAGAACGCGTCCCTTAGTCTAGAAGGTCAACATGACCTGATTACAGAACGGCATGGTCGCCATCGAACTTTGAATCGATTCAAAATTCTAAAATCACATTCCCGTCTGAGAACGTTCATAAAGTTCGTAAATAGACCTTAGAAAGTTGCAGCTACGTTCATTCCATTCGCACACAGTTTCAAACCAGTTTTGAAGAACGCAGTGGCAACTTGTTTGGTGTGATAGCTATATTTTTGCTAACTCGTTCATAAGCAGTGTTAAATACGTTCTTAATCAGTTTAAACCCGTTTGCAATTAGTTCTACCTCGTTCTCAACACGTCCTCAGACAGTTCAACTCGTTGTTAAAACGTCCCTAGTAGGATTGAAGTACGACGGTTCCGTTCGTAGTACGTCCAGCTCGTCGTTAGTACGTTGTCACTCGTTCTAATTGTAGAACGTGACGACCACGAGTACATTTTGAGCATTGTCTAAGTTCTAGAGGACCTACCCGTTCGAGTACGTTCGATGAAGTTTGTAAATAGATCCCAAACGGTTCTTAGTAGGTCCAGTCCGTTCGTACACAGTTGAAGCCCGTTTTCGAGAACGTAGTGAGAACTAGTTTGGTGTGATAGTAGGGTAACACAGCTATATTCGATTATCGCCGTTAAGCTTTAATCAATGACAAGTTCAAGAGAGCGGGTTTATTGGTATGTATTTGTTTTTAGTTACGTTGGAGTTCACGAGTGACATCGATACCTTGCTAGATAATGTTAATATGACAAACTTAGGATGTAAAACATACACTCACGAAGTTCTCGAGGCTCTCTATACTGAATATTTCACTCCAGAAAATGGCGACAGGTATTAATGTATTCGAATATCAAATGTAGACCTTCATTTTTGATATAAATGACAGTAAATGCCGCAAAGCGCTTTTAGTTCTTGGAAAATACCAACAGACACTTTGTAAAGTAAAGCATTCTTAAATCAATTGTCGTATCACAGCAATGATGCCGTCGAAGTGACATGTGCATAGAAATTCTCATTTCCACCAAGTAAGTGAATTTGAATTATTTTCATGGACTAAACACCTTTTCAATTCATAGGGTTGACATCTCAAACGTCGCTGCTATATTCACCGATGGTCGAACCATCCAGAGAAGATTTTCAAGTGCTACGAAGGAAGCAGCCACTGCGGCAAAATTAGCTGGCATTGAAATAGTTGTTGTCACTGTCCCTCATAGGTGAGTTATTTTCATAAGTGATTTTTGGCTCACACAGTGAGCCAATTGGATCGACCAGGCCTCCGTCCGTCCGTTGGTCCGTCCGTCCGTCAACATTGGCCGCACAATCCACATTCATTTAATGCATATCCATAATGCCTATTTGACCTATCATTGCCATTACCCAAGTTCGCCCGGTTTCCGAGAAATTGCTGATTTTGTTTTCTGTATATTTGTTGAAGTAGAACTTTCAAATAACTTGTAGTAGTTGCTGTGTATGCAAAATATGTCCTCTGAAGATTTCAAAGCTCTTGGAATTACGTTTTTGGTGTTTACTCTACAGAATTTGACAAAAAGTAGGACTTACTCAAAGTCAATGGCAGGTTTTGTGATTGACAAGTTTCTCAAAGTTTGTCTTATACTTGATCATTTCTTGCAATGAAATGTTACATCATTACTAGATTAAAGCATTCCCTACATATTGCTCAGACGTGTCGCAAAAAGGTCGCGCACGCATTGTTACACATTTTCGCTTTTTGACACCACAGAATGTGACGTTTTTTGAGAAAAATGTACACATTTGGAAATCCTTTCGTCCTGCACATTTGCCTCTATACCTCAAAATATTTAAGGCGAATAACTCTGATATCGTATATGTATTAACAATGGAATAGAAGCATCATAAAACACGAATCAATTGATATTTTAGGTGAAATAAATATACGTGTTGCTATGCTTGAAAATAAGCGAATGGCGTAAATTAGCCCTATTTTTATGAATTTTGAAAACCTTTCGTCCTCCACTTTTCCACATACAACAGAAAACACACACCTTTGCGAACAAAATCAACTATTTATTAATAAACTAAAGTGTAAGAGCAAAATAATCATGTATGATTTATTAAAAATTGATTCTATTTTTCAAACTCTATGACGTCACAATATGGAACGCTTACTAAAATTCATCCTTTGAAATAAAACTCCCATCTACCTTTATCAAGACGAAAAATAAGTATAATAGTCATATATTGTTTGAGTTATGAGCGTTTAAAGATGAAAATAATTCAAAATGTAACGTGTCAACAGGGGACATTTGCCAGATGTTTTGGTAAAACTCTTTTTTAAAAAAGAACGCGCAAGAATCGTGAACGGAGTGTAGTTGATCTAAAAACTTCATCGAAACAGCTTTAAAATGATATATAACTTTAATTAGAATGTTATCTAATAGTCCGGGGAATCAAAGTTACATTCACGCGATACCCTTAAAAACAAATGCGCCACCTTTTTGCGACACGTCTCAGTATATGCCAGCATCAGATTTTTACCGTTTTGAGATATTTGACGTCAAAAAACAGTAAATTCAAGTTATTTTTCAACTTGCTTCAATTTAACCAATTTTATTTTTGAAAATCATCTACAAGTTGCCAGGAGTTCAAATCTGACATTAGTTTTAGAATTTGACCTTTACTTGACCTTCAGTGACCTTCGAAAGGTCAAAAAGTTGATTTTTCAAATTGATTTTGGATGTTAATTTTGGTCAGCTTGATCACAAAAGACCTTACTGAGGTCTGAATAAGTAAAATTTTCAAGGTCAAAGGTCATCAAACTAGGTCACACAACTATGCTATCTAAGTTTCTCAAAGCTAGAGACTACAAATCCATATCAATATTTTTGTTTGAAAGTCAGGATATACATTCCTTTGAAGGTTCAAAACTGTGTCAGTACAGGACCGTGGGTCCTTTATTATTCTATCCACCAACGCTAGGATTTTGCTCGACATATCCGGGTAAATTACATAATCGTGAAATGAATAAGTCTGAATATATCATTGGTCAGAAAACACTAAAACCTGCTTGAAACTGTAAAAGTTTATACACTCTATTCCACACTGTATAGAAATAAAATAACTTACATTATAAGTAACTGTGAGCCAATCATTGCAGAGAAAAAACTTTATGCACTGTTTATAAGATTCACTGAGATAAGTGGGTCAATACTTCATGTACTTTATGTGCTCTCACACAATTACCTTCCCTTGCATAAAGTTGCTATACAGTAATATGTAACTGAATATTGTATATTCATCACAAACAACCTTAGCAAAATGATGGTTCGACGAAATGGTCGGTTCGCTAAAACCAATAAACCAGGCAATCCAGGCCAATTTGGAAAGAAACTAGATAGCGTGATAGCGAATGAGGATAGTAAGTGAAATATATTTTGCAACGGTCAGCATAAACTACTGGGTAACCCTAAATGATGAGAAATATGTACAAAATATGTTTTGCATGATTTCTTCATATCCCAATGATTTAACTCCTTCACTGCATCTAATAAGGTATATAGATACTAATTACGGGACATTTAGGAATTAAGTGACTAGACCAAAGCAAGCATGTTTGAGATTTTAATGATTTTAAATAAATTACCACTTCATTATTTGCTTTTAGACATTCAATCAATTTTATTTGTCCAACAAACCATATTCACAAGTGTTCAATCCAACGAAGATTAGGGGATAAGCTATAGAGACCCCTCCATTTGTCCGTCCATCCATCCTTCAATTAGACAACAGCAACACCAAAGTGAAGCAAATCCCATCGAACAGCCATGGCTGGCAATTTTACAAACAAAGTATACAGCAAAAATGGCAGCCATTTTTCAAAATCGCCACCTTCTACCAAAAGTGTAATTAGACAGTGTGCCATGCTTATAGTATTCACATACCAAATATGAACAAAATCGCTCCACTACTTTTCGTGTTATAGTAAAATACGTTAAAATGGCCGCCACTGTTCAAAATGGCCACCTTCTACCAGAAGAGTCATTAGACAGTGTGCCATGCTTATAGTATTGATATACCAAATATGAACAAAATCGCTCGACTACTTTTCGAGTTACAGCAAAACTCGTAAAATAACGAGTAAAGGCCGCCATTTCTCAAGATGGCTGCCATGTGCTTCTTTAATAACTACATTTCTAGCTTTATTAATGTCCTATATAATTTTTTTACATTTAAAATCAAATCAGTACCAAAATTATGGTTACCCTGTATTAGTGGAAGGCACATTAAAAATGAATATCACCCCCTTCAATCTATTTTTACAGGTTTTTATGATTTTTTTCTGATTTTTCTATAGTTTGCGTAACCAGGACGGTGAATTTTCTTCATTTTTCATCAAACATTTTGTCTTACCAATATTTATTATATCTGTCAATTTTTTCAAAATCGCGCCGCTACGTTTGAAAATAATTCAAATTATGTAGTTTTTCCCATTGAGCTCCATTATAAAAATGGAATTTTCAAACTTAATATTTTAAAATTCTACGTGGTGAAAAGTTGCATATTGAGTAGTTAGTTAATGTTATGGTGTTAAAAATTCAAAACAAAAAGGAATAAAGAAAAAATGCCACAGAGAAGTCTCAATAGAGTCTCTTTAAAAAGTCAGACGTTTCAACATAAAGCAAGTCTCGCGAAATATTCTTATAATGTACATTTATAATGCCGTCTCCTTGAGAGCGTTGACCAAGTGTTTTACGCCGACACAAGTATAGTCAGGATTCTTTTGTTCAGTTGATCGTACGATCTATGTGGATGCAATCATTTATATGCAATGTATCGTGGGTACTCGCGTACATTATAGGGAATGGGATCATTGCAAAAAATGACAGCAAATCGAAGTGAGTGATCTCAGAGTTTCTACTTAATATAGTGACTTGAAATCTTGCGTACATATTCAATATACATAGTATGACAATGTGTGAAAGTTTCAGCTTCCATATTCCTGTTATAGGGAAGATATTTGAAAAACATTTCGTAAACGTCAACATATATGTATAAAATGGATGCCACTATGTATCATTTGGATTCAGAACGGTAACAAATGGATGCTATATTAAATTATACTTTAATCATGATGATTTATTTACTGATGGACAACTGGCCAGATTTCTTTGTATCCATTGTTTGAATAAACATTCCTCACTCAGTAAAGTGATAAGCCACACCATTACAAGATACCCGCCTAATGAAGAATTGAAAATAATTTATATAAACCCATCAACTGGAAAATGCCATTACAGATGAAAAAACTATGGTTTTATCCCTAATACTTTTATTTGAAAAACGGGTCCATAACATGTAACGATGACAATGAAAATGTTGAAATGAGGTACGCCTATGAAGTGAATTCAGAGCCAAAGACCCATCAACCCACTGGAATACCCACAAATCAAGTTTACTTGCTATCGCCCTCCAGGAATAAACCAAACTGAGGCTGACCATTTTATTGATCCTTTATCTGAAAATCTGAATGTGAAGTAGTGAATCTGAAACCAGATTCTCTTGTCCTGGGTGATTTTAATGACTTTTGCACTTCATGGGACTCCCAACATAATCAAAGCGAATTTAGCAACAAACTTGTTGATTTACTTTCTCATTTCAATCTTTATCAAATGATCCAAACACAGACTCGAGGTAACTCTATTCTTGATCTTATAGACTATAGCCCCGGTTGTTCGGTTTTTTACTGTAACGGCGTGAAATTTTTTTCAGAGACGGTATTTATCATATTATACGATGGAATAAATACTTAACTCCACATACTGAACTTTTAGACATTGGGACAGTAAAAATATATACCATGAAGCCAAACTAGGATAGTCAATCCACGATAACAGACCGTAAATATACTACGAAATGATGGCGGGATTAAATTACCATATTATCGCCCACTAGCCTAGGATAACAAAAATACATCCTTCCGATCTTAAGTCTAGGCCTATTTGAAAATGGGAGAACAAGACACAGATATCGTGAACAAGTTTATCGACTTTGTTAAAGACAAGGAAACGACTTCACGCATTCTCAAATCAATTGACAGTAACAAAGATAAGTACCCAGAAAAATTAAAACTACCAACTGGCATACGATCAAGGCAGGCCTGGTTTGAGGGCTTTGAAAACCAGAATCAGCTGTCTTCATACAAGATCTTTAGAACATCTAGGGAACATTTACCTATATGGGCCACGCTATTGTATTTTTATTTCATTGAGTACAGCAGGGATGTCTACGAAAGCAAATGGTCAAGCCAAGGTGAAGAAAAATATGACAATATATCGCTAGATGTTAAAACAAACAATGATGAAGAGCGCTTGTTCAAAATAACAATATTTGTATCAACTGGGAGTGTCCAAATCCAAGGCAACAAGGCAGGAGAATTCACAAGAAATACTTTCCCTGTACTAAAAGAATGCATTTCATGGATCAAAGAGCAATGCGATGAAACACTTCTGCTAAGCAACAAAACAGATGATGCCGAGGAAAGCATAAACATCAGCAAATCACAAGATTCTCCTGCGGTGTTGATGACCACCCCCACAGTAAGGCGGAAGAGAAAACCTCATGACGAGGTTCCTGCATTCTCCCCATGGAACTTTAGCTTTAGGGGTGAATCTTGGGGTGAATTTGATGACCCACAACCAACACATGAAAATGATGTTAGAATAAACAATGTAGAAAAGGCCAGTCCTGCTGCTCCAGGAAAATATGATGATGATAAACCAGAACCTGACATGAACAAAAGAATTAAAGACTTAGAAACTAGGTCACTGTTTCTTGAAAAATCTATTGTTGAATTTGCAGAGAAATGTATCAACATAGGAGAAGAAAGTGCCAGAACCGACAACCAAAATAAGGACATAATATCATCATTAAAATCCCAAATAAAGCTGGAATGCCAAAAAAGGCATAATCAAGTTGAGGAGTTGGAAATGAAACTAAATACGTACAAAGAGGCATCAAACAAAAAGCTCAATATGATACAAAAGCTCATAGATGAGAATAAAAATATGAAACGAGAAATCGGATCCCTCCAAGACAAAAATGAAGAGCTCTCCAGAAAGATAATAGAAAATCAAGAAACAATATCTAGCGAGCTCAATACTCAGAACAAAGAAACACAAAACACTGTAAATAATACGGAAACTAAGGCCACAAAAAGTCATGAAATTCCCAGGAAAGATGACAAAGATGAAAATATGCTATCAAAACAAATCCAGGAAATAAAAAACATGATATTAACCCAAGAGGCCACACAAGCAAGGAATGCAAGGAATGCTTCAGACAATAGGAGTCAGCCCTCTCAATCTCCTCCTCATAACAAAGGGGAAGCTCCTATAAGTGACTCAGAAAATCAAACGGATACTGTATTGATTCACGACTCTACAGCAAAACGCATCGACAAAAGACTCATACTGAAGGGTAAAACCATCAGCAAAACAATTGCGTACACAATGGATGAAGCAATTGACAAGCTTAAGAACTCTGAAGTACACAAAGATAACTATATAATAGCCATTGGCACTAACCATCTGGCTGACAACCAAAGTGTACAATCGACAGTGGGGAAATATAATGACTTGATACACACAATACAATTGAAAGACCCACATGCCAATATATATGCCTGCAGTGTTCTACCCCGATATGATCATGTCAGCAATGATGACATCACAGCCCTAAATGATGCTATACAAAATATGTGCAATCTAGTAGACAAGTTGTCATATATTGACACATACACAAGTTTTATAAAGTCCTCCCCTGGAATATATGTACAAGAACATGGCTCCCACCCCACCAAATCGGGATGGATAAAACTAGCCATGGTTATACGCCACTATGTCCAGCCCAGCAACAGGGAATTTGATGACCGCAGAGTGAACTCGACAAGACCTAGGTCACGCCCACAGCGGCCTCAACGCCCACAGCCAAGGAATGAATTTCCATACAATGCCAATCCCCAAGTCATGCAAGACTCCATGCAAGTGCCATTATAAATGGGGAGCAATCTCAGCCCAAACACCAACATGATAAATCTGATAAATCACAGGATACATCACAGCCATCTAATTATGTGAATGGGGATTATACTAATCAACGGCCAGTAGTGCAACAAAATGGTGCCAGTGAAATGCAGAATGTACCCAATATGAATATCCCCTATATCAATAACTGGCAACAACCCACTCAGCATTACTATGTACAAAACCCATTCTTGCAAAATATGCAACATTTACCTATGGCAGCCAATACCCAACTACCCCAACTATATCCTACTCAAGGAGCACAAGTAACCCCAGTACAGGGAGTACATAATTACCCAGTTCAGAGAGTACAAGGGTACTTGGCTCAGGAGCCACACATCTGGAAACCCAACATTCAAGTCACAACCAATTAGTATATGTATATAAAATACAAAAGTTACAGTTAGAGGTACTATATATTGCTACTGATTTATCTATGCACTAAGTACATGTACTTTGATTGAACAATTTTTGGAAACAAGTGCATGTACAATATATTACCTCTGATTTCTCCATGCGCTTAATAGTACATATACTTTGTAGTGCACAAAACAGTTAATTCAGCTCACCCTAATAGGAAAATTCGAACCATCAATGGCTGTATTTTCTTATTAGAAGCTGGTTATCAACCTATTTGTAATGATAACATATAATTCTTAATAGTCCCATGTCTATATGTAAATATGTATGTTTGTAAGATCTTCTGCTGAAGATATCTCTCCTGTTAACATTTTGTACATTGTACTTCTAGTAGGCCTATTACTCCATCTTGCCATCAATTTGAAATCTATTAGAAACACAATTGACAATGACAAATAAGAGTCTTAAATTCCCAAAAGTTCATTGCAAAGCATCTTTAAAGATAGCAGGATGGAATATACAAGGTCTTAGTAGAACAAAAATGGAAGATTCTAGTTTTTATAGCATGATTAAACATCATGATATTGTATTTCTGTGTGAAACATGGTTTTCAAAAGCCATCGATAATTTCAAAGACTTCTCTTGCTATAATATAATACGGGAAAAAGCTAAATCGGCTAAACGAAACTCTGGTGGGATTTCAGTACTGATTAAAGAAAACATTAAATCAGGCATATCTATTGTAGAAAAAACTGAAGAATGTGTATGGTTAAAAATTAAGAAATCTAACTTTAATCTCGTGAATGACATATTTATATGTGGTGTATATTTTCCTCCACAAAACTCTACATATATGATGGATAACAATGCATTTAATCTCTTAGAGAACAGTATAAGAAAATACTCAGACTCTGGACAAATTATTATAATGGGTGACTTCAATGCACGGACTTCAAATCTAAATGATTTTATCGTAGATGACTGTAATAACCACTTACCTATAAATAATGTTCAATATAATGTTGATCTGCCAATTAATCAAAGATTAAATAGAGATACAAAATTGAACTCGTATGGTAAATCCTTAATTCAGCTATGTCATACATGCCAAATAAGAATCTTAAATGGTAGAACACTGGGTGATTACTTGGGTCAATACACATGCTTTAAAGAAAATGGGTGTAGTACAGTAGATTACTGTTTAGCCAGTGAACTCCTATTACAAAATATATCAATCTTCAAAGTATACCCACCTAACCATTTATCTGATCATGCAATGATCAGTACAAGCTTTGAACTCCCAGAAAAAGTCTTAATTCAAACAAAAATCAACTCCAATACCCTTACAAAAAATGATGCAGAATTTCATTGGGGTATTGACTCAAAGGCGTGCTTTATAAGAGCAATTGAAGCCAATAAACATATCATTGATGAATTTAATAATGTACATTTTGAATCCTCCCAAGATGGAGTAGACATGTGCTGTGAAAAAAATACCAATATTTTCAACAAAGCTTCAACAATTGCACTAAAAATAAGGAGTAAAAAGAAAAATCGAGGAAAAATTTGGTTCAATAGAGACTGTGATCTTGCAAAGAAACAAATAATATACCTTGGCAAATTGGTTCAAAAACACCCTAAAGACTCCTATCTAAGGGGTAAATTTTGTCATGACAAGAAACGATACAAACAACTTGTACGTAAAACTCAAAAAATGTTTAAGAGAAACCACTTGAAAAAATTGAGGCAATGGACAAATCTAACCCTAAAGAATTTTGGAATATTGTTAATAAAATTAGAAATGAAGAGCAGAAAAACAACAAAGCTGATGCTATTGATCCTGAGATATGGCTTAATTATTTTAAAGATCTAAGCAACATGGATATGCAGATAAATGACCACAATACAAATATAGACAAAATTGTTGAGGAAAAACTCAATATAATGTTACATGATCAGAACAAAATTGAAGTTCTTGATGAAAATATCAAAACTTGTGAAATTTTGGAAGTGTGCAAAGAGCTAAAGTTAACTAAATCAGGTGCCACAGATAGAATAAACAATAACATGATCAAGTGTGCTCTACAACATATGACAACTCCCATACTAAGGCTTTTTAACTTAATCATTAATTCAACACATTTTCCTAAAATGTGGTCACGAGGAGATACAGTTTCAATATTTAAATCAGGTAACACATTAGACCCTAAAAACTATAGAGGCCTCACTCTATCCAGCTTGCTAGGAAAAGTATTTACCTCAATAATGAACAATAGATTAAACAAATATCTCACAATGGAAAATGTATTGACTGCCAATCAAATAGGCTTTCAAAAAAACAAAAGATGTACGGATCACATATATGTTCTTAATTTTATTATTAGAAAATTTAAGTCTCAGAAAAAGAAACTGTACACATGTTTTGTGGATCTAAAGAAGTGTTTTGATTCACTCTGGCGAAATGGTATATTCTTTAAAATGTATGAAAGTGGTATTAGCTCTCAATTTATCAGAATAGTGCAAAACATGTATGCATGTACACAGTCTCGAGTTAAGTGTGCTGACGCTAATGGTAACAAGGTATTTACAGAATATTTTGAAACCACGGTTGGTACAAGGCAAGGTGACTTTCTCAGTCCCACAATGCTGAATATATTTATAAATGATTTAGAATCATACTTATGTAAGAAAAAATGTAAAGCTATACGATTAGATGATATATCCACAAACTTTCTGGCCTTTGCCGATGATATTGTACTTATGAGTTCATCAGAGTCTGGCCTACAGAACTGCTTAAATGCATTTAGAAAGTATTGTTCTGACTGGAAATTACAGGTTAATCTTAGTAAAACAAAAGTTATGGTCTTTAATACCACTAGTACGAACCATGTATTTTATTTTGGTAATAATAAGATTATTGAAACTAAAAGTTATGTATACCTTGGCATCACCTTTAAGAAAAATGGTTCTTTTGTATCAGCCATGAATTTACTGAATAGTAAGGCAATGAAAGCTCATTTTGCCATTAAACAAAGTTTTTATAGAATGCCAGTAAGGATACAAATGAAGCTTTATGATTCCCTCATAAAACCAATATCATTATATGGCTCAGAGATATGGGGCGCATATGGATTTAATTGGAAATCTAAATCCATAGAAGAAATGTTATTAAATGACAAACTCCCATTTGAACAACTGCATACAAAATTTTGCAAATTCATACTACAAGTTAATTCAAAATGTACAAGCATACTAGCTAAATCTGAATTGGGAAGGTATCCCTTATTTATTAATATCTGTATTGGGATCATAAAATATTGGGTACACGCTAGGAAAGCTCCCAAAACTTCACTGATTTCGAAAGTAACAACTCTAGATATTGCCAACAATACCTCGAATTATTATACTGTTGTAAAGGCTATCTGTGAATTCTGTGGAATATCAACTTTTATAGAAGATAAAGATATTTTTGATCAAACAGATGCAAGCATATTAATCAAAACCTTGAAAAACAAATTATTTAATAAATATCAAGAACTTTTCTTTCAAAAAATCAATGTAGCTGAAAATATACCATCTAAAACCAGAGTGTATAGAACAGTAAAGAAAATGTATAAACAAGAGAAATACCTTAATATTAATAATGATTCCCACAGAAAGGCTATAACAAGGACTAGGATCTCATGTCATAACTTTCCTATAGAAATGGGAAGGAGATTCAAAATTGCAAAAGAAAAGCGATATTGCTATTTATGTGACTCCAAAGAAATTGGTGATGAGTACCATGTACTTTTCGAATGCAACTATGAAAAACTTATAAATATACGTAAAGACTTTATTTCTGGTATAAGACAGATTAAAGAACAATTTATACAATTTAATAACAAACAGCTATTTAGTTATCTACTTATGAGCCATGATAATGAACTAATGAATCCATGGGGTGAATTCCTAAACAAAATGAACCTTACTGTTGACACTCATAAAATACTGAGAAATAAAAATGATTTACTGAAATGGTTCCAAAAGAAAGGTGATGCCAAGTAAGCAAGCAATATATGATTATCTCATTTATATACTGCTCATAAATATTATTATACCCTTTGTGTCTTTGTATGCATGTTTTTTTTGTAAACAACCATATATATTACACCTTTATTTTATGTATGCATGTTCCTTTATTGTAAATTACCAATACTCCAGAAGGAGATACGGAACAATAAAGTACTATCTTATCTTATCTTATCTATAATAACAGATTCCCCAGCTATTTTTGAATACAGGGGTAGGTGAACCACTTGCAAATCTTGACCACTGCTTCATTTTTGGCACACTCAATTTTAAGCGTGAAGCAAAACTTACATATAAACGAACAATATTTGACTACAAAAACAAAAACTTTGTGCTTTTAGGCGACCATCTTCTCTCCTTACCATGGAAGGTAATTTATTTTCACAACATTAACATAGATGACATTCTTCGAGATTGGTACATGCTATTTTGGTCCTGTGTGAATTTGTATGTACACAGAAATATCATTACAGTTTCAAACAGAGACAAAGTTACCTTGGATGACTAAACAAATAAAAAGTCTCATTAAACAGAGGAATTCTCTTCATTATAAATTCAAAATATCTAGCAATTTAAATGATCATGAGAAATTTTGTAGAAAACGAACCGAAGTTAAACCTGCAATCATCCAAGCAAAAAAATGACCATACTAATTCACTCAAAACAAAATTATCCGACAATTAAACCTCACCTAAATTATACTTTACTATTTTGAAAAATTTATATGGCTCAAAAATTTCAAGAGGTATACCTCCTCTCATTGAAAATGATGATGTTATAATTACTGACATTAAAGCCAAGGCAAACGTTTTGAATAACTACTTCGCCGACCAAACTATCTTACCACTTAATCAAAATGATCCGCCTCTTCCAAACTTGACATATATTACTAATGCAAGACTTGATTTAATTCAATTTGAAGAGCATGAAGTATTTAAAGTCCTTTCTTCTCTCAATATATCTAAATCAAATGGTCCAGATAATGTCTCAAATAAACTTTTAAAAGAATGTGCATTAGGACTTGCACCATCCTTATGCGGTATTTTCAACCATTCTCTTTAACTGGAATATTTCCTTCAACCTTGAAAGAAGCAAATGTTTCGCCGATTTTCAAAAAAGATGATAGACAAATCAAGGGAAATTACAGGCCAATTTCATTACTTTCTTGCATTTCCAAAGTTTTTGAGCGTCTTGTTTTTAATGTTATTTATAGATTTTGTTTAATAAACAACATACCGACTCTCAAAAGCTCTGGTTTCAAACCACTTGACTCAGCTGTGAATCAGTTAGTAAACTTAGTGAACAAAATCTATAATGGTTTAGATGATCAAAAATAAATTCTTCTTGACTTCCTAGATATCTCCAAGGCATTCGATAAAGTTTGGCACCGTGGTCTTATTTTCAAATTACAAATGCATTGGATTTCTGGCCAACTCATGAAATGGATAGATAGTTACCTTTCAAATAGAAAACAACGGGTAGTTATTGATGGAATCGAATCAGATTGGCGTTTGAAGCTGGTGTTCCCCAAGGGTCTATATTAGGCCCTTTATTATTTCTTTTTTATATTAATGATATAGTAGCATCAATGGAAACAGATATTAACTTATTTGCAGATGATACATCTCTAATGGAGATTGTATCAGACCCATTAATCTGTACAAATAAGATACAACGTGATTTAGCACGCCTGGAAGCATGGTCCAAAACATGGAAAGTTACTTTTAACGCAAATAAGACAAAACTTTTGACCATAACTCTGAAAAAGAACAAATTTCTTTACCCTGATTTAACTTTAAACAATACCATTTTGAGGAATGTCGAAAAGATTGTCACCTAGGGCTAACTCTTCAGTCCAAAATGAACTGGAACTCTCATATAAATAAACTTGCCTCAAAAGCAAATCGGCGCCTATCCCTAATAAAAATATCAGCTTTTAGATACAATCTTGATAAAAAAAACACTTGGAAACTCTCTACTTTTCGATGGTAAGATCTGTCTTAGAATATTGTGATGTCATATACAATAACTGTACTGACAACCAAAGCAAAATCTTAGAAAAAGTTCAGAGGGATGCAGCAATTATATGTACCAGAGCTTATAGACACACTAACTACAATAATATTTTGAAAGAGCTCGGCTGGGATACATTAAAGAAAAGAAGAGAAATGCATGCTCTATTCCTGTTTCATAACATTTCTAATAAAAATGCACACCAATACCTAAGTGACCTGATTCAACCATTCATCCAAAACCCCCAACAAAGATATTTACTCAGAAACATCCATGATTTTAGGTTACCCAAATGCCGATTAAAAATGACCTCCTCCTCCTTCTTACCTTATATTTTAAATAAATGGAACAATCTTAGCAAAGAACTCAAAAGCATCAGCTACCTTCCTCTTTCAAACACAAATACAAACTATCCCATTGCAACCCCAAAAATCCACTATTTTCCTGAAAGGCAAGCAGATCATCAATCAATCATTCTCGAATTCGTATGGGTCTTAGTGCTTTGAATGCTCAGGGATTTTCTTATCATCTTATTGACTTTCAAATATCTCTCATTTTCTGTTTGACTGTCTCCTTTACGCTGCCCCATGTGCCACCCTAGTGAGAGATATTGGGAACACTGGGAACTACCGGAACTTAGCAAAACATTCAAAAATCATCGCAGTGATGTCATTAATGCCATTAATTAAATTAAGCAGTCATTAATGTATTAATGACTGCTTACATTCCAATGTACATTTAATAACATAATATATTGTAACTCTCAAGAAACACTCGATCAGAACAGAGAACATTTTGATTGGTCAACCAGACTGAAGTCAAAGGTCGTGTCCATGCGATCTTGTCAATTAATAATGTTTCGCGATAACCTTAGGTAGCGTAGGTATTATGGGAATCTCGGATTGGATCTTGGATTGTACAAGGTGGTAATAATTCAAGATCAAATAAGTAACTAAATACCGACTTGGGCAAGGCTACACGTTTCAGAGCCATTAACATTCCTTAAAAGTGACAATGAGCAGCCAACAGATAGACCATCCGTAAATCTTGATGATTTTGTCAGCTCAGCTGAACGAGCCTATAGATTCCTTGAAACAAATGACCCAAATTCAAGAATAATATTATCTATTTACAATTTTTTTGAAATCGTGGTAAGTGGAATCTTTCCAATTTCCAATATAGCATTATTATTGTTCTTGGACACTGTGGATTAAATTATTAAAAAAACACACATTCAAAATGATTCAATTAAAACCTAGGCAGTCTGTTCATTGAATCCATTAAGAACGTCTACTAATCCACATGATACATCATAATCAAATTGCTTTTTTAAAACGGATATTTCATACCATAACGCCAAAAATATTATAAAACGCATTGTATTTGTATTTTACTTCACACAGACATATTTGTGTACGTGAAATAATTATATTACTTGAATTTTTATTCCCCATTATAAGGTAAACCTATGGCAACTTATACATACCTTCTCACAGCTATGAGCGAGATGATAAAACTGGTCGAATGAACTCGTTTGAGTTATCTATTCTCCGTTAAAATATCAGAGAATGTGTGTTTATAGCGTAGCTTTGGTTTTGTAAATCAATGAAGTATGATATACACGGATGAGTAAATATAGATTATTTAAACAGAAGTGCAAAATTATTCCATTGAAAAGTACAGAGGCGGGTACTCACGAAACATTACATGTGCCTGACTGCATCCACATAGATCGACTAGCCACAGTGTATTAACTAATTGAATATCCAATGCAAAGCAATAATTTTTACTTCGAATCAAGCTGTGTAACATATAGATAAGAAAATATTTGAAATAAGACATGTTAAGTGTTTTTCCAGATCAGGGGAAGAAGATCTTGATGAATTTACCACATTACCGTCGTCATCTGATCTGCTCTACAACTCCAAGAAGGACGATGACGCTGCAATAATGGCGGATGGATTAATAGCACGACACCCATGCAATATTTTACCCGAAGCTGATGATATTCGTAAGTCATCCGTTGTGATATAGGAATTACCCAAAGCACACGTACTAAATACCAAGCATGCCAAATAGAAGATAATGCTTACATGACAATCGTAATTTACCGTACGGTTTATAAATAGGAGTAAGTCTTGAATCGATCAAGTCACCTTTATAAAATCATGACATTTGAACATCAAAAGCTCTGTATCATTTTTTCTATCTTAATCGCCATAGTTGGTCAAAATAATGATATGCTTTGTTTTGACCATTAATTAGGTTTCGATGTATCATAAAATTCAAGGCTGTAATTCATCTGTAACTAATCAGAATTATAATTATGTATGTAATTGTCTTTGAAATAATGCTTACTCCCTTTTCAACTGGTGTATTGCTCCTTTGCATACCCCTCTTTATTTCATACTCAAAGTACAATCATCTCTTGAGCATGCACCGACGTGGTATATTACGTGCTCAATGTCCGATCATCTTTTTAGTATGCGCCAGTGTGGCATATTTCTTATTCAATGTCCTATCATACTTTTACATTAACTCAATGTCCGATCAACCTATTTAGCATGCACCGGTGTGATATAGTTGTTACTTTATGTCCGATCATATTTTAGCATGCGCCGATGTGGTATATTTGTTACTCTATGTCCGATCATATTTTTAGCATGCACCGGTGTGGTATATTTGTTACTCTATGTCCGATCATATTTTAGCATGCGCCGATGTGGTATTCGCCGTCGATACAAGCTGCTCAGTTGATCAGGGGAACATCTCAGAGTCTGTATTAGTTGCCGAAAGAATAGTGAAGAGTTTCAGCCCTCCTTTCTTTCAGTTTGGAGGATTCACATACAACAACAACACTGTTGATTCTTTCCCGTTTACCAGTGATAATAGAGACGCGGCCTTATTTCTGGCTGGTCTCAACACAGCCTACACCGCCTGCAAAACGAGAACTAACAGAGCGATCACGTATTCATTGGATAACTACTTCAATAGCCCATTGGATGATCCCGAAAAAACAAACTTTTTGATCATTTTCGGAGATGGTAACGAATCACCATATAATGAAAACCAACTTGCCTTAACAAAGGCTGAAGCGTTTAAAAACGTTGGTGGGATTATCATCTGGGTGGTGATGACCAGCAATAGAAAAGAAGAAACACGATTGCGAGGAATAAGAGAACAAATTGAGCCAACGGCATCAACTGACGAAAGAGACGGATCAAAACTCATATTTGATTACGACGATCCGGAAATCGTTTACAAGATAGCTGATTTTATTGGATTGGTTGCAACATGTCCCCGACCAGAATTATAACACTTTATTTCCATCATTTCAAGTTTTCGTAAAAATCAATAAATGCATTGAAGTACAGAATTATGACTCAATTAACTTTAATTATAAATGATTACTTAATTCAATAAATGCATTGAAGTACTGAATTATGACTCAATTAACTTTAATTATAAATGATTACTTAATTCAATAAATGCATTGAAGTACTGAATTATGACTCAATTAACTTTAATTATAAATGATTACTTAATTCAATAAATGCATTGAAGTACTGAATTATGACTCAATTAACTTTAATTATAAATGATTACTTAATTCAATAAATGCATTGAAGTACTGAATTATGACTCAATTAACTTTAATTATAAATGATTACTTAATTCAATAAATGCATTGAAGTACTGAATTATGACTCAATTAACTTTAATTATAAATGATTACTTAATTCAATAAATGCATTGAAGTACTGAATTATGACTCAATTAACTTTAATTATAAATGATTACTTAATTCAATAAATGCATTGAAGTACTGAATTATGACTCAATTAACTTTAATTATAAATGCCTACTTAATTCAATAAATGCATTGATGAAGATATGCACGAATATTGTTAAATCCCTAAGCATCAGTCTGAATCAGATAATATAAATGGTAAGACGATAATTAAAATTAAATGAAAACCTATAACAATTAGTATTTAAATGATTTGCAACTTGGCATCGGGAACACCTCGACATAACAGGAAATCCAACAACACATTATAATCAATTGTTAGTGACATAGCTGTACCATTACTGAACTGAATAAGGCCAGGTATGAACAATGTAAGATATGGTATGTATGAAAATTATACAAGTACATAAGGAATATATTTATATAGCTGTTCATACTAGTAATTCTACTGTGACCCAGGCCAAAACATTAAATTATGCTAGCAGTACCTAAAGAAGATCGAATGAGATGACAATCTGAATTCTGATACAGGTTATATTCTTAGAGATAACACCCAAGAACTCAATCAGGATATCATGTCTCGCTCTGTCAATCCGCTATTCACTTGTTTAACATATCGAAACAATAGAATCATTATTGTTTATTGTTATTTTCTTAGACGGGGAGATAACCGTAAAAATGTTATATTAATAACACATGTATAATCATCAAGATTGTGTATAATCATCAAGATGGTACTAATCGCATTAGGAATAATAAGAATATGCTCGCTATCTGTGATTCGACTATCCGTTTACATAAAATGAATAACTAATGATTAGATTATCAATTAATATTCAAACAAAACGTATTAATTAATTTAATACAATGCCATAATTAGCTTTAATTTAAAGAGATGAAGCGTAAAGATATAGTTTTCATTTAAAGAATACGTATTAGCATAATTTCATTTATTCACTTTACCACACCGTAAGATTAACAGACAGGTTGAGTCCAGCGAGGTAAGTTTATTGTTATTTTTATTCATTTTTTGTTTTTTATATTTTTATATGTTTTGAATAAGCTGGTAATAGTCCAAATGGGAGGGGAGGAGGGGGGGGGGGACAAAGCTACACGTTTTAAAGAGAACTCATCCGTGGACGTGGAATGGATGGATTATTACCCCTTATTGCACCCCATTCTATCTATTTCCCTTACGGTTATACTCAATCAGGGAAGTAATGAAATACCACAAGAGGGAAAACTAAGCCCTGAATAACCATCATTCCAAACGTCCACGTACAAGTTCTTTTTTAATTGGAGCAAATTGATGTTTTTATTGATTCAGAAAGGTCTGGTCTAGTTTCTATTTTATATGTAAATGTCTGTAACAATATATAAAAAGTGAACTTTACAGTGAATTTCATAGAGTAAACTTGCACAAACTACGAATATAGAATACGGTATAACGCGCGGGTCAATTTACCCGAGATTAACGCAAATATAAATTCGTTGTGCTGTTCATTACCGTTACTCTACGTTAAACTGTATACTGCATTTTGAGTTTTTGAAGGTTTAACTATGAAATTCTCTGTCAAGTTCATTGTCTAGGATGTTATAATAGACTAATACACTAATCAAATCTTTCTGAAACGATAAAAACGTCAGTCCGCTCAAATACCACCAATCCTCGTTTTGTATCTAAGCCTACGCGTTCAACTGTCACGCTTAATTTGGTACAATTCTATGAAAATTATGTTTACCCTGCGCTTTAACAAGCTGACATAACAATGGACATAATCGAATTTACTTTAAAATTGTTTGCAGTATTTGAGAAATGTGATACCAAAGGTTGTATGATCCAGTTGTATTCGCTTTTGCAATGAAATAATATGAATAACATCAACAAGTCGATATAAATGAAATCAGAAAATCTATAATATCAAAGTTGTCTCGAAAGTATTTGACAGTGTCGGCCGTCAGATAGAAAGTACTCTTATTCGTTTTTATTTAATGTTTCCTTATTTCCACCTAATATTATGATATATATACCATATAATATTGACAACCCGTCTAATAATTACATGTATTACATATTGACACTAATTATTGTCGCATTGTCCAAAGGCCATCGGCCAGTATATCAAGAATTACTGGCTAAAACATGTTTTTACGGCTAAATTATTCGTTTATTTTCTTACAGGTAACCGATGATGCACTGCGGCATATATTTTGCAATATTTGGTATTTCCCTGCTTTCAACATATGGACGTAAGTATATGTTGACGTTTAGAATTGTTAAAGCTCATTATTTGCCATTAGATGTAGCCCCTCTTTCGTTTAGCCATTCCTGCTTTGCCTTTGTACTTCGTTTTGTTTGGCGAATTCAGATTAAATCCAACAAATCAGGGTCGAAACAAGGATCCCAGAATGAGAGAGACAAAGTTGAACTCGAAAATATATGAGTATAGGGTATAACTCGTTTGGTTCAAGCTTGGCTCCGACTCAGCCTATAAACACCATCATAATAAATAATAATATATATAAAAATAAATAATGAAAAATGCAATGAAAGTCTGGAATCCTCGGGGTTAGATTAATTTATGATTAATAACACACTGAACGAACTACTTCGGATATACCTTCCGTGAAATGACTGATGAGTTGTATTTATTAAAACATGATAACATCACTTCAACTTCAATAAATTATTGCATATTCTTTCTAGGTAATTATAAATGATTTTCAATAAATAATACCTAAATAATAACCCATGGAATTACCCTTTTCAATAGTTCGACTTTGCTTCTATAATATATGGCTACACGTAATTATTATCCCAACGAGCGAAGTTCGGTAAGGATATAGTGAAGCCCTTCGTCCGTCCGTTAGTCAGTCCGTCCGTCCGTCCATCCGTCCGTCCGTCCGGAAGATAACTCAAATATTAGTTGACGGATTTTCTTCATATTTGGTGGAAAGATGTATATTGATGAATAGTTTAACGCAAATAATTTTTTTTCAAGATGGACGCTTCTTCAAAAATGACGGGACTTTTTCGCAAAAAACATACATTTTTCATTCTAAACCAAAGTAATTAATATTATTGTTTGAAATTTTAGCTAAATTTTTTCTAGATCTTTCTGAAGTATAGCTTTATTATACTCAAATGAAAGGCAATTAAGAGTAGATTGCAAATATTTTATCTTTTTCTGATTTGAGCCTAGTAAAATTCAAAATGGCCGTCTAATGTACGATTTCGCAATAATTTTTCGATCCCTTCAAAGTATGGCTATATAATACTCAAATTAAAGGAATTTTGGAGTAAATCACAATTATGGTATTATTTTTCAGATTTGTACCTCAGAAAATTCAAAATGGCTGCTTTGCAGGAATTCGCAATTCTAAAATCTAAATTTTTCAATTTTAACCAAAGTAATGAGTATAATTGATTGGAATTGATATTTTGTTCGTTGGGATTTGCTACTCCGCGGAGTTGCCGTTATTTAGTTACTGTCCTGTATGTGTCGTGTGTGAAATATAAAGATGAGCACGGTAAAGACGCTTCAATGGCTGACTATCGCTAAGTAACAATCTTAGGTTATGTTATATCTAAATCGCATGTAGCATGTGGTAAACTTGTAAAACTCTCAAATGTATATTGCATTGGCAAAAAAGTAGTTTCTATGTAGTTAAATAAATACAGGATCAGCAAAAAATATCCAAGTTCAAAATCGAATGATCCATATATAGATGGGAGTTAAAGGGACTGGGTTAAAGGTAATAAGCCTGATGAGACCCATGAAGAAACTCTGCAAAATCTTGTCAAGCAAGCATCTTGAAACATTATATATGCGTATATAGTCCCTCATTTTGACTCCTGTAACAGGATTTACAATAGTGCATCAGATATCAAATTGCAATCCCTTGAACGCCTATATTATAGAGCGGCATGTCTAGTCTCCGGAGCAATCCATGGCTCAAACGCTGATAAAGTTCTTTCAATATTGAACTGGAAAACATTATTCTCTTGAAGAGAGGAACATCTCAAAATTTTTATCTTTAAAGCAAGATATAACAACTTTCCTCCTTTCATTTGTAATCGTGTCGGGTTCTATGAGAATGGCATACAAAGCGTTCATTAAGGAGTCACAGGGACTATAAGATTCCCCTTCAAACAAAAGGAAAGACCCTTTGAAATAACCTTCCATCAGACCATAGAATTAGTCAGCCAATATCAAGATTCAAAAGAATTGTAAGAGGCGACAAAAGCATGTCCTATCAACGTCAAAACTAAAAAACAATGCCACGTTACCTTGAGATTTCTTAAACCGACTCAGGTTTGGACTTTTCTTGCAATTTTGAACGGGTTGCAGATCCAAAAGGTTTATGTGATAATTCAAATCAGACAACTTTACATTTCCTGCTGAAATGCTCACTTCTGACAGAACAGAGAACAACACGTTTTGCAGGACTGGAGACGACAGGGATCCGTACCTACTATGACTTGATATGCATGATCAAGCCAAATTCTTACTTTTTGGAGAATTTACAGCAGATGTTAATGAAAAACTAATTTATATAGTAGCATATTACATCCACCATGGTTTAGAAAAGATTCTTTTAGAAATACTGAACAAAGAATCACGTTTAATATGATATATCTGAAATCTCTCTGGCCAAGGGATTAAACCTTATATATAATGATGATACATGAGTATTATGAAGTGATATTTTATTGACCTTTTTTCCATTTACATCCAAGTATAAAATGACATAAAAAATCATTGTGTAAAATTTATGACCGATTTATTTATAATTGCCGGCAATGTCCCCCGACTTTGGCAATTGTTTGGTATGTAATTTAGTATTTTTGGAATAAAATTATTGATGAAAAATCCTCATGGTCTAAACACGAGACAAAATTAAAATGTTTCTCTGATTTGTTATAGATGCAGATGATCCCCTACAATACTGCGCAGACATCGTGTTTATGGTACAAACCTCATGCACTTTAACTCCCACATCGCTTCAAATCGCATCCATGTTCATGGCTAAAACTGCCGAGCTTGTTACAGACAAATATGGTTCTACCAGATTGGCTGTAGTGAAGTATAGTAAGGTAGGATCGATTTCATTCAATTCGACTTTTGCTGTATAGCGTTATTATTTTGTTGAAATCTCGGTTTGAAAGAGAGTCGAAATATTTGCGAATCTAACCTTGAGAACTTTCAAGGATTTGATGATATATTTGAATTCTGTGAATATTTTGCTACTTGAAAAACACTGATTTACAGTTTTATTTATTTTATTCATTTTTAGGATTTTTGCTTTCCTGCATAAGTGCTGCCCTCTATCTATCCATGTATAAAGCAACTGGTTAACTATTCATTTACATTTTTCTGTTTGATATTATTTTCTTGTGCGTAGTTTTGAGTTGAGAGAGTTGGTCTCGTTATAACTGGTTCTGCTCTTAGAATGTTTCCATTTCTTAGTGTTTTGTAGTACTCCTTGGTCTTTCTCCTAAAGCTCTTGGGCAAGGGGACTTGGAGACATAGCTTTAGTCTATGAGCTGCTGGTCAAAAATGATTAACATTCGTTGCTCGGCATTCCACCACAAAAAATAAATATACCGTTTAAAAGTACTAGCTTTCCTTAAAAAGAAAATATATTTCGTTTTGATTAAGAGGACATAAAATTAATAAGATGGTCTCCCGACTGGGTGCAAACATCTGCAATAGTAAAAATGACTTAATATATGACAAATATCACTCAAAGTGTTCGGCAGAGTTTCGTCTGGTTGATGTTACATGCTACACCACCATTGATTGTCATGACAATTATCACTCAAAGTGTTCGGCAGAGTATCATCTCGTTCTCTAATACATGCTACATCACCATTGATTGTCATGACAAGTATTACTCAAACTGTTCGGCAGAGTATCATCTAGTTCGCTGTTACATGCTACATCACCATTGATTGTCATGACAAGTATCACTCAAACTGTTCGGCAAAGTATCATCTAGTTCGCTGTTACATGCTACATCACCATTGATTGTCATGACAAGTATCACTCAAACTGTTCGGCAGAGTATCATCTAGTTCGCTGTTACATGCTGTATCACCATTGATTGTCATGCCAAGTATTACTCAAACTGTTCGGAAGAGTATCATCTCGTTCGCTGTTCCATGCTACATCACCATTGATTGTCATGCCAAGTATCACTCAAACTGTTCGGCAGAGTATCATCTAGTTCGCTGTTACATGCTGCATCACCATTGATTGTCATGCCAAGTATTACTCAAACTGTTCGGCAGAGTATCATCTCGTTCGCCGTTCCATGCCACATCACCATTGATTGTCATGCCAAGTATTACTCAAACTGTTCGGCAGAGTATTATCTATAATAGAATAACCACATTCAGGCTCATTTGGCTAGAAGTAAACTCCCTGTATCACTCCGCTTTAATTATCGCTATCTATCTCTTTCTTACCATGGTATCTGTCAAATTAATTTGAGTCTAAATCCATCGATCAAACACAAATAGTGTTTTTCTTAATTCTGCTGGGTCAGGAATGACGTTGCTATCTTCGTAAAATAAATTAACCAATTAACCTCTTACCAATTTTCACTTCAGGATGTTTCAGAGATTTTACCGTTATTGGCTGCTGAGGACTTCTTAGATCAACTGAACACTTCCAAGCTATACGGCGAGGATGACTGTGAGGAGAACATGGCTCAGACATATGATGCGCTTGACTTTATCAGAAATGGAGGTTACTTTAATCAGCCTTTCGAGATGAAAACACTGAAGGAAAGGCCCGAATCCAGGTACCCAAACAAGATGTACTTTTCTTTTTAGCGATATGGTTTTATCCTTGATAAATTAACGTCATGCTGAAAGCTTATACATCATTGTCTCATCATCAAGAAAAGAACACATACGATTATATGCACTGCTTCTTGTGACTTGGTTTTGTGTCCATGTATGCATCCGGCGATGGGCGTTTGCGTCTTAGCGTTTGCGTCTAACAATTGTTTCATGTTTGTGAGCATTTGCATATTTCATTGATTTGTTTCTAATCGGACTAAATACATTCAACTAAATGCACGAACCTTAAAATACTTTTTCAAACAAAAGGTATTGTTTGTATGCCATTGCATTAGATATGTAATACGTAACCATTTATAATGAAATAATATGCCCAAGGGGTCCCTAGGGTTGTTGGGGAAAATAGGCATGGTGTATTTATAACTTCACAATTGCTCTCTTTAGAGGCAAGATTGTCATCGTGCTGAACGATGGGGTCGCATTTCAAAGAAAGGGAAATATGGAACAAGCCTTCGAAAAAACAAAATCTTCTATAACAGCCCTCCATCAAGAAATCGGAGTGAGTTATATGACACTTGAGTTCTTCATACGTCAGTCTGGAGATGAAAGGTTCGGATCGGAGGAAATGGCGTTGTATCAACCGAACCTTGCAATGATGTCGATGGATGAAAATCCCTTCGATAAATTCAAGTCAGCTCTATTACGGTACACATGCACTCATGAAGATGAAGTCATAACAACAACCACCACCAAGCCAAAACCAACAACAACTACCACTACGCCAAAACCAACAACAACAACTACGACTACGCCAAAACCAACAACAACAACAACAACAACAACAGCAACAGCAACCCCAACAACGACTCAGCGACCTATTGAACCTGAAGGTAAGCCAGAAACGTTGTTCTATTTTAGTATATTTAATCAGTTAAATATTAAATATTAACTGCGAGATCTAAACGCAGTAATATTGTGATTTAGTCAGAACAAATGTAAGTGTGTGACACCATTTGGTTGGTGCTTATAGCTTGAAACGTGTTCAAAAGACTAGATGCGAGTAGAAAAACTTTCGATTTACGTCGTTGGATTTAAAAATTAAGTCAAAGTAATATCATATTTGAAATCTATATGTAAAATAAGATCTAGGAATAAAATCATAAGAAGTTTTTTTCTTGTATTGGACACTAAGATAATAAATTCCTTTGTTGGACATATTTTAATTTGTATAACTTTCAGATACACAAAGGGTGACATGAAAAATGAACCACTAAAACGGATGAATATTCAAGTTTAAGGGAACTTTCTAGATATCTGTCATATTATCTGACCCGAATCTACTCGCATCTGTGTCATTCTAAATACCCTCTGTTTCAAATAAAGTATTTTCCTACTAAGGAAAACTTCAAAGAATTTGAGTAAATGACCAATAAACTTAATGAAACTTTCCACAAAAAGTTTGAGGCATATAATTCACATTATCCGACAATTTGAAGACGATTGATAAATCGTTACTCAAAATATTACATACAGAACATAGCATGTACCAAAAACACCGATGTGACTTTTTCCAAGTTTGCGACGTCAAACTTACCTAAGATTGCCAAACTGACCAAAGTCAGGCTGCTCTTCAAAACTAAGCGGACAGAGGTATTTATATTCAAAATATGTTATAGACTTTACAAATGATTCTGTTCATGAGAGTTGTATATTTCATAAAATAAAGATGTCACTGAAAGCTATATAATAACAATGCAAAAGTCCTTACACTCGGGTCTTATAACAATATTGCCTAACTGTTCATTGTTATGCCATATTTCCTTAATATTTACCCTTTCCTGTCCAATGACATCAATGAGTATAATTTTGTGACTAATGTATCAAAATGATTTTCTTAGGGGTTTATCTTCTAAATATTCTTGATGCACTTTTGGTATTTAATTCAAAAGAATCTATAATATTTCCATTTATTGCAATAATTTTGAATCATAATGGTCCGAACATTGATATATTAAGGATAGCAGTGCTTATTGTGACGACATATATCTGAATTCCTCAAATAATTTGGTCTGGAAAGGGTTAATTGCAGTACAACATTGTCCGGGACTGTTAGTAAAATGTATGAGGAAATTTAATAACACATTCTGCTCATAATTAGAATTTTATATATAAAGACTTTTGTCTGCATACTTTTACAGAGCAACCTGATTTTGGTCAGTTTGGCAATCTTTAGTTAGTTTGACGTCACAAACTTGTAAAAAGTCACATCGGTGTTTTTGGTATATGCTATATGTAATATTTTGAGTAAAAATCAATCAATTGTTTCCAAATGTTCTCAGAGGGTGTATTATATGCCTCAAATTATGCGTGGTAAGTTTCATTGAGTTTACTTACCTTATACAAAAGTTGTTTAAGGGTTTTCTCTATAGGAAAATACTTTTGATATAGAGGGTATGTATTTTGGTCATTAATATTGTTTTTTGAAACGGTTATTTTCGCGAGGACCGAACATTTTTGTTGTTAAATTTACACTTCTAAAGTCTAAAAGGTAAAAGTACACTTTTACAATTAAATAGCGTTTTTTAATTTGTTTATAGTTTGTGTAGATGTCGTTTTTGGTATTGATATAAGCTGCTCATTGGAGGTTAGCAACATAACGAAAGCGTTCGAAATATCTCAGCAAATCATGGATAGTTTTGGTTCAACATCCCAATTTGGTGGCCTTAACTATGATGAGACCGTCGTTGATACCTTTCTGTTTACAAGGAATGTAGAAAGTGCTAAACAAAGCGTTGGAAACTTTCGTACCAAAGCAGTTGCATGCGGTACCAAAACAATAGCAGCTATCGCAAAAGCTAGATCTGATTACTTTGATTCTCAATCTGACGATCCAGACCACAAGAATCTTATTATACTATTTGGTGATGGAAATGAAACGCCGTGGAAAACAAATCCCAAAATGTTAGCGGCTGCAGAAGGATTTAAGCAAGCTGGTGGGACGATCATTTGGGTGGTACTCACAAGTAATCGAGGAAACTTTAAGATTCAGCGTGGTTTAGAAGAGGAAATCAAAATCAGTGCTTCTAAATATGACAATGGAGAGCCGTTAGTATTTGATCATCTTGATACCGAAATTGTTGCTAAAATCAAGGACTATGCACGAAGTCAATTTGCCTGTACTTCAGTTTAAAAATATTTGATAGTAAATACGTATTTACGATAACCATAAGGATTCCTAATATTATTTCTATTTGATATATCCAGTTGTCAATCAATATTCAATTCGTTTATTCAGCTATATCATGAGCTACGTGTATATGCAAATATACAAAAGTGATCACAAAAAGCTGAAAACAATACTATACAAATATTGAATGATGTTGAGTATAATACCAGTATTTATCCCACGATTAATGTGTTATCTGTACAATAACAGCTATTGATATTTCTGATATTATTGAAGTCCGTGTGATATAGTCAATTCAACTAGTTCCAAATACCATTTACAGGTCCAGGATCACAATGTTTATGGTCAGAATGACCCTAAACATGATGAAATGACATTTTCAGCCCTATGAAAATGTGACTGAAAAATAGCTAAAAGTAGGAGGTAGGAAAGGTCAGTGAACAGAATCTTTTGAAATTTTCAGAAAATGTGCCCAATATATTGCTCTAAATGATACAATCTTTGAATAATAGAAAAAGAAAAAAAATGAAAAAACTGATTTGAAAAGCGATCTATTTTCCTTTTTATGACCGCCATTTTTGTTTCAGACAATTTTCTAAAATTTCCAAGATTGTATCAGTTAGAGCATTTTCTGAAAAATTCATAATATTCTGTTCAGTGACCTTCCCTAGCTCCTACTTTTAGCTTTTTTCAGTTACACTTTCAAAGGGCTAAAAAGGTTATTTCATCATGTTTAGGGTCATTCTGACCATGTACATTGTGATCCTGGTCATGTAAATGATATGTGGAAATAGTTAAATTGACTGGAGGTCAAACCAGAACTCTGTTATCTTTGTTCAAAAAATGTCTAAAAATGCAATTTTTTTGTCACTTCTTGTTTCGTCATTTCCTGTTAACTTCCATCGCACCTTAACAATGTGTCTCAAAAATCGAAAATTGGATAAATAATGCCACATGTTCAAAGTAGTCTTTACATGTGACTTCACATTCGTTGAATACCTGTATTTATTTTTCTAAAAATACACCTTTCATATCGATGACTTACACATGAATGGGATACCTTGTGGTATTTTTGGTCACCTGGAACATGACTGACCAATCACATGCTGATTATCACTTCAGAGAAATAATAATATAAGTTATTGAATGATTTGTATGTAGTGCAATATGGGATATATTCTGCTCGAGAACGTCCGTATTGGAACGAGACGAAGTCGAGTGCCAATACAGAATATTGAGAGCAGAATATATCCTGTATTGTACTTCGAATCATTCTATAACGTTTTTATCGTGTGATCCTCTGTATTGGTGCTGAGAATGTCTCCTCCGTACCAATATTTTCTTATTGCGACTGAGATGATCAATGGGGACAATCTTAGTAGCAATACATATTGGTACAGCACAAGAACTGACCAATCAGAAGGCTTCATTTTACAGATCATACGATAAACAGGCATATCATATCGGACACCATAACAATAATAGATTTAAACAAATATTCAATAATAATAATACAAATGGTCTCATTGAGGTGTTTAAAATCTGTATTATTTTCTGAAGTTAACTTGTCAATATTGTAGAATAAATCAACGATATAAGTAAATGTTGGCTGTGAAAATCAATAAAAGACCATACAGCCACGTTAAGCATTTGATGTGAAGTAATATAATTCACAAACTATAACAGTACTCAAAGGCTGAAATATATCAAATTCAGTATATATTGCTTCATTTTCTTCATAGGAACTTGGCCAACAGAAAGATGGCAGTAATGAAGAGAAACCTTTACAGTGTACATTTTCGTTTATTAATGCGACTTCATCGTGCCTATAGCTTAATATATTCATGTGTTTTATATTGCACTGGGTGTCTTTCTAAGTTATTTAACAATTCCAGCATCCCGCGCCATAGAGAACAAAATCCCGTCCGTATGACTAAGTAATGTACTGGGCGAATCAAATTCCACGATTTTGCCATCGTCCAATACCAGAATTCTGCAGAGAAGTAAAAGTATAACAATTAGTCCAATGAGATGAGAAACGTCAAATCAACAGATATCCATTATACTAGCTATTTATTTTACATTTTTGTATATTTCAATTTCTGGTTAAATAGGATGCAGTATTAATATATTTTTCTAAAATAGGCATGGCTAATGAAGAATAAAGGAATGTGACTGACTCTCTGAAAATTGTGTGCTTTTATAGATCAAAATGTTGACCTCTAAGTTAATATATTCTTGAAAATATAATCAAATGCTTGCACTCAACGATTGTAGATGGATTTAATGAATGAGTCATGGTTGAACATAATTGAATGCTTGCACTCAACGAAATAAATTGTAGGTGGATTTAATGAGTGTCACGAGTGAATAAAATCAAATGTTTGCACTAAACGAATCGTAGGTTGATTTGATGAATGCGTTCGTGTATGCAAAACTACAGAGACGACTATTCGTCAACGCATTAAACCTATATGGTCAACCCGTGTGTTTATAAAATTATGGGGAGTTTAGATTAGCATAAAAATATACAATTACCTATGCTTATCCGTAAGATATAAATGACACTCTAATTATAAGATGAAAATGGTGGGATGGCTTGTATGACATTTATATGACACCCCAATCGTCACGCGTCCATGGAGAGGTGACGCGAAAAACTAATAATCAGTAACCAAAAAATGCCCGATGAGGATGGACGTAGTACATTGAAACGTAGCGAGTAAGTTTCAAAATAATGGGATAAGTCAAGCATATTGTGATTGATTTTATAAAACACTATCCTGATGAACATATTCAATAATACCAGTAAAAACTGTTATACATTTCAGAGGGCGGGCTGTTGCTACTGTAATAAAGGGGGGGGGGGGTGGCTGCTAATTGGGCAGTGACTTGAGGCGAAATGTAAAATCTCTAGTATGATCCATCAATGAGGGTGACAAGATAGTAAAATAAAGGAATCTGAACAACGAGAAAATGAATATATCATCCATTTAAGAAAAGTAATATTAATGAAGAATATGTAAATATGATATGGATCATCACATGGCATCGTTTATCGCATCATGATTGTGTTCGACTACTTAATTTCTATGAACATCAAATGGGAAATGTTTATTGCAAAGTTAAATGAATGATATTTGATCTACCAGTGGCATGATTTGTTGGATAAAACATATGTTTTCAAATAACCTATCTTCGGCCATTTATAGGTAACTATGTATCTCAAACCTTGCAATAACAAGCTAAATATAAGTATGTGTAGATGGGCTATACGCTAATCTTAAACTCCCTATTGTAGCTTACCGATCATAGTCCATGACTGTGTTAAGGCGATGAGCAATTGTGAACACTGTACAATCTTTGAATTCCTCCCGTATTGTGTTCTGAATCAGGTCATCTGTCTCTAGGTCAATAGCAGCGGTGGCTTCGTCCAGGACGAGAATTTTTGATTTCCTTAATAAAGCTCGTGCTAGACATACTAACTGCTTTTGGCCAACGCTGAAACAGAATGGAAAATATAATAATGTATATTGCTAGACTAGCAACAGTACTATTGCACATGCGTTCTGACCATTTGCTCATGCCTCGGTCAAATTTTCTTATTTCTTCCTAGTTGACCTTGATTATATACTCATGACGATAAACCATGGATTTCAGAATTCTTATTGTACTAGTATTCGACTTACCTTAAATTCTGTCCATCTTCTGAACAATCATGTAGTAATTGTTTTGGAAGTTCCTTAACAAATAAAGCTAGATGTGCGTGATCTAATGCAGACCAAAGGGCGTCATCTGTATGCTCATCAAATGGATCTAAATTTGTTCGCAATGTACCTGAGAACAGCACAGGGTCCTTTAAAATAAACAAAGACCACTGAGAATTTTGATTGACAAATCATAACAAGACACTGATACTATCCTTGATTAAGAAAACAATAGACTCCATACTTTACGTATATAGGTTGAACGATTACGATTTTATACCGCAGACGAAGATGACCGGAGAGATTTCCTGTTCCCCTAATCCCTAACTCTAATCACTACCATTTGCCCAATTTAACCCTTACCTCAAACCCTAATCCTTACCCTTGACTCTTATATTAAACCCTTACTCAACCCTCGACCTAATCCATAATCCTTCACCCTAATCCTTACCCCTGACGCTATTAAACCCTAACATGGTCTTAGCCCTTGGCTCTATTAAACCCCGCCCCTAAAAACTATATTTAACCCTTATCCTTACCCCTGACCCTATTAAATCCTTATCATAATCCTTACCCTTGGCCCTATTAAACCCTTACTCTAAACACTTACTCTAATCCTTACCATTGGCCCTATTCAACCCTCGACTTAAACCATAATCCTTCACCTTAATCCTTATCCCTGACCCTATTAAACCCTAACCTAGTCATTACCCTTGGCTTTATTAAACCCCGCCCCTAAAAACTATATTTAACCCTAATCCTTACCCCTGACCCTATTAAACGCTTACCATAATCCTTACCCTTGGTCCTATTAAACCCTTACTCTAAACACTTACCCTAATCCTTACCATTGGCCCTATTCAACCCTCGACCTAATCCATAATCGTTCACCTTAATCCTTACCCTTGGCCCTATTCAACCCTCGACCTAATCCATAATCTTCACCTTAATCCTTATCCCTGACCCTATTAAACCCTAACCTAGTCATTACCCTTGGCTTTATTAAACCCCGCCCCTAAAAACTATATTTAACCCTTATCCTTACCCCTGACCCTATTAAATCCTTATCATTATCCTTACCCTTGGCCCTATCAAACCCTTACTCTAAACACTTACCCTAATCCTTACCATTGGCCCTATTCATTCCTCGACTTAAACCATAATCGTTCACCTTAATCCTTACCCTTGGCCCTATTCAACCCTTACTCTAAACACTTACTCTAATCCTTACCCTATTCAACCCTCGACCTAATCCATAATCGTTCACCTTAATCCTTACCCTTGGCCCTATTCAACCATTACTCTAAACACTTACTCTAATCCTTACCCTTGGCCCTATTCAACCCTCGACCTAATCCATAATCGTTCACCTTAATCCTTACCCTTGGCCCTATTCAACCCTCGACCTAATCCATAATCGTTCACCTTAATCCTTACCCTTGGCCCTATTCAACCCTCGACCTAATCCATAATCGTTCACCTTAATCCTTACCCTTGGCCCTATTCAACCCTCGACCTAATCCATAATCGTTCACCTTAATCCTTACCCTTGGCCCTATTCAACCCTCGACCTAATCCATAATCCTTCACTTTAATCCTTACCCTTGGCCCTATTCAACCCTTGACCTAATCCATAATCCTTCACCTTAATCCTTACCCTTGGCCCTATTCAACCCTCGACCTAATCCATAATCCTTTACCTTAATCCTTACCCTTGGCCCTATTCAACCCTTGACCTAATCCATAATCCTTCACCTTAATCCTTACCCTTGGCCCTATTCAACCCTCGACCTAATCCATAATCCTTCACCCTAATCCTTACCCTTGGCCCTATTAAACCCTTGATCTAATCCATAATCCTTCACCCTAATCCTTACCCTTGGCCCTATTCAACCCTTGACCTAATCCATAATCCTTCACCTTAATCCTTACCCTTGGCCCTATTCAACCCTCGACCTCATCCATAATCCTTCACTTTAATCCTTACCCTTGGCCCTATTCAACCCTTGACCTAATCCATAATCCTTCACCTTAATCCTTACCCTTGGCCCTATTCAACCCTCGACCTCATCCATAATCCTTCACCTTCATCCTTACCCTTGGCCCTATTCAACCCTTGACCTAATCCATAATCCTTCACCTTAATCCTTACCATTTGCCCTATTCAACCCTCGACCTCATCCATAATCCTTCACTTTAATCCTTACCCTTGGCCCTATTCAACCCTTGACCTAATCCATAATCCTTCACCTTAATCCTTACCCTTGGCCCTATTCAACCCTCGACCTAATCCATAATCCTTTACCTTTATCCTTACCCTTGGCCCTATTCAACCCTTGACCTAATCCATAATCCTTCACCTTAATCCTTACCCTTGGCCCTATTCAACCCTCGACCTAATCCATAATCCTTCACCCTAATCCTTACCCTTGACCCTATTAAACCCTTGACCTTATCCATAATCCTTCACCCTAATCCTTACCATTTGCCCTATTCAACCCTCGACCTAATCCATAATCCTTCACCCTAATCCTTACCCTTGGCCCTATTAAACCCTTGACCTAATCCATAATCCTTCACCCTAATCCTTACCCTTGGCCCTATTCAACCCTCGACCTAATCCATAATCCTTTACCTTTATCCTTACCCTTGGCCCTATTCAACCCTTGACCTAATCCATAATCCTTCACCTTAATCCTTACCCTTGGCCCTATTCAACCCTTGACCTAATCCATAATCCTTCACCTTAATCCTTACCCTTGGCCCTATTCAACCCTCGACCTAATCCATAATCCTTCACCCTAATCCTTACCCTTGACCCTATTAAACCCTTGACCTAATCCATAATCCTTCACTTTAATCCTTACCATTTGCCCTATTCAACCCTCGACCTCATCCATAATCCTTCACCTTAATCCTTACCATTTGCCCTATTCAACCCTCGACCTCATCCATAATCCTTCACTTTAATCCTTATCCTTGGCCCTATTCAACCCTTGACCTAATCCATAATCCTTCACTTTAATCCTTACCCTTGGCCCTATTAAACCCTTGACCTAATCCATAATCCTTCACCCTAATCCTTACCCTTGACCTTATTAAACCCTTGACCTAATCCATAATCCTTCACTTTAATCCTTACCATTTGCCCTATTCAACCCTCGACCTCATCCATAATCCTTCACCTTAATCCTTACCATTTGCCCTATTCAACCCTCGACCTCATCCATAATCCTTCACTTTAATCCTTACCCTTGGCCCTATTCAACCCTTGACCTAATCCATAATCCTTCACCCTAATCCTTACCATTTGCCCTATTCAACCCTCGACCTAATCCATAATCCTTCACCCTAATCCTTACCCTTGGCCCTATTAAACCCTTGACCTAATCCATAATCCTTCACCCTAATCCTTACCATTGGCCCTATTCAACCCTCGACCTAATCCATAATCCTTCACCTTAATCCTTACCCTTGGCCCTATTCAACCCTCGACCTAATCTATAATCCTTCATCTTAATCCTTAACCTTTGCCCTATTCAACCCTCGACCTTATCCATAATCCTTCACTCTAATCCTTACCCTTGGCCCTATTAAACCCTTGACCTAATCCATAATCCTTCACCCTAATCCTTACCATTGGCCCTATTCAACCCTCGACCTAATCCATAATCCTTCACCTTAATCCTTACCCTTGGCCCTATTCAACCCTCGACCTAATCTATAATCCTTCATCTTAATCCTTAACCTTTGCCCTATTCAACCCTCGACCTAATCCATAATCCTTCACCTTAATCCTTACCCTTGGCCCTATTCAACCCTCGACCTAATCTATAATCCTTCACCCTAATCCTTACCCTTGGCCCTATTAAACCCTTGACCTAATCCATAATCCTTCACCCTAATCCTTACCATTGGCCCTATTCAACCCTCGACCTAATCCATAATCCTTCACCTTAATCCTTACCATTGGCCCTATTCAACCCTCGACCTAATCCATAATCCTTCATCTTAATCCTTAACCTTTGCCCTATTCAACCCTCGACCTTATCCATAATCCTTTACCATAATCCTTACCCTTGGCCCTATTCAACCCTCGACCTAATCCATAATCCTTCATCTTAATCCTTACCATTGGCCCTATTCAACCCTCGACCTAATCCATAATCCTTCACCCTAATCCTTACCCTTGGCCCTATTCAACCCTTGACCTAATCCATAATCCTTCACCTTAATCCTTACCCTTGGCCCTATTCAACCCTCGACCTAATCCATAATCCTTCACCCTAATCCTTACCCTTGGCCCTATTAAACCCTTGATCTAATCCATAATCCTTCACCCTAATCCTTACCCTTGGCCCTATTCAACCCTTGACCTAATCCATAATCCTTCACCTTAATCCTTACCCTTGGCCCTATTCAACCCTCGACCTCATCCATAATCCTTCACTTTAATCCTTACCCTTGGCCCTATTCAACCCTTGACCTAATCCATAATCCTTCACCTTAATCCTTACCCTTGGCCCTATTCAACCCTCGACCTCATCCATAATCCTTCACCTTAATCCTTACCCTTGGCCCTATTCAACCCTTGACCTAATCCATAATCCTTCACCTTAATCCTTACCATTTGCCCTATTCAACCCTCGACCTCATCCATAATCCTTCACTTTAATCCTTACCCTTGGCCCTATTCAACCCTTGACCTAATCCATAATCCTTCACCTTAATCCTTACCCTTGGCCCTATTCAACCCTCGACCTAATCCATAATCCTTTACCTTTATCCTTACCCTTGGCCCTATTCAACCCTTGACCTAATCCATAATCCTTCACCTTAATCCTTACCCTTGGCCCTATTCAACCCTCGACCTAATCCATAATCCTTCACCCTAATCCTTACCCTTGACCCTATTAAACCCTTGACCTTATCCATAATCCTTCACCCTAATCCTTACCATTTGCCCTATTCAACCCTCGACCTAATCCATAATCCTTCACCCTAATCCTTACCCTTGGCCCTATTAAACCCTTGACCTAATCCATAATCCTTCACCCTAATCCTTACCCTTGGCCCTATTCAACCCTCGACCTAATCCATAATCCTTTACCTTTATCCTTACCCTTGGCCCTATTCAACCCTTGACCTAATCCATAATCCTTCACCTTAATCCTTACCCTTGGCCCTATTCAACCCTTGACCTAATCCATAATCCTTCACCTTAATCCTTACCCTTGGCCCTATTCAACCCTCGACCTAATCCATAATCCTTCACCCTAATCCTTACCCTTGACCCTATTAAACCCTTGACCTAATCCATAATCCTTCACTTTAATCCTTACCATTTGCCCTATTCAACCCTCGACCTCATCCATAATCCTTCACCTTAATCCTTACCATTTGCCCTATTCAACCCTCGACCTCATCCATAATCCTTCACTTTAATCCTTACCCTTGGCCCTATTCAACCCTTGACCTAATCCATAATCCTTCACCTTAATCCTTACCCTTGGCCCTATTCAACCCTCGACCTAATCCATAATCCTTTACCTTTATCCTTACCCTTGGCCCTATTCAACCCTTGACCTAATCCATAATCCTTCACCTTAATCCTTACCCTTGGCCCTATTCAACCCTCGACCTAATCCATAATCCTTCACCCTAATCCTTACCCTTGACCCTATTAAACCCTTGACCTAATCCATAATCCTTCACCCTAATCCTTACCATTTGCCCTATTCAACCCTCGACCTAATCCATAATCCTTCACCCTAATCCTTACCCTTGGCCCTATTAAACCCTTGACCTAATCCATAATCCTTCACCCTAATCCTTACCCTTGACCCTATTAAACCCTTGACCTAATCCATAATCCTTCACTTTAATCCTTACCATTTGCCCTATTCAACCCTCGACCTCATCCATAATCCTTCACCTTAATCCTTACCATTTGCCCTATTCAACCCTCGACCTCATCCATAATCCTTCACTTTAATCCTTACCCTTGGCCCTATTCAACCCTTGACCTAATCCATAATCCTTCACCCTAATCCTTACCATTTGCCCTATTCAACCCTCGACCTAATCCATAATCCTTCACCCTAATCCTTACCCTTGGCCCTATTAAACCCTTGACCTAATCCATAATCCTTCACCCTAATCCTTACCATTGGCCCTATTCAACCCTCGACCTAATCCATAATCCTTCACCTTAATCCTTACCCTTGGCCCTATTCAACCCTCGACCTAATCTATAATCCTTCATCTTAATCCTTAACCTTTGCCCTATTCAACCCTCGACCTTATCCATAATCCTTCACTCTAATCCTTACCCTTGGCCCTATTAAACCCTTGACCTAATCCATAATCCTTCACCCTAATCCTTACCATTGGCCCTATTCAACCCTCGACCTAATCCATAATCCTTCACCTTAATCCTTACCCTTGGCCCTATTCAACCCTCGACCTAATCTATAATCCTTCATCTTAATCCTTAACCTTTGCCCTATTCAACCCTCGACCTAATCCATAATCCTTCACCTTAATCCTTACCCTTGGCCCTATTCAACCCTCGACCTAATCTATAATCCTTCACCCTAATCCTTACCCTTGGCCCTATTAAACCCTTGACCTAATCCATAATCCTTCACCCTAATCCTTACCATTGGCCCTATTCAACCCTCGACCTAATCCATAATCCTTCACCTTAATCCTTACCATTGGCCCTATTCAACCCTCGACCTAATCCATAATCCTTCATCTTAATCCTTAACCTTTGCCCTATTCAACCCTCGACCTAATCCATAATCCTTCATCTTAATCCTTAACCTTTGCCCTATTCAACCCTCGACCTTATCCATAATCCTTTACCATAATCCTTACCCTTGGCCCTATTCAACCCTCGACCTAATCCATAATCCTTCATCTTAATCCTTACCATTGGCCCTATTCAACCCTCGACCTAATCCATAATCCTTCACCCTAATCCTTACCCTTGGCCCTATTCAACCCTAACCCTAAAGAATAATCAGAATTTTGCTCGAGCATCTTCGGTTGCGGTGCATTTAAAAACAACACCCAGTCGAACAAAATAACAGTTTTACAGAAAACTTAAATTTTCTAAAATTGAAAATAATGACCAATAGTATTACAATATCGTCTTTGACTTATGTTTTCCTCGCCTACATTCGAATTAAATTTGTCTAAAAGATCTTTGGATTCTGGCCCTACTCTTCCATTAAAAATCCAACGATCATTTGTGTGAGTACCTGGGGAATGATGGTTAGTCCATTCCTGAGATTGTGCAGTCCAATTGTATCGATTCTTACGCCATCTATCGTGATAGTTCCACCAGCAGCTTCAATTATCCGAAACAGGCCTAGTGTCAATGATGACTTACCAGCACCGGTTCGTCCAACTATACCAATCTTAAACATAAGTTTCAAGTCAATGATAATTCGATTCATTATTTCTCGAATAAGCACTTGTCAGAAACAGGGAGGGAAGTGATTATTAGTAGTATGCATTCAACACATTTTTTGAGAATGGAAGCATGAGCTCCGTAATGACAGTTATGAACAATGTACCTTAATTGAGGTTACATTGCCCCAAGGATGGGAAAACTGACACATTTATTCAGCCCGGGATAAGGAATATATAAGCACAAATGCCAAAGGGAAGGGTGACTAAAAACTTTAAAGAAACCCAACAAGAAAAGCAAACTGTAAGTGTAAATCTGTCATAAGAAAAGGAGACCCTATGTATCCCAAAACCATAATCTAACGTGAAAAAAACAATGTCTAACATCCCCCTCCCCCCCTCCAATCGAGAACCAATATCACAATCCAGGACCAGAACACCAAGGGACATTTCATTCATACTGAAGTCATTACAATACATGTTGAAGAAAAATTGAAAAAATTGATAGCCAATACTCATAACATCAAAAATAGTTGTAGATACTAGTACTCATAAAAGAGTATTCAGTCTCAAATGATGTTGGATAGATAAAATCCAGTCTCGAAGTCCATAGGCAATTCAAAGGGTTAACATCCGTTCGCAAAGCCGTCATCATAATCCATAAAACACAACAATTCACAATGGTCATCAGGAGAAAAAAACTATGCCTGGTTTCGATCCCTATTTCTCAACTATTAATGCCATAGCCGGGATCCACCTCAAAAGGTGCCAAGTGAAAAATTGTGAGTTCATTGCCAATTTAATTATATCATTCCTACATCCTCCAGCATCTCAAGTTGAACTCTTGAAATTTCGAAATTAATGACTTGTACTTTTCAGCAAAGCCCAGAAAGTATTTCCTAAGTTTTTTACAAGTATAACCTTGACCTAACAGCTTGATCACTTAAATATGGTGTCTTGATTTGAAATCTAGATATTGTGAGCACGCCCTGCTATATCTAATAAGCTGGGATACATAAACCCCATATGCTGGGTTAAGTGGAATATTGCTATGCAAATGTGGAAAGTTAACTATGTCAGAATTAAAGTCATCTCTTTTGTCATATAATTTACAATATATACTATTGTCTGGTTCAATGTTAATAAGACGATCAAGATAAGGTGCACTCATATCAGATTCATTAGAATTAGTCCTTATCTGATATTAGAAAGGAATTAGACAGGCAAATATTTTATGAAAAATTCCCCATCCATGCCCGCGTGGGGGGGGGGGTGGGGTCTCATGCAAAATGTTGAATGATGCATTAAACCTACCTTTTCTCCACCTTTTACGCTGAATGATAAGCCTTTCAGGACCAGATCTAGTCCTGCTCTATATCTTAGTTTCAAGTCTTTAAATATCACCTCTCCTTTGGAAGGCCATGTTGAACTTGGTTTCGTTCCTCTAATTGACCATGGCGCCTTAAATCAAGATAAAATACACGTTCTATATATTAAGGTTGGGTTATGTTAAACTAATGGTAAACATTTTACAACGTTTATATTGAGAATCATTTTACTTTATTTAGAAATCCTCTGATTAGTTTCCTTGCTTCTGTAAGAATTAAACAGAGGTTAAGAATGTCACTCTTACATTTGAAATTACACTATCAATGACATATGACTCATAAGTTTACCTCATTTTTCACTTCCGAGTATTCACTAATCCTTTCTACGGATACAATGTTTGACTCCATGTCAGACATGTTTCTTACAAACATGGCTAGTCTTTCAGTTACCTGAAAATAAACATGTCTTTCTTTGAACAATTTTCATTTTGTTACAATGCCTCGGTCCCCTACAGTTCAATGTATATCAACCATGAGGATAAACTGCTCCAGGTACAGTAATATTACATACAATTTGTTTATGTATTAAACTCTTAAGTTTTCTGAATTTTGCTTGAATTTAGAATCACCTGGAACATAACCTATTTTCCGATGCGTGAAACTAAACAACATTACATACATTTATTATATTAAATATATAAACATTTGGGCGGCCATCTTGTTTTGTGTTATGGCGGCCATTCCAAGAGTGTATTAATACATTATAAATGCAAACAAACACTCCTTACTTGTATAGAATATGACACAGAAAGACCAACGAGGCCGGCACCAATTGTGGCTCTGCCTAACACAGCAAACAATGCAGCAAATAACACAATCAAACTACCTATGGTTTCAATCATCACAGAGAGCCATCTACAAATTGATGAAAGCGAATGACATTATAGTCCCAATTGTAACTTTCTCATTTTTGCTGCTTTATTTATCAAACACTGACATATTTCAAAAAACAAATAAACACAATGTAGACCATTGATACCTAAATATCTTTTCAAATCCACTAACTCCATAAGTTTGGCAAACTTTCCCGCCCAGAGGCGTTCGCGTTAAAGCCTTTTAATGTTTGTATTTTTTATTTTCATGACCTTCAAAGAAAAGGTCTAATAATGTAAGCGAAGATGTAACTTGACTTTATTTCATCTTGATCAGTCAAGGTATGACATATTATGACTGAAGGAATACACTGGTTTAACAGGATGGCTTTATTTCTTAAATCTCCAAATATCCTCAGTTAGAAAAAAAATATGACAAAGTTGATGATTTCATTCATCTGAGTTCCCTCAAAAATACAACTTGTAAGTAGACAGTTGAATTCGCTAGCTTCATCTGGCGCAAAATCGATGTGTTTCTTCGGGTTAAAAAGGTCTCGAAGTCAAAATAAGTTTTCAAAAAACCTTTTCCATAGCAATAACACAGGAGGTAAAAATGATTTCCCAAATTTTCTTTGAAGCTATGTTACATATTTAGTTTTTACAAAGTAAACTCTAAACAAAATATTAGACAATTTTATATTCTACATAAAAACAATTGTTTTCTTGAATAGATATTCTGTAACTGATTTGCCTCGAACCCACCATTTCCAATTTGTTTACATTCGAATGACTATTTTCAAAAATTCACCTTTGTCATTAATTTCTCGACCTATGAGTTAATGAAATCAAAGAATGAAATTCCGCGCTTAGGGCTTGCGTTAAAAGTCACCATATTGGGGATCGAGCCCACGACCCCTCGTTTTCCGGACGAGTGCTCTTTCACTGAACTATGGAGCCGACTGACTTGTCAACATCGATCAACATTACATATACGACAGCATTGCAGCCATGTCTTAAATGACCAGTTTACCTTGACCCAATTTAAGTTACCTGTCTTCCCAGGTTATCAATCATTCTATTCATGATGTCACGTGGATTTTTCCATGGGCAATTTCCCCTAAGGAGAAAAAGTATCAGTTAATGAAATAGAGAATAAAATTCTGCGCTAAGGTCTGATGTGGAAAAGTCAGTCCACCCTTGTGGGGATCGACATAACGACCTCTTGCTTGGCCCATTGTAGTTGAGGAAAAAATCGAAAAATGGAGGTATAGGGAATAAAGGTACACCTCTGTCTTCTTTATCGTTTTCTTAATCATAGATTGGCTCAAACACGTTAGCCCATGGGGAAAAAGGTTGTCCAACTTTTGGAGGGGAGTATACATACAATAAGTAAACTAAAAATACTGTTGTCGGCCGTTGCTATACCCGTTATAATACTTCGAAATCCCTGGTTATATTTGTGTATGGTATCAATACGCTTAGAATGTTCCTAGAAATCGTTATCATTAAAATATCTTGAAAATTATAATTATATCTTAAAAATCAACTAATCTAGAAATAATTGGAGATAAATATGAATGTCGTTGTCTTATTCATGTATTTGAACTGTTCAAAGTAATGGCTGCCATGGCAAATCAACTGTTGGAATTTCCGACATACCTGCTAACAGCAATTGAGGGAAACTTTGCCATCATCATATCATCTGTGAGTTTGTCCGATTGTTTGATAAACGCACTTTGCATGTTATAGGCACGGATAGAGCACGCCCCGGTGACACTTTCGCCAAAATGTGAATATATGGGAGATGTTCTTATCGAGTTTAATCTTCTCAGTTGATTAGAACATGCAACATAAACTCTCTATAAATAACATATATACGTATGTTAGCAATTACACGTCGATTTCGCAGTTTATTATAGAAATTTTAGTGTTAAACAAATATTATTGTATGGGATATTTGAAACATAAATACATTTGCATATACTGTATGAAATAACTATGCATACCTGTATAAATATATACAAAATGAAAAGAGGTACGAAGACTATAAGAAAATATGGCGATGAGTAGCTAATTGCGATGATGGTGGTGACAATACTGGACAACCCTCTTAGAATCATCATCAACGTCCCCCTTATATTTGTATCAACTTGACTCATATCTTGGCTGAATCTATTCAGAATTCTACCCAATGGCGTTGTGTCGAAGAATTCCATTGGTGCTTTCACAATCCTTAAAATCAACTTCTCATGAAGGATTTTCGATGCCCGTGTTACGGCAAAAGCGAGACCGAGAGTTGCGATTAGAATTGATGACACTGAAAATAATAAGCGAATAACTGACTCGTACGCAATTGATTTTGAAAAGACAATTTTTAAAATTTGAGGTGATCCACACATTCATGCAGTTTAAGTATTGCCATGTGGACTTGTCGACTTTTAAATTAAATAGCAAGTGACAACACAAAGCAAGAATTATATTCAACAAAAACATCACCCACTTTCGAAGAAAATGCCACCGTGGCGTTCGTTAAGCTCATTTGTAAAGATAAATCGTATCAATCATAAACCATAATGGTCTCATATATACATTCAGTAATTTACTTGTCCTTACGTTCCGTAAGAAAAATTTAGAATATTCAAGTATTGTATTACAGTTTGAGAAATGAATTTTGGAATAAATTAGTTCAAAGATAATACTGATACATGAGACAAGGCCATCGTCGCTTTCCATTGGGTCTAGAGACCTGAGGTAGGAACAATCGAAACCTTGTGAATCAAGATGAGACAAGGCAGCAATTCTTAAAAACATATTTATTTGGACTAAAACAGAACCATCTACTTACTCTGAACAACACCAATACCGCCATATACGCCAAGTCTTATATCAGTTTGTTCAGGAGTGGTCGTTCCATTCACACCCCCGTCCTCACTCCATTCACTTAACCAGATATTACCACCGAGGTCGGACGCCACGAACACACTATAGCTAGCAACAACCATCAGAACGGGAAAGAGACCCAACGCCCTCATATAGGTGGCATATACTGCAGCTTTTACCTTTTTGGCAAATATATAGTAACAGTAGAGAAAATGTATGATGTAAGACTTTGCTCCGTAACTTAAATTCTTCCCTTTTCGACTACAAGTGGTCATATTTTTTAATTTAAAAATAGGCTGACCATTTACCAACAGCAGATTTCCTTTTAAACTGCCTTTGCTGTTAATATTTTTGAATAAATACAATGGGGTGTACATGTATACAATCGAAAATAGGAGTGTCATCGTTTTATTTGAATTAAAAGTAAAATTACGAAGATCATAGAAAACAAATAATATGTTTCTTAAACATACTCCTCCAATCTCTGCACCTTCAGTGTCCATCAAATTTCGTCCTTTACGTATCTTTAGCTTCTCCCCTTGCGTATTTGCTAACTTTATAGAATCATGTGACACATTCGAACACGCGCTATCTGGTCTTGATTTCCCTGGCCTTAAATTGGTAAACACAAGTCAAAATAGTCGAATACGTTGTCCATATATGATTGTGCAGTGAATTTTGGTTCAAAATCAAGTAGTCACTAAAAAATGTTTTGTTTCGTTCCTTCATTTCAATAAAATAAATGTATACATAAGTCTACTTCTTTAGTTAACAATAATATACATGCAATTGATTGTCAACGTGTTATAAAAACATCAGCGGCAATTTTAGACAATAGAATGGGAATGCATAAAAAACTATAATAAGAAAATATAATCCCATGTGCCATGGATGAGTTATCACATGCATGGAAAAATGCATGCAAACCGATTAATCTGGCTGAAACGTTGATTCCCAAAATGACTCATTAGTTCTATTAATTTTTAATTTAATGAATCATCTAAATCATCACCAAACAAAAGAAACTGGATTTTGTCAACTGTGTTCACACTCTGAACCAAAAGATGGAGATATGAAATTCAAAGTCCTGCAAGTAAAGTTTCACGCTCGTTTACAAGCAGAGGACATTTTAAGAATAAAATGAGAAGGTGTTTGTTCTAATCCGCATTTACAAAAAGGGATCACTAACACTGTTGAAATTATGTGCATTAAAAAGCTGCGATTTTAGAAGAAAAGCCACTCTGAGTTTGTCAAAAGCACATTTGACATATCTAGGCATTTCGAATACCATTTTGGTAGTTGGCAGCATGGAGACAAGGCTTTTGTTATCTCTTACTAATCCTTCGAAGTGTGATATCGGTTGACCCTCTTCTCATGTCAAGGTGTAGCTTATTTCATATTCCTATTCACTTCAAAATAATTGACTTCCGGAATGAATTGCTAGCTTTTTTTAGGAATTAAGTAATGTATTATATCTCTTAATTGCCTAGTCTGAGTATTTTCATAATTTTGAATTAATTCACAAATGAAAGGTGGATAAGAATTGTACCAACATTTAAACATAAACATTTTATAGTGCTCATCTCTTCTAGTTGATGGGAATTTCCCCATTTTCTGTAGTGCACTCTATCTACAGGGTGGTCCAAAAAAAATTGGAACATTTTTTAATTGAACGCAAAACCTTTATTTTTCTTCTAAAATGTACCAAACTTTTACTGAGCATAGTTCAGTTATTTATTTATATGATGTAAAGTTTATAGGTTAAAACCACAAAGTTAATGCATTAAACTTGTCGATATTTGATATGACCCCTCTTCCCTTGACTTACAAGTTGAAGCCTGGGGCTCAGATTTGTAAATATTCAGTTAGTTTGCTGTTCGATTGTTTTGTCCAAGCCATCTTAATTAAAATATTCAGCTTGATCAAACTTCCTATTTGCTTGCCTTGGAAGATCAAATCTAGTAACATATTCAACATTTTTAACCCAAATTCATGAGTATCAAGCATATTTTGATGGCTATTGTTGGGTGTATTACTGATTGAATATTCTCCAGAAAGAGGCCAGGGCAGTCTGATTTGACTGGTGAATGAAGCCCCATCCCCTTTATTGTTCTGATATAAATAATGTTCATTGAATATATCAATATGTCTATCAATATCATAGAGAGAACGCAAATGGTATATTATATATATATAATACTATGTATATGTGCTTAGCGTTGGTTTTTAATATGAATAACTGGTCAGTTTTGCCTTTCATGAAAAGTGGGAACAATTCTTTTGTCACTTGAGTAGCTGTGAGGGTTATGCAATCGCTCACCTCTGACATGTTCCTTCTTCCCTAATCTTAAATGAAAATGATCATTTGGGGTATTGTTTAAGTTTAAGTTAACACAATATTTTCCCGGCAAACCCCAGATGTAAATACCCTTTGTCAACTGAATATGATTTTATAAAATATTTATAGCAATTAACATGTGCATTAAAGCTTTGAAATAAATAATACTTGAAAAAGTAGCCGCGAAATTGACAAGTGTATATTTAAGAAAAGGGGGTCCTATCAAACATTGACTAGTTAAATGCATTAACTTTGTGGTTTTCACCCATAAACTTTACATCAGATAAATAAGTGATTGAACTATGCTCAGTAAAAGATTGGTACATTTTAGAAGAAAAATAAAGGTTTTGCGTTCAATTAACAAATGTTCCAATTTTTTTGGACCACCCTGTAAACACTGAAGTTTAAGATTTGGGGCTTTACTGTAGATTATATCGACAGTAATCAAATTAAAAATGTGGGCGTTTGGTAAATGAATGCCGTTTCATTTGTTAAAAGAAAACTCATTATTCTTCAAAAATGGTTAAAAACACACAGTATTCTGCGCATTTTTGTCAGATATTGTTACGAAAGCAAATCGTTAAAAGTAAATGATCTATTACTTACGTATTTCTACCATCGTATTAAGATGAAGCAATACTGAAATTTTGAAGCAAATTGGACTTTCGGTTCAAAAGTTATCACTAGTTAAAGAGATCGAGTCGTCCAGATTTCTATTCTAGACAATCAGTAATGTCCCAATATAATTGCTCATAAAACATCATATATACCTTAGATATATCTTGAGACCAAATCATAAGTTCGATATCGACAATTGCAATATATTGAGGATATCAACAGGACAACCAAAAGAACAACCAACTGCCAGAATTGAACGCAATAAGTCGAAAACAGAATACAATGTTTTGGGGGGATTTATCTATATTGTAACCCCTTAGAAGTAAAAAATATGGCTTCTCCAAGCCAAAGTAATCTGAAGGAAAAAGCCAATCAGACTGGAACAAATTTGAGCGGGCTTTTTAAATTTTATTTGAATTTCTATTGATGTAAGTGGAAATTCATGGCTCGGAACAATCATCGAATTGATACTGTTAACGAATTAATTCAAGCCTCAGAATTGATAAGTTGATAAACAAACTTGTTTAACATCAATTAACACGAAAAAATCAGTGGGTTACTCTTATAGTGTTTTTAGGAGACCCGATCTCTTTAAAGTAAACCTGGAGTCAATAAATCACAAAAAAATATTTGAAAAAGTACCATGATTTTTCAAGCTGTATTTCTTGGCGACGGATGAACTCCATGAGTTAATACATGTATCAAAATGAGCACCACTTGTATACGCATTTTACAGAACCATATATATCAATCGCTATGGTCCCTAGAGGCAGCATTTGGACCATGAAGTGAGAGTAATTTTGGAAAATTTCAAAGAATACTCTTAGCACGGGGACACATTTGAAAAATGTGAACATTTCAGCAAATCATCTTACCTCACCAGGGAATATCAAACTACTTTGAAAATATGCATTAGTTGTGTTGTTTTTGAGATAGAAGATTCATACCACATGTCATTGATTTATTTCCTGTCATCCATCTTTTTTTCATGCACTACTTGTTTTGGCAGTCCAGTGATATATTTCTCAGATTGATATATTTGAGTCAATTGGATATGACATTACAATACACTTAGATTTTTATCTATTTGTTTATTTCAATGTTAGAAATTGCAGAATTATCGCTATTAAAGCTTTACCTTTTATCCAATATTCCCGGGATTTTTTGTTTTGATAACAGTCACTACGCGATTTTCCATTTTCACTTTTGCTTATTGGCCTGAAATAAAGTTGGTAAGGAAGATCGAAGAAGGAATAAGTGCTAAACTAGTTGAAAATGATGTAATATTTAATTTTGACAGACTCATAATCGCACAAATTAGCGTTTTATTACCGAGAATGGATAAATAGTATTAAAATCTGCATTTAATTTTTAAACCGGAAATAACCTATTCACGATCATGACTTTGGAAAATGATACATCCGCTAAAACTAGATCTTGTATTTTTAAATAAAACTAGATCTAATTACATATTTTGTTGTTTTTGAGTTTTATCTTTTTTAATAATTTACAAAAAATCATTTATTGAAAATTTGATCGATAAATCTGTTTTATTTATCATCTGAAGTCAGAATCATAACTGTCCATTATATTCATCCGCTGAGAGACTTCCGGTAATGAACAAACATTTGCCGTGAAGGAATCATTGAAATGTAACCAAAATACGTAAAATTGGAGACAACTAGGAGATGTTATATCTTATACAGAGGTTATACAGAGGTTAGTTTTTAATAAAATCGCTTCTTCTTACACGATAATGGGTATTTCACTTTGCACAAGTAATTGAAAGTTTTCGATTGAAATCAAAAAATTATCGCCGATAATAGAATCACCTATTAAATTATGATTTCAGGAATCGTTTGTTGTTCCTGACATATCTATAAATCATTGTGGTGTACCAATTATTCATTTCTGATACATTTGTTCTTGGGAGTATTCCTGGAAAAGAACAGTTACAATTTCATCGCTGTTTCTTTTTTGCAGATATCACACTCATGTGGTAACCCTTGGGTAAACTCTTACTCAAAATGTTGTCTTGACATGTTGATTTAAATTATCTGGAGCATTTTAGCTTGTAACATTGTTCTTTATCCTCAGAATCTTAACTCAAAATGAGTCGTATTTCATCTTTTTTTTCAATTCACATCTTCATTTTTTTTCAAATTTCAGTTGATTCCCGGTGTAAAAGGGTAGGAGGTCCTATCAAATTATGGTCCTACTCTTCATTGATTTATATGGTGACCTAAATACAACTCTTTCCCTCATTATCTTGTACACAATCAGAGCCAGTAAGGGCCGTTAAGAAAGGGGACCTTAATCCCTGGGGGACCATCGTGGATCATTTCTTTCACACCGGTTCACCTTAAAGTGCCAATTCGGTAATTTCCATTTATTTTTCTTTACACAAACAGATTCAATGGGTATTGGTTGGTAGAAACAGTATACAAACAGACTCACATCTTCATCTGATTGTCTTTCAGTGCCAAAATAAGATTTACCGAAAAAACACGACGTCACGATTAGAACCGGTTATCGATTTTACTCGGCATTGCGTTATGCAATTCGAATGTAAATTCAAAAGTATTCATGTTATACTGTGTTCTGATTGGCCAGAAAGGAGTAACGCTTCTTAAAATCACCTCATGGTTCAATGCCTTTTGGTTGTAAGAATTTAAACAGCATTGAGTTATGTAACAAGATCAACTCAACGTGTATAGTTTCTATACTGTATTCTGACTGACCAGAACGTAATTCTGCATGACAAACTTTGTGAAAACGCACCACAGGGTCGGGGGCTCTAATTGAGGTATTATATTTTTCGCTCATCGGAGGAAAAATCGTGGCTCCAAAGTAGTCAAAGTTGAATCATTTCCGCACTGCATTGAATGCAGTGGCAATCAATTACACTGACACTTTACAAGCACGTTCGGAGATCATAAGCTCCAGCAACATGTTTAAAACCTGTTCCGATCGTGATGTCATGATTGGCACTTGAGATTGGGTTTCCGATTTTGAACATCAAATTTCACATTTATAGGAAGATTTACAAGAACGGTACATGGTTTGACTTGTAAGTGATGTTTACTTCACTTAAAACATGTATAAACTGTGACCCAATGACCCCATGAGCATCGCACAGACACTTTAAAGCATGAAAAAAGCCATATTTTTCTCAAGTGTAAAAAATATTTATCATAAAAAGCTTTACAAAATCGCCATTCTGATTACACCAACATTTCCAAAGCGTCTTAGGAATTATATTTTGGAATTACACCTTTTTTTTCTAAAACGCCTTTCGTGCACTTTTAACGATGTAGTTATGGATAATATCCAGCATACACTGTACATGTATGTATAGCCTACATCTCCTGTAAATGTATTCTTTTTGCATCTAAGACAAAACTGATCTTCCATAATTTGATTAAAAATGCATGACATTATGTGTCGCATAATTTTTATTTATATTTTATTAATTATGAGAAAACAAAATAAAAAGGTAAGGAAAAATATGTACATATTCTCTTAAGATAACACTTGATTTCGATGTCACCTGGCGACCATCATCCAAGGGAAAGATCAATACCCGGTGATTTCAGCGGGAAGTGGCGTTTCGTTCATTGGATGAGCTGCGCGCGCACGCATAAATGTGATTATCCAATATAATTAGGGGAGGGCTATTTGAAGTAGTTTTTGGTCTCAGGCGCGACCCAGGGCTGTTGTAATTTGATTAAAAATGCATGACATTATGTGTCGCATAATTTTTATTTATATTTTATTAATTATGAGAAAACAAAATAAAAAGGTAAGGAAAAATATGTACATATTCTCTTAAGATAACACTTGATTTCGATGTCACCTGGCGACCATCATCCAAGGGAAAGATCAATACCCGGTGATTTCAGCGGGAAGTGGCGTTTCGTTCATTGGATGAGCTGCGCGCGCACGCATAAATGTGATTATCCAATATAATTAGGGGAGGGCTATTTGAAGTAGTTTTTGGTCTCAGGCGCGACCCAGGGCTGTTGTCTTAAGGACATTTCGTTGAAAATGAGCCATTCGGCTGATAATTGGTAAGAGTTTGCGATCTTATAATGTATAACTGTTACTCAGACACATATTTTGACACTCGGATTCTGTTGGAAATAAGCTTTGAACCGAGAGATATTCACGATTGATATGCACATTTTTGATTGTGCCATTGCTTTTCTATTGCACAACCCATGTATTGATAGAAGAAACATTAATAATACAGATTGGTTTACCTTCAATACATGGCAGACACTACATATCGGTCTATTAATACCAGTTTGTGCCTTAAATAGTTTTATATTTCCATCCACGGCCTGGAGCCTGGGTGTGTTTGTCTCTTATGTGTATGCTTGTGCATGGACTTCTAATCACTAGCAGAATTTAACATGATGCAAACTCGACATTATAACTCATGCTGTAACATTTTGACTTCGCTGGAAAACAATAGGAATTATTTTTCTTGCCAATCAATCATGAATCACAATCAAAATTTCAGAATGATCAATCAGGCAATGATCCAAATCAAGTTATAACATTATATGATATTCAGCAAGAAGTCCGGTAGAAATACAGAATATTTAAACATCAAAGCTGAAAGTTAAAAGCTAATCTGTCAATTTTCTGTCTGCAAAAGAGCGTCCCAAGAGCGTTTACATTTGACACAATAACAGACTGAGGCCTTGAAATCTAGGATTCCCCAGGAAAATATGACGTCATACTAATTAGCATAAGGATTTCCCTATTGGGGTGGGTCGAGCCTTGTTCGAAAACACAATCCATAAATACATGCTAATTTCTAAGGAGATAGGAAGTGTATAACGTGTTTATCGATTTTGTTTAAAGATTTAATCAATTATCAAATTGTTTAAGTGGATAAAGTGGTCACACTTGCTTCAATTCATAGCGAAATCGACGGATAGAAACTGACCGAATTCCCGATATCCTACCCCGTATTACTGTAGGCTATAAGCACAGTGACCTACAGAGGGCGCTATCACAAACAAGTACTGGACGAACCGATAAATTCCCGGGTATTGTAACGCCCTCCATTTTTCATTTAGATATAAGGTCTTATTTCGTTTAGGGCAAATGTTAAAAACTAGTAAAAACCCGGGTAAGGCGTCTTACAAAAACCGATCGTTATTACATTGCACACTTAAAACACCTAACGACTTATGCCGTTTACTAGTGACAAGGGTTCTTGGAGTTTTAGAAAAGCGCTTTTGTAAAACCGCAATCGTGATTACACCTAATTCTTAAACCTGGTTAAAACCGAAGAAGCTTTTGTAAAACGCCATGTGTAATTCCAGCAAATGTATTTTTCTGAAAGATAATTAAGTTACACGTATCATGAGTGCAATCCAATGTGATTCAAGTCAGGATGAAACTAGATATTGGGTAGGCTGGAAATGTCACACTTTTTGGTTATGCAATTTTGGCATTAGTAATGGTGATCGTTACGGTGAAAAATATCAGCCTATGAAAAGATTTAGATCAACAGTTAATAAATCAGTAAATTATTAAAAATTTGAAAAAAGAAGATTAATGATGTCTCCTTTGCAATATATATTTCTTTATGCACTCGAATAATATATTTTGTTTTAAAAATAAAACCAGTCACATCCGTAATCAATATTTCAGCATAGTTTTCATCAAAATTACAGCTTTATTCATCCAGAAACACGTATTATTCAATATAATTTGGCAGAATCTAGTTACATTAGGATATGATTTGTGACATTCAAATGGTTCCTGTAAATTCACAAAAACACTTATCCGTAATCAGTCACATCCATAATCAAAAAGCATGTATGTTTATTTGTGAGAATTTCGTCGTGCTATATCGAGTAATTCATTAATTGAAATTCAGGTAATCGAATTGTAAATATGATTTTTTGTTCAGTTCAAAAGATCAGACTGAAACAATTTTGCTGATGATAATTGACTATAACTGAGTATAGTAAACTTGTTACATTTGAACGGATGTGTCACATCCCTAATCAGATTTATTTTTTGTTCTGCATAAAATTATTTCAATGCATTGTACCATGCTATCAATTTGTATTTCATTTAGTTGAGATAACTCCTCTACTTTCATAAAAATTGTTTTGAAAGGCAACAAAACAAATAAAACTTATGAGAAATGAAAATGCAACAAATATTTGGCAAAAACAGTTTCAGAATTCAGTTTCTATTTAGTCTTATTTCTACAAGACAAAGTTAATGTTCACTAAATTTGTTATTGTTCTGTAAACTAAAACATTATGATATAATACTAAAAACCTTTTTACTGAACGTAAGATTTTCTGTTCTGACAGTTTAATATATAATATTAAAATCACATCCATAATAGAATTTTAGTCAAAGAAAGAACATGATGCTAATTTTTTTCCTTCAATGATACTTTAAAATCCTTCTGGAATTATCAGGTTAACATACTATATTCTAAAAATACAATGATTTAAAAGATTTTCTAATACCCAAAGACCCTGTTTGCAACATACTGATGCAGAATACTGTGATTTGGCTGATAGAAAGTTGAGAAGGTTAAGTCATATGTAGTCAATACGTTACCTCCGACGTTTTCTTCCTTCACCACGCATGCGCATATGCTCACTGTCACTAACTCCACTTTCTTCAGAGAGTAGTGAAATCTGTTTTCTTATATCTTCGATGACTTCATTTTCTGTAATAACATTGGAGGTTATTAACTCGGTTTGCTAATTCGCTTTACTATTTCAGTTTAGTCTGATTATGTACTTAAATCCTAAATTTGTTTTGAAACGAATGTTTTCCTTTCAAAGTAAAGAACGTAATAAAAACAAGATTTATTGAAAGCATTTCAAAGTGGATTGGCCATACCATAATTGATTGATTGTTAACCGTATAGCTGAGGTCCGAGTATACTGTCATTAATAAGAAAATCACTTATTCTTATCCATGTAAGTAATCTAGTCAGTATAATATACATGTATACACCACGTATTAACAACTCAGTCCACTAGCGGACTTTTTAAACATTTTTAACATATTCCTGGGCCTCAGCCGCACTGGCGGATCTGAGGGGGGGGGGGGCTGGGTGGGCCTAGAAAAAAATTGAGCCCAAAAAAAGTTTTGGGCAAAAAAGGCCTTAAGGCCTCAAAAAGTGGGCCTTTTTGGTCATTACTGGGCCTTGTTAGGCCTTATTCTTTAAATTCAGGCCAAATTTCGAAGAAAATTGGCCTCAAAATTTCAAAATTCTGGCCCCCTTTTTGGTTTTAAGGGCCCAAGATTTTTTCTCTGACCTGAAATTTGCCCCTCCCCCTTGTTGGTTCCCAGATCCGCCCCTGAGCTGTATAGTGTAGTAGTACCTTCTGAATTTGAGCTGATTTCTCCTGTATCCTCATTGAGGTAATTACTTAAAAACTCTGCGAATGCTCCATTGTGGCTCAACAGTTGCTGATACGTCCCTATTTCAGAAACTCTGCCTTCTTTCATCACCACTATCTGGTCGGCCAGATGGAGATAAGATACACCGTGAGTCACCAGAATCCTGGTCTAAATTTGAAGAAAGTATGTATTCGTTTATGTCAAACTCAGTGGAGAAACGGATTCACTGTGGAAAAATAAATTATATACGAGCCAAACTGATTGATATATTTACATGCTATTCAAAGGAATTAAAAAAAAGTACAGGGCAATATGACTTAGGATTGGCAAATCTAAATATGTACTAATGGCATGCACAAACATGTCAAAAACTCGTTTGCCCATTTTCATGGAAGAATACTTGGAAATTACCCTTACAATCAACAATTCACGATATACGATGTACCTTGTTTTGGAGAAGTCCATTTGGTCCTATTAATTTCTCGACAATGTGTTTGCCGACATGTGAGTCCACCGCACTTAGAGGATCGTCTAGTAGATAAATATTTGCATCTTGAGCGACTGCACGGGCAATGCTCAGCCTCTGTTTCTGACCGCCAGAGAGATTAATGCCCTAAAAGAAACAAAAACATGCAATTTTGCTAGTCATAGTGTGTTTTAAGAAATGCGACTGTGCTATTCAGTGTTTTGGTTAGCTATAGAGAACGCATAAATCAATCGATCTAGTGATGACAAATAGATTTGTATCTTAAATTTGATATGAACTTCTAGAAAATACAACTAAAGAATGTACTTATTTAATATCATCTTCAGTTACAAGAGAGGATCTGATATAATTATCTAGATGCGAGTAGGTAGATACCAGGCTCACCACCAGGTGGCTTATTTAGGTCAGATAGCATGGCGGGTATAATATAGTAGAAAGTTCCCTTTAACTTAAATATTCATAAGTTCTACTGGTTCGATTTTGTGTCGTAACCTTATGTATCTAATAGTTATACAAACTAAAATATGTCCAGTAAAAAAGAAGTATTATTTGTCCAATACAATAAAAGATATTTCACTTTTTGTTATTTTATAATTTTGGGTCTACGGGGAATCTCCCCAAACTAGAAGTCACATTTTGAAAAAAAATTCAAAGTTGATAAACAATTTTCAAAACCATATTTTTAGATGTTCTTTTACGTGTAGGTTTCAAATATGGCATTACTTTGACTGGATTTTGAATATCTAATGACGTAAGATTATTTCCACTTGCATCTAGTCTATCGAATATGGTTTGTACCTTTTCCCCAATTTCCGTTTTGTCTCCTGCCGGAAGTGCCTCCAGATCGGGACCGAGGGCGCATGCTTCAATTATTTTATCATATGTTTTACGACCGATTTCATTTCCAAACAATATGTTATTGATCAGTGTATCGTTCCTGATCCAGGCTTCTTGAGGAACATACGCTATAGATCCCTATGAAAGTAATTACATGTTTTATTGGCATCGTGGTTTTAAATGATTCAGTTTATACATTTGCAAATTTATATGCCTGAGAGTACAATAAGTCCGTTAAAATATGAAGTTGTTAATAAAAACACAAATGTTGCAAATTATACACTGTGATAGCCCATTCGTATCGTAGATATGTAATATACGTGGAGATTTAATGTTTTATACTTACAGAAATATTAACAGAGTCATTTGTTTTATACTTACAGAAATATTAACAGAGCCATTTGTTTTCTCCATTTCTCCTAATATGGCAGATATCAAAGAAGATTTTCCACTACCAACTTTTCCAACAATCATCGTTAGACCTCTATGTTTAACATCGACTGTAACTCTGCAAATCAATTTGGACTAAAATAAGTTGAACAACTCACGGTTTCGTCATTCGCCGTATAATAGAGAGATTAAGCTACACGTTGAAATACAAACCGTCACATGAACGCCTAAGTTCACGCTCAAGTACACGTTGACGAAAATGTTCTGTTAAGCTACACATCTGAAACGATGTCAGTGGACGTGGAGCCATGTTTATGTGCTGACTGTGTCTAAGGGTCATGTCTCTGTGGTGTAATGGTTAGCACAGTCTATTGAATACTTTTTTTGCTTTATTTCATATTCAATCACAATTCAATTACTTTAGTATCACTTTTTTGCTCATATCAAGGGCGGACGTAATATAAAGAAATGCCTCATTCGCAAATCTAATGTAGTGATAAGGCAATAGTAGACCCTGGTTATAGTAACCCATGATGCCAATAAAACCTGTAACTTTCACGCTTACCTGTAAAAAGTAGACTAATCTGATGTCATTTATCTGCGCGCGCATAGAAGTTCACGTTCATGCTTTGTTGAATAAAGGGCTTATTTAATACCCGGGGCTTAATAGTGTACCAAATCGAATCGAGAAACGGCACGACATGCGGGGTTTTGTTTGGTCTTTATTCAACAATGGTGTATAGAGGGGTAGGATTTCTCAGACCTACATGTAGGTACCTTTTTCTGTACCGTTTTGCGGTTATTTTATTCTATGGTATTGCAATCCGTTCACATCATTAGTTACATAATTTAATAACTTAAATATATGATATGTAAATAAGGGTAATGCCTTGGTCACATTTGCTCCGATTTTCACTACGGCGCCCGGCCGATTGAGTATTTTGTTCAAAATTGAATAGAATATTGAACAAAACACTCAATCGGCCGGGCGCCGGCCGATGGATCGGAGCATATGAGACCCAGGCATTACTACGAACAAAATAAACAGGGAAATGTTGTACTCGAAGTGGCGATTGTGTTTTCTGTCAGTCAGTATTACCCCCTTTACCCAGCTCTATAGCGCAGTATCAGGTGACCTGATTATGCAAATAAGAAGACCTCGACCCCGTTGGTTTCTCGTTAGCGCAATCAAAACGGACACGGACAATCTTCGTTTTAACCGTTGTTTCCGAACGGTTCGTGACCGAAATTCACTCAAGGGCCACTCAACTATAGAAAATATGTTACGTTATAAGGATGGATTGTTTTACTCATGCCTGGGTCACATATGCTCCGATCCATCGGCCGGCGCCCGCCCGATTGAGTGTTTTGTTCAATATTGTATTCAATTTTGAACAAAATACTCAATCGGCCGGGCGCCGTAGTGAAAATCGGAGCATATGTGACCAAGGCATTACCAATCATCAACATGTGCTGATATATTCAGCCCTGGACTTTATGTCCAAAGGGGGGTACGACACATCGTCAGAAAAAAACTCAAGTTTTCACACCCCTATTTGTTTATTGGCTAATTCAAATCGGATGCGGTAAAAAACCAAACCGATTTGCGAACGTTTCGGGTAATACGTTCGCCCTTGGTTGAATACGCGTCTGTAAATTGCACCAATGTGATAATCTCATGTAAAAACCTGTAAACTTCACGCTGGGCCACAGGAAATAGACAAATCTGAAGTCATTTATCTGCGCGTGCTTAGAAGTTCAAGTTTTGTTAAATACGTGTAGCTTAACCTCTCTATTCTATTAAGACGCACACGTATACATAGTGTTATCCACCAGGAGGGATTTGATATGAAGAATATCACAATGCTGACATCAATATTTCCCAAAGGATGCAGTAAGCGAGAAAAGTATCGATAGCATATTATTATTCTAGGGATATTCCCCATATCATCCCAATATGTGATTGACGACTGACGACCTTATACCTTGGACGGATACCATGGTATAAAATCATTTCCCTCTTCACATTCATCCCGAATTATCAGAGAGATTTTGCAACTCAGTCACTCACTCACTCACTCACTCACTCACACGCACGTTTATTATTCCTGTATACAGTACAACTTATGAAAGGTTTGATTTGACACTCATAAGTCGGCAACGGCTAGACGTATTTGTTAAATTGTATTTTATTTAATTTATCTTCATTGTATAATATGTGTGTGACACTATTTTAACCAACCAACTTTAATCATTTTTCGTAATTTGCCAAATATTGACATTCAGGACCATTCATGGTGTTTACACTTAGCAAATTCTGCCATCTCTGACCGTCATGACTTATCAGATCAACTTACTTTGTCAATGTTGCACTTCCTTGCTGTTCCCAACTGAATGTTCCATCTTCGACAGAAACTGCATTCTCTGTGGGCGTCAATATATTAACATTAATGACAATCATGGAAGAATTATACCCATTCAGTAAACAAAGGAGTGGTATCGATATGGAGAACTGAATTCAACCATGTTTTTCTCTTAAACCAATCATTGAAAACATTCTGTAAAAACACGGTATTTTATGTAACGTTGAGTGATTGACAACAATTTAATGCGAAAACCATTTAGAAATATTTTATATAACTGTTTTTGTTAAAATTTTTTATTTTTTTAGTGCAATTGTTTTTGCTCCTTTCTACCAATTCTTGAGAATGAAATGAAATATGGGGTTATATGGGGTTTGTTTTTCTTGACTGGTATGCACTCAGAGTTTGCTTTTTCTTGCTAAGTTCCATTACAACTTTTGGTCCTTTCCCTTTGGCACTAGTGCTTATATATTTATAGTTATACAAAGAAATTTTGGTTGATTTTAAAAAAGGTATTCAAAAAATTAAAACAAAATCCCCCAAAATAGATAAAAATCAAGATAAACCTTTTATTTCATTAACAAGATACTTTTCAAAAATCAACCCAAATTTCCTCTGTACACAATTACAATATTGAGAGAAACATGGTGTGTTAATGTCGTTTTGTTCCAATGAGGTTCGTAAAGATGTTTCATTTAACATGATACCAAAAAACAAGTGTTTGATGTGTTTTCTAAAACAATTTTTTTCAAATTATTTTTTTACCATTCAAAAGATGACCATTAAATTGACGATTGTTACGATTTTTAGATTTTTTATGACTAGTTTAAGAGAAACGTGTGTTCAAAAAGTTCTCCATATCGATACCACTCCTTTAAATCTCTACTAAATAGCTCTACGGCGACCGTACGTCGACAATAGTTCCCTAAAATCGGTAGATTTCTACGACAATCTTAGAAAATGTACGGTCGTCTTAACGGCTTATGGTCTCCGTAATGGCTCATGGTCTCCGTATCAAGCTTTCCACAGGCAGAAGAGTCGCCGTAGAAATTTTAACTCGGAGTTATAACTTTTTTTCATTTTTACGCTCAGCGCACAGCCGTAGCCAAACTTACGTTGGCCGCACAGCAGGTGTATGGTCGCCTTGCGGCTTCTTAGGGGTTTTATGGGTTACAAGGGCATTTGCGAAACGCAACGTAGGGACGCCCTTTGATGACCGTAGTTTTTCTCTCTTCTCAATATCAAAATACTACCCTGCGTGCAGAGTCTAGTGAAGACGAAGCTCTCTTTTAAGAAGTGAAGTCAAACGAATGCAAAGGGTATCAAATACACGATACTACCGTAGCAAATATGACTACTAAAGTCCCCGATCGTGTGATTTCCACGGCAGCCGTTAAATTGCTATTGGCCTAAGAAGGAACAAACCGTATGGTCGCCGTAGAAAATGTAACTGTTTATTTTTTTAAATACAGGGTGACCCCAAAAAATGCAACCCTCCATTTCTTCAATATTTTTCTTAAATGGAGGTTAATTGCTCTGAAATTTGGCACACAAGGACTTCATTCAATGTGGGATCCTCTGGCAAAGTTTATATAATCATAGTCATATATTGATAGAGTTATAGTCGTTTCAAAATATGCTCCAAATGTCGTCCATTTCCAATGTTAGGTTTTCGGATGAATCACATTCCCTTCTTTCTGAACACGTAAACTCAAGAAATAATGTGTTCTGGGATCACAAATTCCAGATGAAGTGCTTCAAAGGCCCCTTCATTCTGTCAAATGCACAGCTTGGGCTGCCATTTTCCAAACATGAAATCATCAGTCCCTTTTGGTTTCAGGTTGATAATGGCAACACTGTTACTGTTAACACACAGCGCAATATTGGCGTTCCCAGGAAGTTCTAGGCAGTTCTAGAGTGACATAGAGGCTTCAATAGACAAGAACAGTGGTTCTAGAAGTATGGAGCTACTCCTCACACTTCTAATGATAGCATAGCCTGGCTCACTAGTCATTTCTATGAGAAGATTATCTCTCCTAGGACGTCGAACCCATGGTCATCCCACAGTCTTGATCTCAATGCCCTTGACTTCTATATATGGGGTTATTTAAAGGATAATGTGTCTGAAAATAACCCTACCGCAATTGCAGAACTCCAACAAGCAATGGCTGCAAAAATTTGAGCCCCCATGGGAAAAAATGCATCAGTGTTATGAACAGTTTTTCTCGAACATTGCAAGTTTGTTTTCAGCGAAATTGACGACATCTGGAGCATATTTTGAAACAACCATAACTCTATCGATATAAGACTATGATTATTAAAACTTTGCCAGATGATCCCACATCGAATGAAGTCCTTGTGTGCCAAATCTCAGAGCAATTTACTTACATTTAAGAAAATATTGAAGAAATGGAGGGTTGCATTTTTTGGGTCACCCTGTATTTATCATCATTACTGTACATAGATTACATAGATGGCTACAAAATGTGTAAGTATTTACCTTTTAAATATCACAGTATTGCAAGATGGTCATTTGAATATAAAAAGAAAATCCATTCACACATACATGTACAGGGTGTCCCGAAAGTATGGGGGCCCCCCTAGGCAGACATATTCCAGTGTCCTCATAGTATGTATCATATATCATTTTAAAGCTTATCCAAAGTTACATTGATTTGCCAAGTATTATGGTTTAACTCCCAAATGGGAAAAAGTTACAGTCATTTTAAAAGTTAGTGTTTTGTAAAAATAAAGTTCAATTTTACACCACACTACTAGTGTATGAGACCCCCCTTGGCAATGTTAACAGCAGCAATAATTTTCAAATATGACCTTAAAAGCCCTTCAAAAAGGGATGTGGAATTTCATAACCCTCTTAAAACCTGTTAAGGCACTTTAGAAGAGTTTCCTTAGAGTTTCTACCCTCATCATTCTCTTTTTCCAACTCAATATCTATCCGATCCGTAAAGAATTGCTGCTGTTAAGATGGCCCGGAAAGACACATTGACTAGTGATTTGGTGTAAAATTGAACTTAATTTTGACCAAACACTAAATTTTGAAACTAACACTAACATTTGAGAGTTGAACCATGATACTTGGCGAATCAATGTAACTTTGGATAAGCTTTAAAATGATATATGACACATACTATGACAACACTGGTATATGTCTGCCTAATATATAAATAAGGGTTATGTACTGGGAGGTTTTGGATATGGGGTTTATCCAGAGGGAGATATGCTTATCTACCTGAGGGACCGTAGGGACCGAAGGTAGATGTGCATATCTCACGAGGGATGAACCCTATATCAAAACCGACCGTACATAACTGCTTTATCCTATACCAAGTAGAGTTTTCAGGGGCATATGGCCATTTCAATAGTACAAGATGTAAAAATAAACAAATCATTCGTATGTCAAGTCATTTTATTGCATTACCGGAAGCGGGAAGATATGCACCGGAAGCGGGAAGATATGCACCGAAGCGGGAGATATGGCGGGAGATATGGAGGTTCTGGATATGGAAACCTCAAAATCAGGATACGGGATATATCTTACCAACTTATCTCCCTAAAACTCTACTTGGCATAGGATAAATCATAATTTGTGCAAGTTTTCTTGATTAATATATACTAACGTCTATCTGTGGAATGGCTTACAACATCATCCCTAAGTTCTTCGTCGTTCAGGAAGGCTTGGATCCTACCCACTGATACATACGCCTAAAATATAATTAGCTTACGATAAAACCTCTATCAAAATTACATTATACTCGTGCATACTCAACCTTTGTTCGATTATATTTATTCTCTCACCGACAGCATCAAATTAAACATCCGTGAGGTTGTGTACCCCTCTTTCAAATAGAACCCTGGGGCAAAATAACGATTTTAGCGCTATGGATGTATATTTACTTATTTAGCGGTTTATTAAATCAATTGTTATTTTCAATAACCTGTACAAAACCTGCAATTGCGTTTGGTAATATAGTCATTGGTCTGCTTAGAGTGTTGACTAGAGAGAGTGAGACGAATGCAACCTGTGGATTGAGCAGGTGAGTTGCAGACGATAATGCGTATGCACTGAACGAAATTACTGCAAACTGAAACAATAGTTTAAAAAGCATGCATATAATATGTAGTTCTGAAGAATGATGAATGAAATTATATAGTAATATCTACTATATCTATACTATCTACTTATTTTTATCAAAATTTCACTTCATATTATGTTGTAAGTATATTCAAAGTTGCTCATTATTATGGAATATTTTCTGTGTTTTTAACTTTAAAAACTGATTCAAACAATTCCAGAGCAGCCATTTATATGTCCGTTTATGGATCAAAAACATAGATTTAATAGCATATTTCATTTAATTACACTAATGTTGATGATTTTAGAGCGCTAGTAATGTTGATTTTGTAGCAGCGTTTCAATGTCAACTCAAAAATGTACATACTCAAAACCTTTGCTGACTCAAATGATATATAGCAGCTATAACAGGGTTGATACTTTAACAACAAAATATTCGGCAGTCAAGTATAAACTTACTATGAGTGGTGCGCAGAAGAATGATATTGAGGAACCAGCCATGATGAAGGCTGCTATTCTGATTGTGACGATTTCCTTTTGTCTTACGTCTAATACTCTATCCATGAACGCCCCCTCCCACGCATATAGCTTAATCACCTTTATAACAAAGCATGGGATATAAACCGATCAAGGTGATGGATATTGTGATGCATTATTTAGCTTAATAACCTTTATAACAAAGCATGGGATATAAACCGATCAAGGTGATGGATATTGTGATGCATTATTTAGCTTAATCATCTTTATAACAAAGCATTGGATATAAACCGATCAAGGTGATGGATATTGTGATGCATTATTTAGCTTAATCATCTTTATAACAAAGCATTGGATATAAACCGATCAAGGTGATGGATATTGTGATGCATTATTTAGCTTAATCACCTTTATAACAAAGCATTGGATATAAACCGATCAAGGTGATGGATACTGTGATGCATTATTTAGCTTAATCACCTTTATAACAAAGCATGGGATATAAACCGATCAAGGTGATGGATATTGTGATGCATTATTTAGCTTAATCATCTTTATAACAAAGCATTGGATATAAAACGATCAAGGTGATGGATATTGTGATGCATTATTTAGCTTAATCACCTTTATAACAAAGCATTGGATATAAACCGATCAATGTGATGGATATTGTGATGCATTATTTAGCTTAATCATCTTTATAACAAAGCATTGGATATAAAACGATCAAGGTGATGGATATTGTGATGCATTATTTAGCTTAATCACCTTTATAACAAAGCATTGGATATAAACCGATCAAGGTGATGGATATTGTGATGCATTATTTAGCTTAATCACCTTTATAACAAAGCATTGGATATAAACCGATCGAGGTGATGGATATTGTGATGCATTATTTAGCTTAATCCTCCTTTATAACAAAGCATTGGATATAAACCGATCAAGGTGATGGATATTGTGATGCATTATTTAGCTTAATCACCTTTATAACAAAGCATTTGATATAAACCGATCAAGGTGATGGATATTGTGATGCATTATTTAGCTTAATCACCTTTATAACAAAGCATTGGATATAAAACGATCAAGGTGATGGATATTGTGATGCATTATTTAGCTTAATCACCTTTATAACAAAGCATTGGATATAAACCGATCAAGGTGATGGATATTGTGATGCATTATTTAGCTTAATCACCTTTATAACAAAGCATTTGATATAAACCGATCAAGGTGATGGATATTGTGATGCATTATTTAGCTTAATCACCTTTATAACAAAGCATTTGATATAAACCGATCAAGGTGATGGATATTGTGATGTATTATTTAGCTTAATAACCTTTATAACAAAGCATTGGATATAAACCGATCAAGGAGATCGATATTGTGATTCATTATTTAGCTCGATTACGTTTATAATGATGTATTCTATATAACTTGAACACATCCATAACAGTAATTGTAAATCATGGATCAAATATGATCACCTTTTTAACTTGTACTATGCACGAAAACAGGCTAATCGCATTCAATGCAACATATTGTACTATATACGAAAACAGGCTAATCGCATTCAATGCAACATATTGTTTTAAATTTTATTACTTGATAGAAAAGGTGCAAGATTCGATCAGAAATCAGATTTATAACATTTTTTGAATTTGCATGACTGTGTGGTTCAAAGTCATTCTTTGTTAATTAAAACGTTTACCTTAATTCCATTTAGTAATTCGTTCGTCAACTTTAGACGAGTGTCTTTCAGTTTCATTTGGATAACCTACATACATAAAGTCCCATTAGGTAAGACAAACAAGGAAAATAGAGTGTTTACATTGCACATGCTGCATTTATCATCTTGTACTACATCACCTAGAAATGTGGTTCATCATATTAAAGTTTGAGCACATTTTAATTTTTTTAATACTAGTCTTGTATTCATTTTCAACACTGAGTATTGGATAAGAAAATGATCAATTTAAGCTAATGTAAGTGCGAACTTTACCTGATATTTTTTATAGGCCTTTGATGCCAATAATGCGTTTGTTGTGAACAAGATCACCATTGCGCCAAGACCTGCTAACGAGGCCGCGCCCAAATACTGCCATAACAACACCATACAAATAGTAACATTCAAAGGTACGGACCATAGAAAATGAAGAAAATTGCACGCGTCGCCTATTTTCTGAGAATCTACGGCCATTAGGTTGACAATCTGCCCCAAGGAGTACTTCTTTCGAGAATTATTAGAGAGTTTTAATGCCTGGAAAAGCAGATGTCCCTTTTATATTCGCCGAGACTTTGTGTGGTTTATCATAATAAAATCTTACGACGTAGAGGAACATGATTCTATTCGTTTACGTACAAGTTCTCTTAAAAACGTATAGCTTGAACTTGAACTACTTAACATATACGTTTGTAAGCACGCCTTGGGTTTTAGCACACGTAATGGTAAAATGTACCTTTCTATAAATAGCTGCTGTTAGGGCAGATCGGACCCACATGCCAGTGGTAAGTTTGCCCAGGAAATGTTGCTGGTTCACTAAAGCTCTTCCAATTGACAGCAAAAACAGAAGAGCAGCATAGAGATAACCTCTCCATACAAATGGATCTCTATTCTGTACGAAGCTGATCAGCAAACTAGAAATATGGAATATGGAGAAACAATAAGAATAGTAAAACTAATCTAAATGAGGATCGAAGTAAAAAGGATATCAATACCTTTGAATAGGATTGGCGTCAATTATGAACAGTATATATATTAGAGATTATGGCAACTTCGTAATTATTACAAAAACAGTAATTGTCAGCTTATAAAACAATGCGCCATCATACTAATCGATATGCCCTGTACCTCACCAGTATTTCAAAGAAAGATCAATTATACTTACTCCAATACAAGTGGTCTAATATAGGTGAACACAGAGTTTAAGAGCTCAAATATACCAATTGAGGAATAATAGCAGCCAAAAGCTCTCCACAGCGCCTTCATAACTGACAGCTCTTTATGAAGTTTGCAGTCAGAGTATGTAACATCCACATCTTCGACACTTGCCGTGTCATCTTCGGTAATTCCCGCTGTGTATTTGTAAGTGTTGTATGTTCTTTTACTCGATGATCTGTAAATTATGATTGATTTACACTTAATCTTGGCAAAGGATGTTATAGTATAAAAGTATCATTTATCTGAAACACTTGGTTAACCCCCATTTGCCAAGAGTTTGAACCAAATGTCGTGTAATTTACCAAGCAAGTCCAAAACTTACTAAGGTAATTGCACAAGTGTGTTGTTGCATCTGCAAAAAATTCAAGTTGAACGATCAAATCTCAAATCTCATGTCATATTTGAAATCCCGAGAGATTTTAGACGTTTTTTTAAATAGTCAATTTGAAGGAAGCTGAAAAATTCAAAATGGCCGATTTATAAAAATCCAATATGGCCACAGTGTAAAAGGAGGACGGAAAGTATCACAAAATATTCCGGACAGTCATATATTGGATTTTGGCTATTTTCTGAGGATTTTAACCAGGTGCATATGTTAGGCCAACCCACCCGCATGTTCTTTTCTGAGATATTATCCTGGTTTTCAACCCCTTCCACCCCTGCTTTTTAATTCTTGTTGCATCAATGAGTTGCGTTTTGAGACACAGTTAACCCCTTTAAAGGAATAAGTAATTATTTTTAGATGAAGTGGAAAACAATATTTTCCAAGTAGATATCCCATAGAAAAAAACTCATGCAATCCATTGCTTTCAGCTTAATTTTGGTCACCCATAATTATTATCTTTTAAACCACTGAAGGAATAACTTATTTGAGCTAGTAACTGATGCACAAATACATAAACATAGCTGTACTTATTTGAGCTAGAAACGGGTGCACAAATACATAAACACAACTGTACTTATTTTAGCTAGTAACGGTGCAAAAATACAAAAACATAACTGTACTTATTTGAGCTAGTAATGGGTGGACAAATGCATAAACATGACTGTACTTATTTGGGCTAGTAACGGATGTACAAATACATAAACATAGCTGTACTTATTTGAGCTAGAAACGGGTGCACAAATACATAAACACAACTGTACTTATTTTAGCTAGTAACGGTGCAAAAATACAAAAACATAACTGTACTTATTTGAGCTAGAAATGGGTGCACAAATGCATACACATAACTGTACTTATTTGAGCTAGTAACGGATGCACAAATGCATAAACATAACTGTATTTATTTGGGCTAGTAACGAATGCACAAATGCATAAACATAACTGTACTTATTTTAGCTAGTAACATGTGCACAAATGCATAAACATAACTGTACTTAATTTATCTAGTGACGGGTGCACAAATACATAAACACAACTGTACTTATTTTAGCTAGTAACGGTGCAAAAATACAAAAACATAACTGTACTTATTTGAGCTTGTAAAAGGGTCACAAATGCATACACATAACTGTACTTATTTGAGCTAGTAACGGATGCACAAATGCATAAACATAACTGTACTTATTTGGGCTAGTAACGAATGCACAAATACATAAACATAACTGTACTTATTTGAGCGAGTAACGGGTGCACAAATACATAAACATAACTGTACTAAATTGAGCTAGTGATGGGTGCACAAATGCATAAACAAAACTGTACTTATTTGGGCTAGTAACGAATGCACAAATGCATAAACATAACTCTACTTATTTGAATTAGTAACGGGTGCACAAATGCATAAACATAACTGTACTTAATTTAGCTAGTGACGGGTGCAAGAAATACATAAACATAACCGTACTTATTTGAGCTAGTAACGGGTGCACTAATGCATAAACATAACTGTACTTATTTGAGCTGGTAACGGATGCACAAATGCATAAACATAACTGTACCTTTTCGGGCTAGTAACGAATGCACAAATGCATAAACATAACTGTACTTATTTGAGCTAGTAACGGGCACACAAATGCATAAACATAACTCTACTTATTTGAGCTAGTAACGGGTGCACAAATACATAAACATAACTGTACTTAATTTAGCTAGTGACGGGTGCACAAATACATAAACATAACTGTACTTATTTGAGCTAGTAACGGGTGCACAAATGCATAAACATAACTGTACTTATTTAAGCTAGTAACGGATGCACATATACATAAACATAACTGTACTTATTTGAGCTTGTAACGGGTGCACAAATGCATAAACATAACTGTACTTATTTGAGCTAGTAACGGGTGCACAAATGCATAAACATAACTGTACTTAATTTAGCTGGTAACGGGTGCACAAATACATAAACATAACTGTACTTATTTGAGCTAGTAACGGGTGCACAAATACATAAACATAATTGTACTTATTTGAGCTAGTAACGGGTGCACAAATGCATAAAACTAGCTGTACTTATTTGAGCTAGTAACGGGTGCATAAATGCATAAACATAGCTGTACTTATTTGAGCTAGTAACGGGTGCACAAATGCATAAACATAACTGTACTTATTTGAGCTAGTAACGGCACCACGCTTTTGTTGCGACTGCCATCCTCGTAAGAATGCACCCATGCATCGTGTAGTTTCATCACACGGTCGTAAGGAATGTAATGCATCGTCGTTCATCTTGCCTTTGTAACCAAGCATGACGAACCTAATGTGGAAGGGAAGAGCAAAGTGACCATCAACATGTGAAAATATGAATACTGGTATGATGTGTTCGTCAAGGATACGTTCTTCATTATTAGTATGAGGACTGATAGCTGATTTAGCCTAGCCAAGGTAAAACACTTGTTTTTGTATTCATCCCTAACCTACCTGTATACTAAGTCTAGTAGTCCTTTAATACTGAAATGATAGAGACTGGCAGACAATGAATTCACAGGTTGCAGAAACTTATTGATTAATAAAAGTTGTATATTAATAATGAATGTTCTTAATGAAACCAAGAACACGAATATATGCACGTCATACATAAATGTACATATACAATTATCACATTTGGAATTAAAAGTTTGAAATCTCAATTCATACCTTGATAATAAAAGGCTCAATTTTAATCAATCAACTGTTCTAAGATAAAACTTACCCAGTCATCCACCAAAATGACACTCTTGACAGGAAGGAAGCTTTTAGTTCTGGACATGGATTCTAAAAATACAGTCAGTACAAACACAATACAAATGTGCGTCTATTCCACAGTATATTTATTTTCTGTACTGTGGTATGATGTCAAAGCATATTCAAAATAAGTAAGATTTGAGTTCATGATTTGTTTTCACGGTATGATGCTTCTTTATTCGAGGGTTTACGTAAATGATTTATGATGGCCTAGAAGAGTGTAGGTTGCTACTTTGTGTATACCGAGTGTTATTTCAATGTTATATCATCCTTGAGGCACAAAATGACTTGAGTTAATGTTTTAAAATTGTTGACCGTGTGGTGCTTCTGACGGAAGGACTTTGAATCGATGTATTGTGATGTTATATCATGGATTTGACCTCAAGTGTTTGGTTTGATATTTTGTATTAATTGGAAGTTGCTTCTACATTAGGAAGTGGGAAGGAGGAGGAGATGTTTAGTTACGATGTAACTTAATGCGTGTGGCCTAAACGGGTTTGAGTGGTTATTTAGCACTAGGGAGTTTAAACTTGCAATGTTTTCCAGAACCAAAGCGGGAACGGAAAATATTTAAGCGATGCATTTGTATGGGCGATTTGTCATACGTATAGGGTAGCGTTTCGATTTTATATGCAAGCTTAAACTCGCTACTAATGAACACACGGTACGTCTGTTTGAAAAGTGTAAAAGTGGATGTCTTGTAGAAATTAAAACGTTCTTAAGTTGACCCCTTTCATTTTTATTACAGCAGATTATAAAATAATATTCAATTTTGAAGAGCAAAATGGTCACTTTGTAATTTACTAGGCATGCTAAAAGATCTTGACACTAGTTTGCTCTTGCATCTGTAAAAAATTCGATTTGAATAAGCTAGCGTTTTTTTTGGAATTTCGCTGACAAGAATTGATTTGTAGTTTCTAACTTTTAGAAACTTAGATAACATCGTTTGTGACCTAATTTGATGACCTTGACCTTGGACTTTGAAAATTTCACTTTTCAGATCTTTGTTATTAGATAAATCTAAATTTTAATAAAAAAATCGACTAAAAAACTTTTTTGAGCTTTCAAAGGTCACTTTCAAAGGTCATCAAAAGGTCAAATCTCAATTTTTAGGTCTTATTTGAACTACTGAGCAATTTCAAATAAAGCTTTTAAGTTTAACGGGTAAGTGGGTTTCCTAGAATTGTGATAATTCTATCAAGCATGCCCTTAACCTAATCATATCTTGGCACTAGTCTGCTATAGCATCTTCATTTAAATGAACATGACGTGCATGTAAGCGATTTTCCTGGAATTTTGATGACAAAATATGATTTATGTGGCGCCTGCCCACCCACATGTCCGCACGCCCGCCACATCGCCCTGTCGCACACGTCGACGGCAACATAGCACTTTTTCAATCGTTAAATGACTATCAAAGCACGCATTGTTATTATTATATGCTATTAGCAAACAGCTGGTTGATTATAGCATTCGAACACGATATATCTATTATACGTACATGTAGAAATTTATCAGTATTTGGTTCATCTATAGTTGACGTGAGTAGTGGTTGTCTCTCTCCAGATCTCTCACTGGCTGGAAGTTTCAATGCATTCACATCAGCAAACAGGTGCAGAGCAAACTCAAGGAATACTAGACAGCTTACAATACTTTCAAATATGAGCCCCGTTGTGTCATCTGCATATTCCTAAATACATATAGAAAACCAACGTGGATATGTCAGCAAATTAAAAGGTGCATGTAATGATCAAAATAAGTAAGACATAAACATACCGCTGCACTTGATAAGTATTACAAATTGTGAAGCATTCGAATATCACAGTGACTTTACATGCGAGTTTTTATTGAGCGCGACCTTTTATGGTCATGTAATTGCTGTAAAGTATAGGCAACATCAGATGCAAGTAAGCAATACCCCGGGTACTATTCCGTAATCACAGACAATAGACTAACACACGGTAACAATGAAGGACAGACTCGTGAGAACCTCTTCTTAAAGGAGTCGTATTATTCTGTGCACAGATGCATAGCCATCCACGTTGAGTACATAAAGTGCTCACCACAATTAAGTGACATCTTGATTTTCTATCACCATTTTCAGACCATGGTGATCTGAGACGTCATACTTTCGAATAATGTCTAGGTACACATTTTGTATATTTTACATTTTGTATAATCTAAGCTACTATTGTATGATAGCTTGTAGATTTTGAAAAATACGGTAGTTTTCTCGGTAGATGTTTGAAAAAACGCTAGTTTTGCGGAAGATTTTGAAAAATGCGGTAGTTTTATGGTAGATTTTGAAAATAAAGCGGTCGTTTTTGCGGAAGATTTTAAATAATGCGGTAGTTTTAGGGTAAGATTGCGGAAGATTTTGAAAAAGATTTTAGATTTAAAAAAATATTTTGTGATCAAAAACACCGTGTTTTTGCATCACGAAACTCCCACTTGACTACACACCAGCTTACAAACCAGCTTACTTATATAAGTATGCAATAACCATTGTCACAGACCTACCGACACCTGTTTATTTTCGGGTTGGTAATGGAATATTACAGGGGCAATACGGGAAGACCTCAAATTTTCAGAATTTCCAAATAATAACGGTAGGTTTTACGGTAGTTTGACCAAAAAAACTGTTAATTTCAGCAGAAATACGGTAGATTTCTAAATATTTACGGTGTATTTTACGGCCGTTCTTATAGAAAAAATCGATACGGTAGATTTTTTACGGTAGTTTTTACGTGAAAAAATGGTAATTTTTTACGGTATAATATATATATATATATGGCAGGTATAAAACATCAAGTCTCAGTGCCTTAAACGGAGATCGAACCAGTTACCTCGTCTGCTTTAAAGGTAACTGCGCTTTCATCAGGCTTCACAAACGGAATATGATGATTATAATTTCAATATATCAGAAAGAGGACTTACCATAAACTGCATGATTCTTGACCTGAGTATAGTGATAGAAGTGATAACGTTTGTAAACCAAAACATGAACATCGTCCCCGATGAATGCTCGCCTACAAGGAACTCCTTCCGCATGAGGAAGACAACATAAATCTACAAAAAGATTACTTTTTACACTAAATGAAATTGAATAACCGAGATGCTAGTAGATACTTTCAAGCTTAACCACATGTAACATGGCATGATATATTATAAAGTTCTTTTAAACTTGAATATATACCAGTTCTAGTGAATCAATTTTCATATTTCTGCTTACTAAGATTGAATGGATTTTCTGGAATTTTACTATTGTATAAGGATCAAAATTTTGATAGAGTATATAATGCTGTGAAAATCCTATTTTACTATTGTATAAATTCTAATCCAGGATATATGTATATTTCCGTTTGTGCATAGTTTTATTGATTTAAGTATTGTTTGTGTTTATGTATTTTGTGTTTATGTTTTTTGAATAAATATTTTTATAAAAAAAAGGGAGTCATTATAGCAAATAGCATGTTTACTCAAATGAAAGAAAACATTTTCATATTACCCTTATGCATCTGATACTTGTACTAAATGAAAACTAGAAAAACAGCAACTCCACGGAGAGGCAAATCCCACCGAACAAAACATATTTTGATTATTGGTGGCCATCTTGAAAATTCCTTCTTGAGCAAAGCGTGTTCGTCCCTAGGCATCAATATATAAATTGTAAACCATATTCGTCAATAAGCATTTGAGTTATCAAAGATTATATTTCTTTTTATGAAAAATGGCAGCCATTTTGACATTCAGCCACCATTTTGATTTTTTTTCTAAAGCAGAGCTTAACTGTGCCTCTAGACATAAGCATATACAATTTGAACCAAATCCGTTCACTTGTATTTGAGTTATCAAAGATTACGTTTTTTACGAAAAATGGCCGCCATTTTGCCACTGTGTTCCTGGGCATCATCATATTAAGTCTGATCAAAATCCTTTCACTGGTATTCGAGTTATCAAAGATTTCATTTTTTATAAAAATGGCCACCATTTTGATATATAGCAGCCATTTTAAAAATCACTTCTTCAGCGTAGCTCCTTTGTCCCTAAGCATCAGCATATACAATTTGAACCAAATCCGTCAACTAGTATTTGAGTTGAAAAATGGCAGTCATTTTGAAATTCAGGCGCCATCTTTCTTTCTTTCTCTACTTTGTCCCCAGGCATCAGCATATAAAATTTGAACCAAATCCGTTCACTGGTATTTGAATTGTCAACTAAAAATATATTTTAAGAAATATTTTGAAAGTCAGCCGCCAATTTGAAAATTATTTTCTGAACAAATCTACTTTGTCCCTCAAGACCATCATATGAAATTTGAAAGAAATCTGTTCACTGGTATTAGGTATTTGAGTTATCAAAGGTTACGTATTTTACGAAATATGGCTGCCATTTTGATATTTAGCAGCCATTTTGAAAATCTCTTCCTAAGTATAGCTCCTTTGTCCCTAGGCATCAGCATATGAAATTTGAACTAAATCCGTCAACTAATGTTTGAGATATAAAAGATTACATTTTTTACAAAAATGGCTACCATTTTCAATTTAGCGGCCATATTGAAAATTACTTCTCGAGCAGAGGTCCTACACTCATAAGGCATAAGCCTATAACATTTTAATTAAATCTGTCAACTGGTGTATGAGTTATCGTCCGGACACACTAACGGACGGACGGACGGACGGCCGTAAGGACGGACGGCTTTCCCATACCCCCTCGAATTTCGCTCGGTGGGATAATAACAATAAGGGAGCTAAGGTTGTCAAACTTTTGGAGGGATAGTAGCAATAATATACTATAGATTGGCACATAAAGGGAGATTTTTATTTTTACAGATCAATTTCACATTTATGGTGAAGTTTCAGGATATTCTATTTGTGTACTATTAGTACACAGCTTGGCTTATGAAATATCCTCCAAATCAAACAAAGCAGTTCTAATACACGGTGCCAATGTCAAGCTGCGCGCCTAAGTAGGCGCGCAGTTTGTTTCGATCACAAACTGCGTGCCTAACAAAATTAACATTGCATCATTTAAGTTGGAGTCTGTGGCGAATGTACGAATCTTGCAAATACGAGCAAAAACTATGTGCAAATGAATCTAAGTTTTAAAACATAAGCCGATCATTTTCGTCACTGATTTAACGGGAATTTATACGTAAATCGATCTAGCACTTTAAACATAAATGACAAATACTTTAGACTCGTTTTATGTTTAATTCCTTACGCATTTATCATGTATAATTCAAAATATTTCGAGATAAAACAGATAATCAGGAGATTAAAAAGAAATAAACCACAAACTGCGCGCCTATTTTAGCCAGAAATTATAAACTGTGCGCATACACTATTAAAACTACATATTATCATTGAAATTTTTACAGAGGCACGTAAAGGTGTTTTTCATATAGCTTTGGAAATTTTGCTTTATCGTCAGATTTTATGAGATTTTCATATTGAAAGTCAAAATGTATAATAGAAGTGACAATTAAGTTGGGAACGAAAGAAAGTATTTTATTTTCAGAACCTCTGAACCTTTTCAGAAACTATGCTGCTTTAATCAGATGGAGTGATCCAATATATTCTAGCATACACAGACACAATGGCTGAATAAACGGCATATGACGATAAACATACAAAGATATAACTTTACACTGTTAATTTTGAGCACAGAAGTTACTTAAGACCCTTATATTGAGATAACTAGGTTAACATCGGGAAAAACATTGAGTACTAAGAGTAAATTAAGTTCATCTTCACAGAATGGTACTATCTATAGAACGAGACTAACCTTGTATTTTTCGTATTTTGGCTCTTTTTGGGAGTCGTGTCCTCCCGTCTTCAATTTTGAAATATGCGCGCAGTTTGTCAGAGTTTCAAACTGCGTGCCTAGTAGGCACGCTGCTTGACATGGGCATCGTGTAATACATGGATTTATATTGGCTGTTGTACGTGGATTCTTTGAACAATCACTTTCTCAATAATGTTAACAAAATCATTGTAAATGGATTAATTTGTCTTCAAGGCGATTTTTATAAACTGGAATTTACAACCCCCCCTCTAATTTTTAAAAAATAAATCGGCTGATTTAGGTAACTCGCCTGGAGCCGTTGTTTTATATGGGAAGTTATCGTAACCCTTTTAGTTTATTTAAGTCATTTGATACTTACATATGTGACAAGATTTACTGCATTAGCTATGTGTACTGCTGTTGGTACATTGTGTTTGGTTATAAAATAGATCAGACTGACTAGGCCAACGATACATAACGAGAAACCAGTAATCTACAAAGGAAAAGTGCTTGGTGACAATTCAACTATTTTTATTAGGCTGTACTTAGCATATAAATGTTTTTGTCCATTCTCTTTTAAAATACCCTGTCACGTCTACATTGTATTACTTTCTTTGAATGATGTTATTGAGACTTTTACCAATTTGGACCAATGTTGCTTGCTTCCATCCGTCCATCTGTGAATTGTTTGCCTCGTCAGCAAATAAGGCAAATATATAATTGACGAAACCCATAGCACAACAGGAGCGATCCAGGATAGGACTGTTGCTTGAAAACAGTCTGTGAAATCAGGGTTGGTTGTGTTTACGGTCAGACTGTAGCTCTAAACATATTTAAAAGCGTATATTGGTATATTACATAGATTGAGATGTTTCAGCTTCTGTGACAAGGCAATTATTATCATCAACCTGCATTTACCTTTGCGATGAACTATATTAACTTATAAAGTAGACCGGATGATTGCTGAAAAT